GGGAGCCTTGGAGAACAAGATCTCACAATCGCCCCAGGTTGCTGCTTGACCTTCTGGCCTGGCTTACCGGGCAGTTCTTTTGTCCCGTCATGCATCGTACTATCTTTTCTGTTCCAAGCCGCTATATCAACTTTCAACAAACTCTAACAATTGCAAGAATGCAGGGGTCACCTGCCAGAGACAGAACCCGTGACGAAAGACAGCGCCAAACGAAAATGGCGACGACAATAACAGAAAAGGGAACGAAAATGAATCCCCCGCTGCTGTAGGACCCGTCACCGGAACGCTCGCCCTCCATTCCCTTCACAACAAGGGACTTCTTTTGCAGACGACAACAATTGTCCCAGGGTTCAGGGCGGGCAAACAGGCAGGCAAAGAGAGTAAGAGAGAAAGCCAAAAGGTGGCCAAAACGGCTGCCTCAGAGGGGTGTGTTTGGAAGGGGTGTGGGCAGCTGCAGGGGTGGAGCTCACACTCTCCTCTCTCCTCTCCCCTCTCTTCAACAACAGCCATACACCCCCAATAGCGGCAAGCTGTTCTCGTTTTGGCCACCTACCCTTGCACCTTACCCGACTCTCCCTTTCCCGCCCAGCCTGCTTTGCCATTTTGAGAAACAACACGGCACGACAAGAGGGGACTACCACGCGGAAAATGGAAAGTAAAAACGGAATTAATTCGTCCCCCCCCCAATCCGATCAGTTGTGGGCGGGGCCAGCCAGACAACACCAGAGACCACGAGAAAGACAACAGAGCCAGAGGACAAGAAAAGGTGAAGCCAGGTGACAGGGATGACCCTGCTCCTGGATGCTTGACCTTTTGTCGCCTATCCACTCACATAGCGACGGTGGGCTGATATTTTTTCTTTCTTTTCTTTTCTTTTCTTTTCTTTCTTTTCTGGCTCTCGACTTAGGTGCGCGTCTGGTTGCCCTCTGGATCTCCTCGTTGTTGGTCTTCGAGGCCCTGTGGATTCTCGCTCTATTGTCCTTTACAGAGGGTTGCCCTTCCCCTCGCGCACGCCTCAGGCCTCGTGTAGTGCCTCTCTTTTCATATTTCGTCTTGAACCAAATTGGAGGCATCTTTGGTTCCTGACCAGGCCTCCCCAGAGCGAGTTCTCTGCTTGCCCTGATGAGCCGCGATGCCCGCGCCGATTGCGTCTCTTGTGTTTCCTCTCGGCTGTCTCTTCTGTGCCAGTTCTCGATTCAGACAAAGTCATCTTTCCCCGCTTTTGGCACACTGGCCGGGACGTTTGTAGGGCAAGACACTGTTGCCATTCTGCTCTATGCGTTCAAGTCAAGTTTGGTTGACATGGGATATTCAAAGTGTTGTTGCTTTTGATTTCACAATCGGCTACTGGCGATCTTCTTAGTCTGTTGCAGACTGGCTTCGACTCTCGGTTTGATTCTGATTCTGATGCTGATTTGAACTTTCACTCCCAGTTTTTGCATTTCAACGCATTCGTCAACTACTACCGTTCAAACAATTTCTTTTGCATCGGCTTGCCTCCTGCAACACGGCACAGAGAATCCATTTCACTAGACCTGCATTCTGCATCCGCCTCCATGCCCTCCTGCCGTCTCTGCATTCTCATCCTTTCCGTGATTCCTGCGGTGTGCTTCTGTTTTAGGAAGCCCCAAATGCTTTTGTTCTCTTCGTCTCCTCTAACCACGCCTCTCAATTTCTCTACCATGCAGGTGTGATGCTTGTGCACCGCTCAGAGATACAGTGCAGAGGTGTGCTCACAGAGCTTGGCAGATATAACGATACTCATATCTCACTTTGTAACAGGGCCAAACACAAAACAGAAAATATACGATACGAAAACAACCACGACAACCGCAACAACGCCGTTGTTGGCGCGCTGCTCCCATGCTCCATGCAACTTCTTCGTATATCACAAAACGAAGGACAAATTCGAGATGCATCCTCCTGTTCTTCACACGCAGCCGTCGCCCGTTCGTACTCGTGCTGCACGGAGTCTTTTGCAATGTAGCAGTGCGGTCGACGCTCGAGCATTTTGTTGCCTCCTCCAACCCCTCAATCAGGTCTCTCCGGTCTGTGTCTGCTGTTCCTCCATGTTGTGTTGCGCCTCCTCTGTCGCCATCGTTCTCCACCTCGACCAAGAAAAGAGCGTCCGTCTTTCAGACTTTCTCCGGCCACAGCGATGCAGTTGAAGCTGAAAATATTCAATAAAACTGCGGACACGACGTAAAGTCTGATAAAGTCAACAAAACTCAAGGAAATCAGAAGACGAGGAGGTGAGTCTGCTGCGTATCGGTTTATTTCTGTTGTATTACATCAAGAGCTGTCATCGGCGTAATGGTATTGAGTGATACATGTTTACTTCTGCGTACAGCGCGTTTTCTGTGCCGCAAGGCCAAACACACTTCTTGTGGCTGCTCATTTCCCTTTTCGCCCTTTACGTCGTTGTTTCTTATTCTAGTCTACGACGTTCTCTGTTTCTAATATCGATATGTGGTATGATATAGCTTTGCGAAAGAGGCAACACATCCCCAGAACAGCGTTTACCAAGCATTTCCTCTTCACTTACACCGCCCCCTGGCTGGTGTGGCTAGCATTCGCAACATTTACCTGGCAGGGAAACATCTCCAACTGCCACCGCGACGTGCCGCCTTTTCCTTCAACGGTACATGCCTGCAAACGACTTACGCAGGCAGGATAATGAGGCATCTTGCAACCTGACTTCCAGATCAGCTGGGCACGGTTTCGTGTCGTTGTGTCTGACTTGACCTCGCAGTAGACAATTTTAAAATTTCGACCTGCGTCGTGGACCTCAAGATATCCTGGCTTTGTACGTCGTACGTACACGGAGGACACAGACGTCTACGGCGTGCAGAAGCATACGAACAAGCTCTCCCTTTTCATTTGCTTTTCTGCGCACACCCCTCGCATCGTCGTTTTTCGGCCCCTCTCCTTTCCGCCCACAGTGGCCTCTAAGCTGCGCTTTTGCATTCTGTCCATTTTGTGGCCTCTTTTCTTGAGGGCCAGACGCTATTCGTCCTTGTCTTTCTCGTTCCTGCATCTGATCTCGCTTTGTGTTATCCTCCACCCTCCACAACAGATCGTCTAACACCGATCAGCCTGGAGTTGAAAGCAAGCTAACAAACACGCCCTTGGAAGGTGATTTCTTTGGGAGGCGGAACAATGTCTACAACCGGAGCCAAGAAACAAAAAAACAATGGCATGCAAGGAAAATGAAAAATAAAGAAAAACAAATCAGGCCAGCAAAAGAAGCCCACAGATTGCAAAAACAAGACAACAAGACAACAAGACAAAAGGTTCGGAAAGCAGTGAGTACGGCTTGGAACCGCGACAGCCCAAGCCCAACAAGGGAACCTCTCCACTCTAAGATCCTCGCCCGCCCGCTGTCCGCGACTTGCACACAACCATCCACCCCCCCCCCCCCCCTCCCTCGCCTCTCTCCGAAGACTCCACTAGATACACTTACCCCTTCAAACTTACAACGGCTACTGGCGATTGTCCCTGGCCTAGCCAGCCTGCTGCAAGTGCCTAACAGCTTTCGATCTGCTACCCTAGCTGCAAAAGCGGCAGGGGAGTGAAGAAAAGGTAAAAGGTTCTCCGTGACATGGTAAGAAATAACGTCAAGAGAATAAAAAGGAACAGGCCGAAAAAGGTAGTGTGTCTGTGCGCCCTGGCAACCTTTCGGGTAAGTGCCTTTTCCCATTTATCTAGTCTTTCTTTCGATTTTTTTTTGTCACCCCCCCCCCCCTTCCATGGTACCTTTTTACTCAGATTACTTTTCTTTTACTGTTTCTTTCCATTGCTTGAGCTTGACCCTGAACCTCGTTCCCTGTCCCTCCACTTCTTTCTGTTCCTTTTTGTCCAGCTTCCCTTTTTTTTTTTTTTTTTTTTTTTTAAATCTTTTTATTTGCACACCTCTGGAGCCCATCTGTTCTTGTCTTTCACCTTTTTCCTTTTCAGTCACCACGTTGTACCTCTTTTCTCTTTGTTCGACTACCTCTCTCGCTTGTTCGCTGGCTCTCCTTCGTCTCGATGAATTCATAAAGAGACCATCTTCCCTCCTCCCCCGTCTTCATCGATCTCGAACCCGGCCCCCTCCACCTCCCGGAGATCGTCTGATTGCTCTGTCCATTCAACATAAGAACATCAGCTCCCCTCGTCCTTTGGTCCCCTTCACCTTGGGTGTCGTTGTCCACTTTGTTGATTTATTGTTGCACCTTGTTTCCTCTTCACAACTTACTTCACTTCTCCGGACACGCCGTGGTCGCTGCTCGCCAGAGACGTTTTTGATATACTCCCTCGGCGCACGTATCTCTTGTGTCGTTTCCGTTTTGCAATTCTCCTTCCTACTTCCACTTCGGTTCTTCTGGTCTTGTCATCCTGCTTCACGCTCCCGGGCTGGCCTTCAAAACAAGTCACACCTTGCATCCCCAGTTGATCGTCTCGTTTTGACATCTTGCCATCTTCTTTCTCGGTCTTGCCTGGCTTTGCAGATTATACTGATTCCCGGAACGCGCAAATCGATCCCAGTACGCCCACTACCCGGAACGGCCGTCGCTTGACACCACTTGGAGCCTGCTGGATCTACTCACCAAAGGCGTTTCTGCTTGGTCGCACTCTGGTCGATCACGCTTCCCAGCTCATCTTGAGCAGCAGTGTTTCGTCTATCCTGCACCAGCCCCTTTCTCTTCCTGGCTCTTCTCAGTTTTACTCTCTGGACTTTGCCATTCCCGGTTTCTCACTTGCCACCACCTGTCGTCGAACGACCCACGAAGTCGCCGTTTCTTCCCTTCCGCTGTTCTTGTCACGTCATCCTGTTCAACATATATATAACGCCAACGCACACAGTCGTGTTTATATAAAGGCCCATCAAACGCCCTCCACGAACCGTGCCACAGACACTTTAGTCCGTGACCGTCGACTGCTTTTTGATCACTTCGTCACCCAAACTACCAGCAGAAACTCACGTACCCCTTCCTTTCCTCCCGTTCTCACCCAAAGACATGGAACTCATGGAGCTCGTTGATCACGAGCCCGCGCCTCGCCCATTCCGGTGCGACTGGCAGTCTTGCAACAAGGTACGTGAGGTGAGGGAATAGACTGAGTGCGTCGTGAGAGCGTTGCTCGTCGGCCTAACATCCTCGCAGAGCTTCAACCGCAAGTCAGATTTGCAGCGGCACTACCGCATACATACGAATGAGCGGCCATACCAGTGCAACACGCCTGGCTGTGGCAAGAGCTTCATCCAGCGCAGTGCCCTGACTGTGCACATCCGTACTCACACTGGCGAGAAGCCGCACATGTGCCAGCACTCCGGCTGCAACAAGCGTTTTTCAGACGTAGGTCGCCCTGCATGAGTATGACTCTGGTGAATGTAAAACGCCCCGGGGTTCCTTTCGCTGACCACCGAGATTAGTCGTCGAGTCTGGCTCGCCATCGGCGAATCCACACCGGCAAGCGGCCGTACAAGTGCGCCCATGACGGCTGCTTGAAGAGCTTCTGCCGCAAGACCACTATGGTCAAACACCAGCGCCGCTCGCACCAGCGCGGCATTCACTCGTCGGAGCTAGACGACTGCACATCCGAGTCGGGCAGCGACGAGTCGCCGTCCACCCCCAAGAGCAGCGCCATGCACTGGCCGTCGGCACCACAGGGCATGGTCGTCAACGGCCTGCCGCACCACGCCCACGGCCTGCATCGCGCCCAGTCCTTTGCCGACTTTGGCCAGAACGTCAGCTACGGCATGCCACAGCACTTCGCCGCGGCCGCCCAGCAGCAACAGCACCACCACCGCCACAACTTGTCCGGCGGCCAGCATGAGTACAGCCACCCGATTCACGACCCGTCCGCTGTCGGTGCGGTTGTTGTCACGACCATGGCGCCACACCACGCGGGCATGCCCATCCTGCACCGCGCCGCCAGCCTGCCGCAGCATCCATACTACGTGACGGATCAGAACAACCCGGGCGTGGCCACCATGAACACCAACTCGCCCATGTCCGCTGCTGCCCCGTTCCACCACCAGATCCCGCGCCAGTCGGTTGAGCGCATTGCCGTGGAAATTCCCTACTCGGCGACACCCGGTCTGGCGGCATCGATCCAGAGCAGCCCCAGCAGCTTCTCCACGTCAGGCCGCAGCCCCTCAACACAGGACGGCTTCTATACGCACCAGGCACCGCAGGCAGCTACGTATGCGCTGCACACCGCTTCGCCCATCGAACACCACGCGCCCATGGTGCACTATGCCACGGCACCACCCAACCAACAGGCTCCCGTCCCCCAGCCGGCGCCGCAGCACCACGCCGCGCCGACGTCACAGCCGCAGCAGCACGCGGGTGAAGAGCAGTGGTACAACAGCGTGCCGTACCAGTCGCCAGTCGAGGTGTCTGTGCCGCAGATGGCACAGATTCCACCGTACGGCTCGACCGTGTACGACCCGTGGGGTGAGGCAAAGATTGAGTTTGAGACATCTGGCATTCAGATGCCAAGCGCACGCATCGAGCAGATGTAAACCATACCACCTGTGTCGACTATTTGTCTGTCAGCAGCAGCAAACACCCCAATGCGTCTTCTCTTACTCCATTCCGCATAATATCTTCCCACTTTTTCTCTTTTCGCCTTCGTCTCCGTTTTTCATCTTCATCGCCTGCTTTGTTATTTTTTTTGCGCCCCATCACAAATACCCCAGAGGACCTTACCTCGTGTAACATTATTGTTTCTTGTTCGTCCTTGCATCTGCATTTTCCCGCCTTCACTTCGTTTTTGTCCTGCTCGCTGTGCTCTGATCGGATAGTCGGCGCTCTTTTGCTGACAACCTTTTTTCCATTCCTTTTTCTTGTCATTGCTTTGTGCCGCTGGCGTTGCTTTGATGTCTTTCCTTTTCGGTAGTTACCCCTATTGCATCGCAATAATGACAGGCGGCCTCCATGACGAATGGCCAAGCGCTTTGATTTTCGTCTTCGTTTTTTCTTGTTCACTGTACTTTTTTGCTTCCCGCTGTTTGTCGCGACACAGATTCCACCGTACGGCTCGACCGTGTACGACTTGCATTTTGCATTGCCCCCACTTCACGCACTATTGCATAATTCTGCCCTTTGGCGAGAAAAGGAGACTGGACTGGCGTTGCGTGCGTTGTCATTTTGTGTGTGTGTGTCGGTGTGTCCCCGTCGGCTGTCGGCTGGGTAGGAAGAGGGGGATACTGGCGTCCATTTTCTCGATATGCTTTTTTTGTTGTATTTTGTTTTGGTCTTGCTATGCGTGTTTTCTCAATTCTGATGTGACGCCACGAGCTATCCGAAGTTATTTGCTCTGTTATGACGACTTGGAAATTTGACGGCCAGCGATCTGTTTGACATTCCCCCTCTTATCACACCTGGTTTCGTTTCTTGTTTTGTTCGATGTTTTCCTATGTTGTGCTCGACTGGGAGAAAAAACGGTTGGTATCGGCATATGACCTGGAAAGGGAAACTTGGAACAGCTCGGGATCGCGAAGAATAAAAAAAAGATATCTAAGAGGGAAATCAGGGAACAACAATCATCATTTCGGCCGGGCGGGTCGGTGCCATTGGGTTAATAGTAGTGGTGGGAAAGAGAGGGATGGCGGTGGCAATAGGTTGAAGGTGTTTGCGTTTGTCTTTTTTGTTCGTCGAGATCGCCTCTCGATGTGTATCATTACCATTTTGCTTTTTTAGTTGAATATTTTGAATATGTTACATCCTTTTTATATGCTTTGTCGTCTCAACTCTCGCTGTATGTGTTGTTCGTTTGGTGCCTCGCTCATTTCCAAAGTGAAAAGCAGCGTCGTTCCAGGCTCTGCTTGCTGTTTTTATTGCTCGTTAAGTGGATGTGGCTGCAAAGTACGCCCGCAATACTTGCGTCATGGTAATTTTCTTGGTGCATACTGGGCATGCTTTTGAGTCGGCTGTGATGGCGTATATCCAATCTGAGAGGCAGTTCCTGGGACAGGTCTGAGAGCGGTGCCTCTTCACTTTATACAAAATTTGTAATTTTCCTTTCGCCTTTTCTCTCCTCCATATTTCCACTGCCATTGTTGTTGTCTTATAGGGGTGTGTCCGTTTTGTGTAAGTGACGGCCCAGCGGCAAGGGCTGTCTGCATTTTCATTTGTCGCTTTTGCTGTCTCGCGAAGCGCCTTGCATTTGGCGACTGCCGGGCTGAAACGCCTTGCCTGAGAACACTGATTCGGCGATGGCGCTCTGAGACTTCATTCGTTGTGAAAATAAATATAGAATACATAACAGCTGACGCACGCGGTTGAACGCAACCCCGTCCTTAACGAGGGATGCGATATCACAACAAAAAGGAGGCAAGGCATGAATGTGTAAATAGAGGGCGGCTGCGGGGCTGCACCAACAGGAGGACGTGGTAATAACACTACAACCCGCACCGGGAAATCAGTTTGCATGGCATAATGCTCTTGATTAACAGCCTCGGAAGAGGAGTGGCATCGAGAACTGCAGGAGACGATATGTAAACAACACGTTTGGTTCGAGACTTTGTTCCACAGTATCTGAATTCTCTCTTAGTAAGCACGTATTTGAAGCAGCGGATGTGGAATAAAAGACAAAAGCATGGCATGAATATATAGTAAAATATGGATCAAATCATAGAGACCTCCACGTTGTTCAACCAATGTCGATTTCCAGTTACCGAATCCCATTCGAGAAGGTATCAAAGGCAGTCAATGATAAACACGGCAAACACGACAAATATACCAAGAGGAAACATCGTATAGATAAAACGACAATACAAATAAAAAGCAAAGGCACCTGGCCCAACTCAGTTCAAGGGGTAGCAGCCATAGCGACCAAATGAAATGCATGGACAGAAGGAAGACGACGGCGGGGCATAAGAATGGAAACAAATGGAATGTCATTGTCGAATTCTGACAACACAAAGCGAAATGGTAAGCCATTAGAAATCATCGCTGTCCAAGATGGCTCGCGACGGGAACAGGCTGTCGTCAGTGTCGCTGTCGTCCGTCGACGGTGTCTTGGTTTTAGTTTGTGAAGCGGATGGCCGTATCGTTAGGCTCGACGAGGCGGTCGATGGCGACGCATACGAGAAGAGCTGCCGCGGAGGCTGCGTCGAGGGCATACTTGTCACGGTAGTGGCCGTGCTGGCCGTCTCTGCCGTGCTGCTGCTGAGAACGCTGGCTGTGCTGGTGCTGACTGTGGACGAAAAGGAGGCTGTCGTTGTGGCGGGTTTGTTGCCGGGCCCTGGGTGGTTGTGGTTGTGGTTGTGGTTGTGGTCGTGGTCGTGGTCGTGGCTGGGACTGTGCGGAGAAGGACTTGGGCGTCGCCGCGGAGCCGTCCAGGACCGCAAAGTTGTGCCCCTTTCCTCTTCCTCGTCGTCGTCTCGCATGAGCAGCGGTGGCAGCTCAAGGGACTCGATGCTGTCCATGTCGGCCTGTTGTTTTGGTGGCGACGGTGGTGGCGGTAGGGCCCGCGTCGGCGGTGGTAATGGAGGCAAGATGGCCTCATCCTTCGTCATACGCGTCGTGGTCTTGGCGCTCCTTTGGCCGGCGGACGTTACCGAAAACGCCGTTGCCGGCATACTAAAACTGCGCCCCCCGGGGCCGTACGAGTGGAACACCGGCGGAGCTGGCGGCGGGTCTGGCTTGACAAGGCCCGGGATCTCAAGAGGCCCCTCGTGTGGCCGTTTGGGGCGGACCGGGCTGGCAGGACCGCGCATGGTCATATTCGTGCTGGACGTAGCGTCAGAGGAACCCGTACCGCACGACCCTGTGATGCTCGCCAGCGGCATCATTGGCTCGAAGGTGTCGGTTGTCACTGCATTGCCGTAGAGACTGGTCGCCGGGATGATGGTCGACGATGCATTGGTCACGGTCGAGTAGCTACCGTAGCTAGAGCGCAGGCCACGGCCTGCATTGCTGCAGCCCAACCCGTCGGCAACACTCGTGGAGAAGATGGAGTGTGGGAGTGGAAGTGGAGGGAGAGGCGGCACGGGCTCTCGATCCGCGTCACCGTCGGCGGCTTTTTGAAAATTGTAGAAGCCGTGCTTCTGTTCCTGCTTCTTCTGCTGCTCTACTTTCTGCTGTTCCTGCTGCGTCGATGGCCGGATCGTCGGTGTCCGCTCGCGCCGCGGTTCCAGCTTGTTTGTCGTTGGCGCGCAGATGGGCGAGCTGGGGAAGTAGTAGGGCACAAAATTGCCGTTGTAGCCATAGTAGCCGTAGTAGCTGCTGCCACTATTGGCGGCCGATGCACGGTTGCGGTTGTGGCTCGGGTGGAGGTCGTCGTCGGCATCCGTATCTAGCCGACCTCGGGCACTCATCTGCGTTGGGCTTGGCGGCGGTGACAGCGATGTCAACGGCGGTGAGATGCTGCGTTCCCGCTGCCGTCGGGCAAAGAACGTCGGAAGGACACTGCGTGGGACACGCTCGGCTGTCCGAGGCGGCGTGCGAGGGTCGGGATACAACGTTTGCGATGTCCGTGTGTTTCGTGCTTTCCAGAATGATGCAGAGTAACGCGAACCATTTTGTTTTGGCGATGCCTGTGTTGTGGACTGGCCGTCCACCACGGACACACCACGTACCGAATTGCACGAATTGGCTGCTGAGATGAGCGGCGTCGGCACCTCGTCGCGGTGGGTGCCTCGACCGTGACCGGGATGGAAAAGCATCGTACGGACACGGGCGGCAAGGCCGAAGCTACCGTCGTTGCTGGCGCCGTGCGAGGGCCGACAGGACGGGCCGTCCCCGCGTGCCCCATTTCCACATCCTCCTCCGCGGCGATGCTGGTACGACTGTTGGCCGAGCATATTGCTGCGCCGGCGGCGCAAAACGCAATGGACAATGCCGGCGATCAGCAGGACGACCACGACTATGCAAACGACAATGGCGGCCTTGACGCCGGCGGATGGCCCGCGAGACAGACTCGAGGGTGATGCCGAGGCGCTGCTGTCGTTGTCGGTGCTGCTATTCGCTCCGGGCGATCCTGTTGCTGCTGGCGCCGAAGCAAGGTACCCCAAGGATAAGGAGGTTGCCGCAACGGGTGTTCCGGCGGCTGTTGTCAGGTGCTGGCTGTTTTGCGGCGTGGCAAGTGCCGTGCCGGCCGCGGCGGGGCTTTTCTGTCCGTCAGTGGTGGTGGTCATGGCCGCGGTCGGTGTTGCTGTTTTTGTTTGCGTCTCGGTAGCGACGGCGGCGCGGTTGCGGCAAGGGTTTGCCGACGGGCCGGCTGCGAGCAAGCTGCTGCAGTAGTAGCTTGCAGGCGGTGGGCCCGGGTCGTAGATCGAGGAGAAGCCGATGCTGGCAGGTTAGCGCAGTTGCACATGGACAGTACGTGAGAAAGGAACTCTACCTTTGGCACTGGTTGATGATCATATCGACGTTGGCTAGAATGGTGTCAATAAGAGGTCCTGCCGCCCTGTTCAACCGCAGTCAACAACTACTTACGATCCTGGCCGGCACCGCCGCCGTTGTCAATCCAGACGCCGCAAAAGGCCGAGTCACACCAGTAGAGCTGCCAGAGCTCCTGTTGGGCGGTCGTATTGGACGAAAGGAGCGAGCAGGTATCAGAGAGGGATGGCGATGACGTCGAGGACGAAGACGAGAGAGACTCAAGGAACCCTTGACGGCACGCGTCGATGCACTTCTGCGCGTCGCCGCCGTCGTAAAAGGTTGTCGACACAGATCGGCGGAGGGCTGGGCGGGGAGATGGCGAGACTGGCAGTGACGATTGTATATTGTCTTGGGCAGAATATCGAACGCCGGCCAGGGACTTGCTGTCATCGGCATCGATATCGTGGGCATCATGGACGTTGCGATCGTTGATGCTCTTGCTGCCACTCTCGTTGTCTCCTCCTCGATCCAGGGGACAGAGACACTGGGCTGGTGTCTCGGGTAGGCCCATTGTTGATGTTCTCGGCCGTTAACCAGGCCGTAGGGGTTGGTGATAAAATAAACAGAACACGAGCAGGTGGGGAGGAGGAAGGTAAGAAGGGGTAAAGAAGACAAGGGGAGTGACGGGGGAGGCGAGAGAGGTCAGGAAGTGAACGGAGATGCGAGGGACGCGGGACTCAACCAGCAACAACAATCACATACAATGGAGCAATGTTTTGAGACAGGAGAGACAGTCAGGCAGGAAAGCATGGAGGCAGACAACAACGGGGGTAGATTGCAGATAGATTAATCCAGTAGCGAAGGAGGATGGACGTTGGAAAGAGGAAGCGAGGGAAAGTCAAGACAGGAGAAAAAACACAAAGAAGAGAAACAAAAGAGAGCCAAAGCGAGCGAAGAGGCGGACATGTTTTGATTCACGTGTAACGAGAGCCAAAGGGCCGATGAAGGGTGGGAAACGGGGAGAACGGGAAGGCGGACAGTACGACTGGCATGGCCACTGGAGCAAACAAGAAACAAGAAACATACAAACGACACACAAACCGGGAATGACAGCACATGAACACACACGACGGGAAACATGAGCTGGCCCGAACATGTGTGTTATGAACAGCAGGCAAAGGAAGTCAGTAGTGGCGAGTTCGGCGGAGTGAAAGACTGGCAGGCGAATAGGCAGACAGGAATCGATCTGATCGAACGGACAGAAAACAAAACGACAGAACAGCAACAGAGCTACCTGAACAGGGGACCCTAACAAGTACAGGCGGGCCACAGACAGGAGCAGACAGTCAGGCGAAGGAGCAATATAACTACGAGAAGCAGGGAACAAGCATCGGCCTGTCAGGTCAAGTGGCCAGGGATATGAAAGTAGAACAAGAATCCAAAGACATTGCGAAATTAGAGAATCAGAGAATCAGAGAATCAGAGAATCAGAGAATCAGAGGAATAAAAAAGTCAGAGACACCAGAGACAAGAGGCGGTGTCTGTCCAAAAGAGGCAGTGTGGAGCGAGAAGGCGATTTCCTAAGCGAGAACCAACACGAGCAAACAACGGGAGAAAACTGGAAACGAAAGAGGGAATTGTCCGGTGTAACGGGCTATGCCGTCACTGGCAACTGTGGCCCCGACCTTGTCATGGTCCGACCGGCGGTATGTCAGGGGAAACATGGGAGAAACAGGCAGACAGGCAGACAGGCAGACGGGCAGATATTGACGTCCGAGACAGCATGAGAGACCGCAGCGTGGGACAGGCAAGAAGTCAGTAGGTGGTGAGAAATCAAAACGAGGAAGCTATATGGGAGACGGCGACAGTGACCCTTCACAAGGCCACCTTCAAGGCAGTTTGTGTTGTTACAAATGGCCCGGGAGTCAAATGCAAAACGGAATCATGAAAATCGTTTACCGACGCTGTAATCGTTCCTGTTTGTGTTTGCAGACGGCACAAAATTAAGCGGAGAGCGAAAGACAAACGGGAATACAAAGGCAAACCAAACATAAACGCAGACTGTAAACAGCATGAAGGGGACAGAAATGTTTGCATCCGAGCGTTGCGTACAGAGTACATCCAAAGCAGGCATAGGCAGAGGGAACCATCTGTGTAACACGGCTCTGTGCGTTTCCGTCTGACGAGGTCGAGAGGAGAGCAGAGACTGGTCGTAAAGTTCATTCAGGGGGGGCAAACGAGCATTGAAAAATTAACAAATAGGACACAGACAGGACACAAACAGGACACGATAGTGCTGTACGACATGCAGCCACTCGATAAATGCATGCTTCCGTTTGCGTTGTCTTTGGCTGACCTCGATACCTGACGTTGGCGGATGTAAACCAGAATAAGCCTAACAAGCCAGGGCGATGACACGGCTGGTCTGTTTGTGTAAAGAAAGAAAAAGAATCTCGTCGATTTCTATGCTTGTGGACGGTGCCTTTCATCTTCGTTGCTTTTTGTGTACAACGAAGGAAAGGGAGAAACGCCACAGCGGCACACAATCGCTGCAAGGTACGAGCTGTACCATTGTCAGCCTGTCGTCGCCCCGTTGCCTCGTTGTGTTCTCCCCCTCGCTTTTTCGGATTTTCGCTGCGATCGTCTTCCCCGTACCACGAGAAATCTCCCCTTTGAAAAAGCATGCTGTGCAAGGCGAGCTATTTTCGGCGTGCTGCTGGACGACAACGGGGAATAAAGAATGGGCACTGAAAGGTGACGAGGACAAAAAATGCGTAATTTGGGCTCATCGCGGTGTGTCCAATGATTGTGCCGACTAGGCGACCTGCCACAGAACGGCGGGCACTCTTATTTATCCTGTATCTCCCATTTCTCTTCTTTCCGAAGGATGCAAGGATATTTCAGCCAGGCAACCTGACAGACCGGGCAGACAAAACAAACAGGGGCTTTCGATCTCGCTGTCAGAAACAGCGGACGGCCAAATGACAGGTTTTTTTGTTTGTTTGTCTCTCCGACAGTGGCAGATGCTGTACCTCGTTGTGTTGGGTGGTGCAGTACGTCGGCCTGGTTGACTTGGGCGAGCAGGCCGCACAGATTCCGACAAAGTCTTTGGGACAAACCCAGGTACGAGTCTTTGCATGCGATGGCAATGCAGAGGACACACGTCGCATCCAGAATAGGAGCGTCGAAGGCGTGTGCCCATGCAGGAAGCCTCTTGAAGTCCGGCCGCCGCTGGTCGGGCCCTTTAGGTCGGCCTCTTAATGAGAATCGCAGGGCGGAATGTGGTCTCATGCGAAATATTATGAAAGGGGCCGTGTGCTAGTCGCACCGACATTCTTTGGAGTCTTGTCCAGATCTCTTTCCCTTCTTTTCTTTTTCGTGACGTTGCTTATCGTAATCTTCTTATTGACCCTATTTCTATTCACCACATGGAAATGTCGCAGTGGAGCGCCGCAGATGATTGCGAGTGATTGAAAATGGTCGCGCAGGGCGGGTGGATGCCCTTGTCTCTGGATCTAGGCAGGCTCCATCACAGCCATTGGTTGATACCCGAACCTTTTCGGCCAGGATCCTGCATTGTGTTGTACACACAGTTATTTCGTCGAGGCGGCTTTGCTTGGCGATTGGTCTAAAGCAAACGTGAAAGGGCCAGGGCACACATATAGTCCTACCAATGTCCACGCTGCCGGGAACCAGCCTTGGGCTTCTTTGGCCCCTGATCTCTCGCTTTCACTATTTTTGTCTTCTTCTCCCGTATGCGTTAGAATCCTTCTAAACACGTTCTCCACGTGGACAGAAGAATACAAGAAAAGCTGAACTTCTCCTCCCCTACCCTCAAGCTCGTATCTCTCGTCATACCACACCTCCGGCTGCTTGCTTCTGATTGCTGCCTTTGGTCGCGTTTTGGTGGGTTGACGGGCTGACTGTGTCCAGGGTGATTTCCCTCGTGTGGATGCAAACAGCGGTCAAGAGAGACCTTCTAGAAGGCGACGATCGTTGGCATTGGAAAGCTCCAGACGGCCGTCTCATACCGCAATCCGCACGTCAAACACACAGTGCCAAACGCCCGGTGCAAACGTCTTGACCTGCTCGACGTGCTCGACGACGGCCACGCACGCACCCGGCACCTCGCTGGCCCACATCGCAACCAGTGCCTGGATCTCCGCCTGCCGGCTGCTCAGCTCCTGCACACCGACATTTTCATGGAGGTGCAGCCAGCCGGTCCTGCTACTGCTGTTTCCTGTTTGTGATGGACGGCCCACGACAGCATCAAATGCTGTCCGCCATGTGTCGCGACTCGTTGGCAAAAGTCCACAATTGGCGTGGACGATGTGGCCGAGCGTCGGGCCTGGCGGTGAAGAAGACGCCTCGGATGCTGCTGTGCGCAATTCGGCAAGCCGCCGTGCTGCATGTACGTTGTCTTCGACAAAGATGACAATCTCGGGCTGTTTGTTGTCGCCATCCATCCTGTCCTTTTCAGCGTCTTCTGTGTTACTCGTTTCGTCTGCATCGTCGTCGTTTGCCAGGTTCGAAAACACCACATCGGCCGTTGGTCGTGCCAAGTCTTCCGCACGCCGTACGACGCGGGCCGACCAGCCGTTGCGCGCCGCTCCTCGCCGTAAGGCCTCCGCGCTCCATGGGTTGAGTTCCCAGCCGAGCACACGCAGGCCGCGCTGGGCATACGAGAAAACAAAGTAGCCGATGCCCGCGTAGAGGTCGACGGCCCAGCCGTTGTTGGGGTCACCATGCTGCCAGTCCAGCAGCCTCGCCTTTTCCTTGATGTTGCCCCGGCTGAACATGGACCACCGAGGCGCCCAGGTCTGGTAGAGGCCGTTCTGTTTGGTGCTGACCCAGAAGGTGCGCCGGAAGTCTGTGGCCGTCGGTGGACCACCGTTTTCCGTGGTGGCCGGGCCAAAGTCACCGTAGAGCAACCGCAGGCCGGTCGGGGACCGTAAAATGTTCTCTGCATCGTCTGTGCCGCTCGTACGAAGCGGGATCCCCTCATTGACGGCCAAGTGTGTCAACTGCGCGTTGTTGACGACGCCCTCGCCCAATTCCGAGCCGCGCGGTGGCGGTGACAGCGCCAGTAGAATGTCGCGCCACAGTTGGTCCTGCTGTTCGCGCGACACGGCGGCCAGCACGTCCTGCCATAGCGGCGGCGCCGGTGACGTGGACGAGACCACGGACGCTGTCGATGTCGTTGACAACATCGGCGTGGAAGTCGTTGTTGGTGCAGCACCAGCGTTGAAACCGAAGCTGAAGCTGCCCGTCGGCAGCAGCACCATGGGCTCGTAGACCACCCAGCGCTTGGGCGCCTGCGCCACCAGCGTCTCGATCGACCGCTCTGGCAGTGACACGTCCGCCAACAGGGGCTGCCCGGGCAGAGTCGGCAGCACGCTTGTCAGCCAGCAGCGCACGACGGCTGCGAGTCTGCTTTCGGGCTTGGGCTTCTTGGGCCGGCCGTCCTTGGCATGGGCACGCCCGTTCAGCTGCCTTGTTGGTGTCCCTACTTCTTGTGTAGGCGTAGCATCCATGTCGATCTCCATGCTGTTAACGATGTCAGGGTGTATCTCGTCCATGCTATAAGATGCCCAGCCAGCATGTGCGGATGAGGGTCAAACTGAGCCGTTGACTATTCTGGCGATGCTCTCATCTCGTATGATGTTGGTTTTTTTCCTAAACTGACCTGTTAGTCTGCACCGTCTACTCATTCCCTGAAGCTCTAAGTAGGCGTGTCGTTGTCGTTGACATCGCATTTCGAGCTTCGACTTTCAAGCCTCAAAAGTCTGGGCTTTTTTTGCTTTGAAGCTTAGCGTCATATCAAACGGTAGCGACGAGTCAGTGAATATTAGTGTGGGGAAGGCGCCAGAGTGTGTCTCCAAGAGAGGGGAAAGAACGACCAAGGGAAGGTGCAACTGAAGCTGAACCAAGCCTCGGCTCTCCGAGTTAGGCAAGAGCTGGCCGCACTCTAAGTAAGAACAAAAAGCTGGGGTCGCCTCCGAGTTGCGAGTTGCGGCACTCCAAAATGTAGAAGCGTCCTTTTTGTTTATTGTTTTTTCTGTTCAGCCTTTGCTTTTTTTTTCCCATCGTCCACCGATACCAACTGTCACAATGGCTCCCAAAGATTACCCGCCCATCCACCAGGTCGCGCAAGACTCCACGGAGCCGCGTGCCAAGGGCAAAATCGTGATCATCACCGGTATGCAGCTATTTACCCGCCTCTGTGCCTCAACGTGTAGATGAATAGACAGACATTAGTGGTGCTTGTGTACGTGTGTCCGTGTGTATAGCTGTACTGACCCGCAAACTTCCCAGGCGCAAACTCCCTTCTCGGCATTGGCCGTGCTTCGGCGCATCAGTTCGCCCAGAACGGCGCCCGTGCCGTCTACCTATGCGACTTCGCCGACGACCATCTTGCTGCCCACAAGCAGGACCTCGACCGCCGCTTCCCGTCCGTTGACATCCACGTCCGCAAGTTTGACGCAGCCGACGAGGCCGCCGTCCGCGACGTCATCTCCGACGCCCTGCAGCGCTACGGCCGCCTCGACGTCTTCTTTGCGAATGCCGGCATCCTGGGGCCCCAGACCGTGTTCAGCAACGTCGACGCCGACGGCTTCATGCAGACCTTGCGTGTCAACACCCTGGGCCCGTTCCTGGCGGCCAAGTACGCCGCCCCGGCCATGCAAAAGACGTCCGCCGCCAAGCCTGTGGCCGGCGGCAGCATTATCATGACAGCGTCCGTGGCTGGCATGCGGTCCAACGCCGGGTCGACGCCGTACTCGGCCTCGAAGGCGGCCGTCATCTCGCTGGCCCAGACGCTGGCGTTCCAGCTGGTCGGCACGGGCGTGCGCGTGAACGCCGTTTGCCCTGGGCTGATCGAGACGGGCATGACGTCGGTTGTGTTTGAGACAGCGAGGGCGCGCGGCACGCAGGGCAAGATTGGCCAGCTCAACCCGCTGCGGCGCGGGGGCCACGCCGACGAGATTGCGCGCGCGGTGCTGTTCCTGGGCAGCGACGATGCGAGCTACGTCAACGGCCAGGCATGGGCGGTCGACGGCGGCCTGAGCGCGGGCCACCCCTTCGTGCCAGGTAAGTTGGCGTAGGCCATGGTGTGATATAAAGGACGAAGCATGTTGGGTATTTGTATTTTGGAGTTTGTTCTTCATCTTTCAGGTTCCTTTTCTGGCCTATCTGCAAATGTAAAACGCCGAGACACCCTGCTGTACATATATGACACCGGCAAGACACCGGCAATTCAGCATTATGCGGTACGCATGCGCATTGCACCGTCACACCCACCTCCTCCTCTATCAACACTCCTGTAGAGAGTACTGCCGCGAAGTGGAATTTTCTTCTCGTCGTGTATGTATCCAATCTCCATCACGGCTAGCATCTAAATCACACCCGGGATCACAGCATAGCGACGGCCCACCTGGTCAGCACCGAAGCGCTGGATATACCACTGCCGGCCTTTGACGGCCCGTGGCAGCATCGCAAACACCTCGTTGACCACAAACATGCGTGCCGGCACACAGCCCCAGCCCGCCGCCATGTAGAAGCCCGTCCACTCCACCCACTCCACAAAGTAGTGCGGGTACAGCATGTACTTGAACAGCCCGGCCTCGGGGATCTGGTAGTGCTTGCCCACCTTTTCAAGCGGCGTGCCGTCCTCCAAGGCTTTGCGCGCGCGCCGCTGTTCCTCGCGCCGCCGTATCTCCCGCAGCTCGTCGTCGTGGTAGTAGTTGGCCGCCAGCCCCAGATAGAACACGGCAATGCCGACCACGAACTGGAGCGTGGGCCAGGGCGACAGCTGCGCGTCCCACTCGGCAGCCGTCGTGGGCCCGTAGGCGGCAAGCCAAGAGGCTATGCTGGTCGCGTTGAAGAGCTGGAAGATGAGGCCTGCGCACCACACCAGCAGGTGGATGGGCGACATGGACGGCGCCATGAGCGGGTACATGATGGCGCGGTAGCTGTAGTGGATGACAAAGAGGCCGGCGAGCACCTTGTTCTGCCAGGGCAGGTCCGCGATACCCTGCTCCTTGGTGAGCGTGCCCATAATGTAGACCAGCGTCAGGAAGCCGGGGCTCTCCATCGTCATCCAGGCGATGCGCCCGGGGATGTTGAAGCGGCTGTCAACGGACGTCTTGCCCATGCCGTACCAGCTGATGATCCATTGCAGCGAGGGGAACTGACGGTCAGCGGAGAATGACAGAAGACAGAATACGGGTGGGGGGAGGGGGGGGGGGGACGCCAGAAGACTCACAATTGGGTAGAAAGTCCACAGTCTCAAAATGAAATTGTAGTGCTCCCGCGTCGGGGGCATCCAGCCCTCGATGAGCGCCATAGTAGGCCGCGGAGTCAGAGACTCACAGGGCAGGCCAGCAAGTGGCGAGTGCGTCCCGGGTAGCTGCTGCTCCCGTCGTCGTACACGCGAACGGAAGTGGGAGGTTGAGGAAGTTTTGCTTCTCGTGTAATCTACGAGAAGCCGGCTGGCCCAAAACAAATCCAGGAAACCAAAGCACCGGCAATGTCGAGTAAGCGGTGTCCAAGAAGAGAAAGCAAAGTAAGAATATTCAAGAGGTCGTAAACATATGCCGGTCAAGACGCCGGTTGTTGCCAAAAGGAGCGTCGCCAAAGTCAATGGGAAGATGCGGGCGCAAATATCAAGTTTTATGCTCCACGGCGAAACGCAGCCAGATGTCAGTGCCTTGCTGCGCCAATCCCAGTCGACGACAGAAAGTATGTGTAAACATTGGTTTGCGCCTGCCGTCAGGGGCAGCCAGGCACTGGAACAAAGTAAGTTAGCGCAGGTCTCGGCAATCGCGGGGTGCTAAGTGGGCGTGCAGTGGTGTCGTAGAAGGCAATCCGGGGCGGTTCCCCCCTGGAAACAGAACCTGCAGGCCTAATTTTGGCCACGCGACCGGCTACTGTCTTACGTTCCTAATTAAAGTATCTTACGTCTCCTGCATCCCTCCGGTTGTCCTCTTCTTTCTACTTGCGGGCACGGCTCGATGTAAACTCTCGGTGAGTGGCCTCGATGGCAGTCAGTGTCAGTATGAAAACTTGACTGCATCGTACAATGCATATGTGGTATACTCCGATATTCGTTACACTTTATACACGATAAGTCGTGGTCCAACAACAGGAGGTACACCTTTCGCAGAAAAGCACGTGACAATCCCGGACACGGATCCTGTGACACAGCACGTGAAAGGTACAAAGTACAACGGATGGAAGGTCAAAGAATCCGGCCACAAAGACGGCGCAAGGACGGGCCAAATGCGCTAACGGTTGAAGTATTGGGCGATGCGGATTGGCTGGCGCGATGAATTGGCCAACATCGTGCCTCCTGACTGTCCCAACTGCCTGCGTTGCGCCTTCCGCCTCCGTTCGATTCCGCCACCAGCGTCAGTGTTTTCACTCTCACGAACGCTCTTTCCATAACAAAGGAAATGTCTTGCCTACCTCCTGCCTTTTGCCGGCCCTGGAATCATCGCCAAAGTATTTTTGCTGTGCGACCACTGAATTTACCGCGTAACAGTCATCTTTAGCGGGCCGGGCACTGCAACTTAGGCCTTCTGTAAGCCATTTATGGGCACTTTGCTGCTGGCTGCACTTGCCCCAGCGGACCAGGCCAGGCCCAGCCCAGTCACGATTATTACGGAACAGGCAGGGATCCGAAATCGCGTCTGTGGAGCAACCGCCGCCCCCGGCCTCTGGTTTTTCAGCTTCCTTTGCTGTCCTTCGTCTACCTTGGTCCGATTCTCTTCTCTCCTCTTCTCTCCGTCCTCGTTCCCGGCCGCCAACAACCACCCCAGGACGACCCCGACGAACAATATCCCCTCCGCTCTTACGCATCGCCGTTTTACTTTCCGGTTCATTTCTCAAGTTGTATATTTCATTTGTACTTTTTTGGCCGTTACTTCTTTGCATTTTGCGACGCCTTGCATCAACTGTCTTTCGTTCCTTACATTGCCCCCTGGGGACAACTCTTCTCCAATATACGGCCTTCGCTTTGCGACGACGATTTGTACGTCTGCCCGCATCACGCATTCTTTGTGCGCTACCGGCCTGTCTGTGGGCCCCGACAATCCGTTTCCGGGCCGAGCAGCAGATGCTTGCGTGTGCCTGCATCTTGCTTGTCCATGTGACTCTTTGCCTGTTGTTTTCTTGCTAACCATTGTTGCAGAACGGCTCAACTGCAATCACCAACCTGCTTCCTACCTCAGGTCATACCATTTTCGCTTCGTAGAGTGCCCCAATCTCGGTAGCGTAGTCGAGGACAACACGGTCGCCGACATCACCGGCCGCTCAATACGCCGCGCCACGATCGACGATATCGGCCCTTCATTCCGAGTGCCCCGAACACAGCAAGGCTATTGCGCGTGTCTACCGAGCCACGCTGAGTCGACCGACGCCCGGTTGTTTGTTTCAGACATGCCGCAGGTTATGGGTGCCAACCCGATCCTGCGTCTCGCCGTTACTGGCGTTGCGCAGGCGGGCGCATCGAGACTCCTCCAGACAAGGACAATATCGACCTCCACCTCCACCGTACACCGTCTTTTCCGCCCCACAACGTCCACTGCCGGTCAACAGATGCGCTTTTACAGCGGTGCCTCTGGTCTGACGTCGTCGTCTCTGCGCGCGTCGACCGGCTCCTCGTTCACGTCAAGCCGGACCGCCGTGCCGTTCACGCAGGCCGCGCAGCACATGATGGCCCGCTTGCAGCAGCAGCGCCGGAGTGTTGTCCTGTCCGGCGGTATCTCCCGCAACCTTCTCGAGAACCGCGAGGCCGCCGCCAACCGCAACCCGAGCAGCGCGTCCGCCCAGAACGCCTTTTACCAGGTCCTCCTAAAGGCGAACATGCCCATGATTGTCATCGAGCGTTACAACTCGGGCCGCTTCGGCTCCAACGAGGCCACCACCGAGGCCTACCACCGCGCCCTGGGCATGATTAGCTCTACGCCCGGCGCTGTTCCATCGTCCGTGGCCGATAGCTCGGCCGTCGTGGGCGGCATGAGCGGCTCCGGCCTGGCTGCCAACAACTCCCAGCTGTCGGCCACCCAGCTGCAGGCCGTGGGCCAGGCGATTGCCGCGCAGCACCGTGGCGCGTCCATTGCTGTGAGCAAGGGCGCGCAGGGGACGGGTGCCAAAGACGCGCCGATCCACGTTGTGGTCGACCAGCCGATTGGCGACGTGCTCTTTCGATGGGTCAAGTTTGTCCTCTGGTTCTGTCTGTTCACGTACTTTAGTTTGGTCATGATAACGATGCTGATCGAGGGGCTGAACACGTTCAAACGTCCAACGGGCCGCTCGGACAACGAGGTCAAGGCCGAGAGCCAAAAGACCCGCTTCACGGATGTCCACGGCTGTGACGAGGCCAAGGAGGAGCTGCAGGAGCTCGTCGACTTCCTCAAGAACCCCGCCGGCTTCTCCACGCTCGGCGGCAAGCTGCCCAAGGGCATCCTGCTGGTGGGCCCGCCCGGTACCGGCAAGACGCTTCTGGCGCGTGCGGTGGCCGGCGAGGCCGGTGTTCCCTTCTTCTACATGTCTGGCAGCGAGTTCGACGAGGTGTACGTCGGTGTTGGTGCCAAGCGCGTTCGCGAGCTCTTTTCGAGCGCGCGCTCCAAGTCGCCTGCGATTGTGTTCATCGACGAGCTGGACGCCATTGGCAGCCGTCGCAACTCGCGCGACGCTGCGTACGTGAAGCAGACGCTGAACCAGCTCCTGACGGAGCTCGACGGCTTCGAACAGAACAGCGGCGTTATCATCCTCGCTGCGACCAACTTCCCCGAGCTGCTCGACAAGGCGCTGACGCGGCCTGGCCGCTTCGACCGCCTGGTCAACGTGGATCTGCCCGACGTGCGCGGTCGCCTGGCCATTCTGCAGCACCACGCCACCAAGGTCAAGGCCGCCAAGGACGTCGACCTCAACTCGATTGCGCTGCAGACGTCCGGGCTGTCGGGTGCCGAGCTCGAGAGCATCGTCAACCAGGCGGCGATCCATGCGAGCAAGGCCAAGTCGCAGTCGGTGAGCAAGAAGGACTTTGACTGGGCCAAGGACAAGGTGATTATGGGCGCGGAGCGCAAGAGCATGGTGATCAGCCCCAAGGAGAAGGAGCTGACGGCGTACCACGAGGCGGGCCATGCGCTGGTGAGCTACTTTAGCCCGTCGGCGCCCAACAAGCTGTACAAGGTGACGGTGCTGCCGCGCGGTAGTTCGCTGGGCCACACGTCCATGCTGCCGGAGATGGACAAGTACTCGTACAGCGTCAAGGACTTTTTGGCCATGATCGATGTGTCGCTCGGCGGCAAGCTGGCCGAGGAAATTGTCTACGGCAACGAGATGGTGACGGGCGGCGCGTCGAGTGTGAGTTTTCCGATTCAACCTCCCTTTTGCGATCTACTTCAACTGACATGCCACCTTAGGACCTCGAACACGCCACGTCCATTGCATATCGCATGGTTACGCAGCTGGGCATGTCGGAAAAGGTTGGCCCCGTCCAATTCTGGAGCCGCTACAACCAGCTGAGCTCCGAGACCAAGTCGGTCATTGAGGCCGAGGTCCAGAAGACGCTGTTTGAGGCGTACGACCGCTCGCGCAAGCTGCTCGTGTCGAAGCGGAAAGAGCTCGACCTGCTCGCCAAGGCGCTCCTCGAGTACGAGACGCTGGACAAGGACGAGGTCCTCAAGGTCATCTCGGGCCAGAAACTGGCCGACCGCATCCCCGTGCCTGTCGGGCCCATGCTGGTGCCCAAGACACCGGGCCCGCTGGACGTGGCCATGCCGCCCGGCCTCGGCCCAGACAGCGACGACAATAAGGCGCCGCCGCCTCCACCGCAGACCGCCACGCCATGATCAAGGGAGTGGTGGCGGTGGTAGTGAGGCGAGTGCATGGAGAGGGGGGGTGGCAGGGTCCTTTGTTGTTGGGAAGGACACGGCGAGGAGATGGGGTAGAGCGAGTGATGCGCGAAACACGACGGAGGGCAGCGACTGTAAGGCCATGTCGCTCGGCTCGGGCTCGGGCTCGGGCTCAGGCTACGAATCGAAGAGAAGACGGGACACGGGACATTGGGCCGAAAAGGCCAACCGTCTTTGTTGTCCAAGCGTCTACACGTGTAATTTGCTTTTGTTCTTTTATCAGCAGATCCCATCATACAACATCTTATTTTTGTTTCTTTTTGTTTCTTTTTCTCGTAATTTGTTTCGTTTCTGTCTCCAACTCAATCAACCGGTGCCTCTTTCCTCTTGATACGGCCGTAAAATGCTTTTTTAAAATGTCAGCACTTCAGATTCCAAATAGCGATTGATTGCAAAAGAGTGTTTTGGCGATATATGCAGGCGCTCCATGTTCTATGTTGTATACGATTTCCTGACCGGAGTCGCATATCGGACGGCGTTGGCTGTGGGCCGATCATAAAGCCGTCGAGCCGTCGGCTTTAGTGAACGGCTGTGTTGTCTTTCATTGGTAAAAGCGACAGCAAGCACTCTGCAGCACTCTGCAGCACTCTGGGTATCGCCGATAGATACGAGCTGCGGCTTTTAGGGGATAAGGCGCTGTGGTGGCTCAGTATGCAACCAGTCCACCGCTGGCTGTTAGTGAAGTATCGTCCGGAACACTGCTGCCGATGTCTTAAGCAGCTGCACGGCAGGAAGGAGCGAGCCTTACGTCCAGCCATGCCGCCAGAGCCAAGTAATACTCCGTGACCCGTTTGGTAGCAGATGTCTGTCGTCATTCACTTGCTTTGCACACCAATTGCGCAAACCGCTCGATTTGGCAGGACCGGATCCGGGCCCTTCCTGTTCTAGACTACGAAGCCACTGGCGTCAACCTGACAGGTGCTTCCTGCCCACGGCGACCATCGGGAAGGCGGGGCAAGACAAAGGACCAGCAAGTTGCCGCCGATAGAAGGAGCAGCCTCGATCGAGCTTTCCGTAATTAAGAAGCTAAAGACCGCAGCTCTTGCCCGGGAATTGGGACTTGGGACTTGGGACTTCCTGCCTGTAGAAAAAGTATAAGTAGAGACGACGCCGTTTCCAATTGCTACTTGATCCTATAGCTCCAGGCATCGTCAGACATCGTCACAAACATCGTCACAGAACACCGTCATATTAACATACCGATCCAAATTCTTCAGTCTCAACTTCTTGTCCACCCGCTTGAGCCTCTTCTGATATCGGCCCCGCTATTTGACAGCCAGCCTTCACAACACTAAGTGCTGACACGTTCCGTCGTAGCCATGACCAAAGTTCTTGTGACTGGTGAGATTATGCGGCCCCTGTCAGATTTGCTTTTTACACAATGTGGCCTCCCTCTAGCTACTACCAATACTAACACGCACTACCAGGCGGCTCCGGCTTCATCGCCGCCCACATCGTCGAGCAGCTCCTCGCCAAGGGCCACTCGGTTGTCACAACCGTCCGCACCCAGGCCAAGGCCGCCAAGATCTACGAGGCACACCCCGAGCTCGGCAAGGACCGCCTGCAGATTGAGCTGACGCCGGACCTGACGCAAGCCGATGCCTTTGACAAGGTGGTCCAGGTGCCCGGCATTGAGGTGGTCCTGCACACGGCCTCGCCCTTCCACTTCCGCATCACCGACCCCGTCAAGGATCTGATCAACCCGGCCGTTATGGGCACGACGAGCGTCTTGAAGGCTATCCAAAAGTCGGCGCCGCAGGTGCGCCGCGTGGTGGTGACGTCGTCGTTTGCGGCCATTGTCGACGACAACACGGTGGGCGACCCGAACCACACGTACACGGAAAAGTCGTGGTGCCCCATCACGCTCGCGGACGTCGGCGCGAACCCTGGCAGGGGCTACCGCGCCTCCAAAAAGCTGGCCGAGAAGGCCGCGTGGGACTATGTGCGCGACAACAAGCCCAACTACGACCTGGTGACGGTCAACCCGCCCATGGTGTTCGGCCCGATTGTGCACCACCTCGACGACGTGTCCGGCATCAACACGAGCAACGAGCGGTTCGTTGATGCGATCACCGGCAAGTGGAAGGCGGCTGGTGCCGTGACGAGCCAGGGCCCGATCCGGATCTGGGTGGACGTGCGAGACGTGGCCAAGGCGCATGTCCTGGCCGGTCTCGAGAAGCCCGAGGTGGGCGGCCGCCGGCTGTTCTGCACGCAGGGTTTCTACACGAACAACCAAATCTACCAGATTCTGCACAAGAACTTCCCCGAATACAGCGAGCAGCTGTCAGGCGTCAAGCTCAGCGAGGAGCCCGAGGAACACTTCCAGTATGACAACTCGGAGACGCAGAAGTTGCTGGGCATTGACTGGATCCCTCTGCAGAAGAGCGTGGTCGACGTGGTCAACAGCGTCAAGCCGCTGCTGAAGTAGAGGCACAGAAGAGAGGCTCGGGATATAAGGCGTTCTGCTCAAAGGAGCAAAAACGGAAAATTGCAAGCAATATATATTGAATACGTAAAACAACAATGATCATTTCTCATAATTTTTGTTTCCGGCATGTATTATCTCATCACTTTCGCCCGTGTCCTGTATCCTTCCCTACGAGTCCACCTCCATCGGCTGCGGCTGGTCTTGTGCCTGTTGCAGACCAGATATCTCCTCCAGCATGCCCTTCCGCCATGCCTCAAATTCCTGCTGCTTGGCCTCGCTCAGGAAATCATACCGCGTCTGGAACATGCTGTCGGCCCGCCACACCGTGGTCGGAATGCTGACGCCACCGTAGTCTCCATCGTCACCCTCAACGTCCCTGCCCTCCTCATCGCCGACGGCACCGTCGCCCTCGGCATCGCCATCGCCGCCGCTGGTAGCCACGTGCAGGTTAGCAATGTCCTGGTACCAGTCGCTCTGCAGCCACTGGTGCTTGGACACAACGACCAGCGCGTCGCGGAACGTGCGTTTCTGCAGGTCCTGCCAGCCTTCCCAGGCGCTGTCGTCCCGCGTGCCCACCACGCCGCGCACCTTGTCAAACGCGCCCAGGATCGCCTTTTCGTCGAGCTGGAACTGCCGCTCCTCCAGGCCACTACGACCGGCGCCGCCGGGCTGTGTGCCTGTGTGCTCGCGCCACGAGGTCATGCAGTAGAGGTAGAGTGCCGCCACAAGAGCCGTCAGGCTGTCTTCGAGCCACTCTGTCATGTCTTCTTCATCGTCGTCGTCGTCGTCGTCATCATCATCTTCTTCTTCTTCTTCGTCATCACGTTCAAGGCCCTTGCGTGGCCGGTTCTGCTTCTCTTTGGCTTCAATGGCCACGTCACGGTGAATGGCAGCCAAGCCGGCAGCGATGGTCGGTGCCAGCTGCGGGTGGCCCAGCTCGTGGCAGATGAAGCGCACGGTCGGCCGCACCCACGGCGGAAACTGGGACGCGGCTGCAGCAGGCCGTACACTCTTTCGTGGCGTCGCCTGTCCCGCGGCAGACTTTGAAGCCGTGTTGACCTGATTTGTGGTTGTCGATGCGACCCGCCTAGGTGTACTGGCCACGCTCGGTGCTGGCGATCGTAGACTGTGGCCCGGATCGATTCGTGTACTCGACGCTGCTGCGCGCACACCCGGAGCTGGTGCCAGGATCGTGTTGAGGTGTGTATATAAGCGCTTGTAGAGCCGCGGCTGAATGGGGGGACGCGGCTCGATCGGAGGCAAGTTGAGGCTCGTCTTGAGGCTACGACGTGTCAGTACTCCAGGCCATGTCTTGGATCGCAACTTGGGTGTGGCTCTGCTTCACCCACCGATCGCATGCAATGTGCGCGCACGCATAGGACCGCGCAATCTCCTCGTCGGCCTTGAGCGTGCTGGCGCGATGCCGCGACTGGGCGAGCAGCGAGCCGGCGAGGTCCGTCAGCTGGGGCGGGAACGGGCCATTATGCGTCGGCAGCAGCGACCGAAGAGCAGGCTCAGCTGATCGGTTCATCTTGGGTGGTGTATGGAGGAGTGGTTGAGCGTGTTAAGGCGGTACGTCGTTAAGGCTTGATCTCGTCTGCTGGCCACCATTTTGCTCCATGCGCGCCTTTTCACGCTTGGCATGTTCAGGGACGTGTTCCAGCGTCCATTCAGCGCGTCGCGCTATGACGTAGCGTGGGAGGTCCCCTAGATTGGCCCAATCGACAGAGCTCTATTGCACTAAATGCCCACCATCCAGCGCTGTCCTACACCCAAACAGCTCGCCCAATACGGAAGTCGATACAGGCTGTCGATAAGCAAAGGCAACACTAATGGCAACGTGCTAAGGAAAAGGGGGGCCGCCGTTACGTCTTTCCACCTGGTCAATTTATGAGTGCATTTGTTTCCCAGCATCAACAACATCACACAATCCCGCCCACGATGCTACCATTGCGACTTCTTGCGGCGGCAGGCTTTCTGGCCGTGGCCATGGCGCACGGCGACCACTCTCCCAGCAAAAAGCCCGAGGTTGGCGAAGACGCAGACTGGATCACAAGGCACATGGCAGGTGAGTCAATGTCAACAAAAGATGCGCGGCGATAAAAGGAAACAAAATGACTAACTACTGTATCCCTCGGGCAGAGGAACACCACATTGCCGACTTTGACGGCGACTCCTTCTTCACGCTGCACGATTTTGACGGCGACAGCTTCTGGACGCCCTCCGAGATCGAGCGGACCTACGGCCTCAACGACGCATCCAACGACGGCCTGGCGCCCGAAAAGCGCGCGGCCGTGGCACCCGCCGTGCTGGCACTCTTTGACACGGACGGCGACGGCCGCATCAGCCGGTCCGAGTGGTGCAAGGGATTCATCGAGGACGGCAAGACGCTGCCAGACCTCGGCACGGGCCCCGGCCACCACGGCGACGACGAGTACGAGTACGAGATCCACCACTGGGAGAAGTACCACGACGAGAACACAAAGATCGAGGACCTGACGCACCCCGAAGACATTGAGCACTTCAAGTACCACGAGGAGCTCGCAGCCAAAGAGGAGGCCGAGGAGGAGGCACGGCGGGCGCGGGAGGCGCTGGCCATTGTCTGGAACAATGTGCCGACAATGTTCCGGAAAGCGCGGACGCAGACGTAGCAGCATATAGGATGTTGGCGTGGACGGGAGGAGGAGATAGGAGAGTGCCCAGGGAGTAATTCTTTTTTACAGTTGCGATTGGATATAAAGACGTATAAACAGCGTTCTCGTGGATAATAGAAACATGATATTTCGTATGCAAAAGGGCCCCCGGTGAGAGGATGAACCCAGCAGACACAAGACGGTAAACAATACAGATGCAGACCAGCGCCCGCCCACGCAAACATACAGGAAGAGAACGGGACGAAAGAAAACCAAGGAAGAAACGTCAAGATGCACGGTGTAAGACTCGCTCCGGCCCAAAAGACCGCCTACAAAAAGTAGTCGCTCGGCCCCCTACGGTTAAAAGGCGTGTGGCGGAACTCGTCGGGTACGGCCGAGAAAATACGGAACTTGGACTCCAGGTTGTTGTCGACCGTCATGATGGACGCAACATTACCACACCGATAACAGTAGTTAGGTGCTGACCAGACGGTAACAACGGACTTTTCGGCGAAGTGGAACTAGAGTCAATGTTAGCAAGGTGCCATATTTTTCGGCAGATGTATACCCACACAGAGACAAGTCACAGAAGGACTGAACCCACCTTGTATCCCTCATTGACCAGCTGGTGCGCACGCGCAATTGTCTTGAGCCCGTTGACGTGGTTGAACTCGTGCGCCACCTTGTCGCCAAACAACCAGCCAGCACCGCGCGGACTGACCGCCCACGCCTCAATATCCTCCGGGTCACTCCACACGAGGTCGCAAAATGCGCCTTCGTGCGGGATCTCCTGGGCACGCGCGACAACACGGATCTGGTCAATGGTGCGGATCTCCGGCGACAGACCGCCGTGCACACACAGCACCGTACCGTCCACAATGGCCGCCAGCACAAGGAAATCAAAGACCTGGCAGCACGCCTTCCATACCGACGCGTTGCCGTACTTTTGCTGGCACTCTTCGTAGAAACCATACACTTGCGTAATCTGGCGCGACTCGTGGTTGCCGCGGACCAGCACAATGCGGTCCGGGTACTTGGCCTTGAGGCACATGAGCAGCGTAAACGTCTCGAGACTGAAGTAGCCGCGGTCGACAAAGTCGCCCAAAAACACAAAGCGCGAGTCGGCCGACTGCGACGTGCTCGATGCGCCCTCAGTCGTGTTGCCTGTGCGGCTGTTGTCCGCATCGCCGCCGTTGGCCGCATCGATTGCATCCCCCGCCGCCGCTGATGCGGATGCTGATGCGACGCCTTCCGCTCCCTCTGCCTCGCCACCGCTGCTGCCTTCGCCGTCGTCGTCGAATGCCGCGTCGTCGCCACCGCCAATCAGGCCCGCGTGCAGTTTCCTCCGTAGCCGCGGGTTGCGGATCTCCGTTGGTGGCTCAATGTCCTCCGAGGTGATCACGGCAGTCATCGTCCTAGGTGCCTGCACGTCTGTCTCGCCCGGCATGCCACCCGCTACGCGGAACAGCTCCAATAGATCGTAGAATTGGCCGTGAATGTCGCCACAGATCGTCACCGGCGTTGAAACAGGCTGGATGTTTGACTCTGCGCGGCGTCCGTCAGCATTTACCATCTCCCACGACCAAAGGCACACTGTACCTGCTTCAACACTTCAACACTCACCCTCCATCAGCACTTCCTTCACCATCTCGCAGAGCTGCTTCATGACGGCCTCGGGTAGGTAGTGGCACTGTTTCGCCTCCTCGAGCCACTCGTCCAGGCCCGCGCCCGCAGTCAGCTTCGCCGGCCCTGGTCGTGGAACGTCGGCCATGATATGTGTGGTGTTCAGGGTATCAAAAAGAAGTGTCGTGGATCCAGTTCCGTATGGGTCGCCGCGGTCCGCGCCTCTCGATGGCTGTCAATATCGTCAACGTTTCGTCGTGATGTCTGAATCGATTACAAACACCGTACCCTTGAGGAATGATAGGGGCCTGCAGCGGTACAACAGGAAGGTAGCCGTCCAAGATACAAGTATTCTGAGTCTCGTCGTCTTTGTGTAAATAAAACTAATTGCCGTCCGCAGCCAGTCGTTCTTTAAATTAGGGCTCTATACGGCGTTGTCGTCGATATGCTGTTTGTTGATGAAAGAAGTGGAAACCCGCAAAGGCATTGCCACTTTCGGGCCTAAGATTGCTCGTTTTGCTGGCTATCTTGAGCGCTGAAGTGCCTACCGCGCTAGCGCTGAGCGTTGCTCTGGCTCGTGGTCAGGCCTGGCCGAAACACGGGCAGACGGACTCGTCCTCGTGCCTTCCCTGTCAGTACCCTGAAGAGAGTTAGGGGGGGGGAGGCTGTCGGCGAATCAGTTGATCCGCTCTGATAGGTAGTAGGCGCTGGGCTCCACTCAGCCTGCTCAATACGTCAATTTAGGCCACTTGCGGCAAGAGCACGTAACTAACAATGGCCAATTTTCGCAGTGAACAGCTCCTGCCCAGCTCGGTCGTCGTAGCGGCCGGATCCTGCTATTTCGAGCCTTTCGGAGAACGTCATGCTTCATTCACCGGCTCACGATATTTTCACAGCATTTGCACCTCCCGTCTCGTTCCAGTTCCTACGCCAATATATGAGAGCTTGACAACGCAACCTACACGGACCCCCGTGCTCGCCACATATGCTGCTATCACGACCGTGAGCAGCCCCGTCCCCAAATGTCGGCGCCCCAGGTGCTGTCGCGCAAGGCGAACGGCACACAGCCCGTGGCCGCCAGCAAGACAGCAGCCACGACAGCATCACAACCTACAGCCACGGAAGCAGTGGCAACGACAACAATCTTACCGGCCGACGATGCTGGCAAGCCCGCAAAAACCAAACCGGTGCAGGAGGGCGAGAAGGTGGTGATCCGTCGCCTTCCCCCCGGTCTGACCAAGGACGAGTTTCAGTCCATCCTGGGAGACGAGTGGAAAGAAGGCAACGGCAAGATTGGCTGGCTTTCCTTCCATGCCGGCAAGGTGTCCAACGAGTACGTATTGGATCCCGGTGCCGTCTTGTTACAGCGCAAGTAAAGTGTCGATTTACTTACCAGACTAGTCATTCCAAGCCCTCCAGCCCCGCCTACGCAACCGTCCACGTCCTTGACCGGCAGCACCTCAACGCCCTATCCGACGCCGTGCGCACGGCCTCATGGTTCGACAACCGGGAAGCGTCGACCTTTATTGGTCCCCCGTCGGCCGAGTTCTCCTTGTACAAAAAGGTGCCCAGCGGAAAGCGCCGTGTGGATAGCCGGCAAGGCACTATTGACCAGGACCCGGAATTCATGGCTTTCTTAGAGGCCCTGGCCAACCCAGCTGCTGCGGCTGGTGGCAAGGACGGCGCGTCGGCTGCAGATAACAGCGACCCGTCCGCCGCAGGTGGCGGCGACGACGACGGCAAATCGAAGAGCAATGCCCAGTCCACACCCCTCATTGACTTTTTGCGCGAAAAGAAGGCCAACAAGAGCAAGGAGGCGGCCCTGGCCAAGGCCGCTAAGCGCGACGGCAAGGGCAAGGGTGCGGCAGGTGACGATTCAACCAAGAAGGGTCGCGGCTCCAAAGATAAGGATAGTGCCGGTGCCGGCAGTGGGCGTGGCGACCGCAAGGAACGGGAGAGCCGGTCCGGCCGGTCCAAGGGCGGCACATTAAAGATTCTAACAAAGAAAGCCGGAAGTGCATCGGCCGCGCCTAGTGGCCCGACGCCGTCTACGGCCGCCAACAATGCGCTGGCCGCCGCCGCGGCAGCACGCGACGAGGCACCCAGAAGCCGCCGTGCGGGCATTCTGGCTGCTGCCCGCATCCTACAGCGCGACCTTGGCCTCAGTCCGGGTAACGCTCACAGACGAGCGCGTGCCGCTGCTGCTGCGCAGGCCACGGCGCAAACTGAAGCCGACTCAAAACCCAGCGGAGCTACCACTGGTAAAGGGGACGGCAAGGGACATAAGGACGACGGGACCACTGCGCCAGGCGCCGCCTCCTCAAATACAACTGCATCGGCCTCGAAGACAGCCACAGCCACAGAGGCTTCTGCACAAGCTTCTGGAAATGCAAAAGGCGGGTCACGCGACGAGCGGTCCGCTCGCGGGTCGAGAAGCAAGAAGAACGAGTCAGGCAAGGGACGGGGTGGCTCTAATGCGGACAAAGGGTCTGACAATACAGCGCCTCCCGCACCAACACCTACGAAAATTCTCTTGAAAAAGAAAGACGATACTACAACAACAGCACCATCCACGACTGCAAATACGAATGTACCTTCCCCTGCGGCAGCTGCAGGGACAGCGACGTCTTCTCCGGCCGCGACCAAGGCTGGCAGTGGCAGCAAATCTGAGACCAAAGAGAAGGGAGGCAAGGCGGGTGGTGGTGAAGGTGGACGGGTCAGAAACAAGAAAGACGGTGGCGCCAAGCCGCAACCGGCACAGTCCGGAACGGGTGGACCATCGGCGTCGCCCGGTCCCACGCGGGCTTTTGTCAAGCACGCAAATCCGTCGCAGGGCGTGACCGAGGGATTGCTCAAAGAAGCCATGCTCGGGTTCGGCGCCGTGACCTTTGTCGAGATTGACCGCCGCAAGGGATTCGCCTTTGTCGACTTTGCCGAACCGGCCAGTCTTGCGCGGGCCATGGCCGCATCGCCCATCGCGATTGCGCAGGCCACTGTACAAGTGCTGGAGCGGAAAGACCGCGACGCGAAAAAGAGCGGCGGCAGTGGTGGTGGTGGTGGCGGCGGCGGTGAAAAGGGAGGCGATCAGGGGCCGCCTGCCAAGAAAGCCGCCAACCAGTCATCGGCTGCCGCCGGCGATACGCCTGCCGCAGCAGCTGCTGCCGCTACTGCTTCCACGTCGGATCAGGTGTCCGTCACTGGAAGTGCAGTGGGCGGTGCGGACTCTGCCGGCGCCGATAGCAAACGGCCACCTCGCCGTCGGGGCGGACGCAAGCGCGGAGGAGGAGGAGGTGACGACGGCGATGGGAAAGAAGGTGGCGGCGGAGGTGCCAACGGTGCCAACGGTGGTGGTGTTGGTGGCGGCGGCGGCGGCGGCGGCGGCCACCGCAACAGACGTGGTGGAAATAAGGCGTCGGCTGAGGGTAGTGCCCCGAAAGCTTCTAATTGACGGCCTCTGTCTTCAACTCATACAATTAAAGTAGGTCATGCTGCAGCATGAGAAACATCCGTATACGGTCTGAGATGCGATCATAGAAGGACATAATCCCTATCGCTTTCCAGTTTCGTTGTCAAATTGAGCCTAACAATAGTGTTACACTTTGCCCACATGGACGCGTTACATGTCAAGTCAATTGAAAGAAAATCAAAATCACCGGAGTTGAGGAATCGCATCGCAGGGTTTACTTAGTGCACGGTCGCGGTAAGAGCGGGCCGCATTTAGTGAGGGTCTAGTTCAGTTCACCGCTTAGTCATACTTTGTCTTCATCCTTCCTCTATGGAACACCTTACTCGTCAACGAAATGCATCGGCGACGACACAAACGCAACTAATAATTACTTTAGTGCATGCTCGTTGCTACAGAGCCCTGCATCTGCGTCGCCTGGCGCTTTTAGAGCACTACCGCCGTATGCCCAGCAGTCAACCTGGGTTTCAGTGGCCGCGGGCCTGTTGACCGTCGGCCGTTTTATTGAGGCTTTGATTCGACAGTTTGCGGACGTTTGCGGATGTCTCTTCCAGTGACCTGTTTTATTGGCCAGCCTCGTGACTAAAGACCCTTGGTTTAGTCAACGAATAAGGCTGTGCTACATCAAGCTTGTGTCGCCTTTGATTCAGTGGCCTCGTCGTCCTCCGCTCGTGCTCCTACTGGAGGCCTTGTCGTCAACGTCGGTGGAGGAAAGGCGAACAATTGTAGACAGGCAATGACACAGAGGCGTCGTAAATGGTAGTAGTAGAAAAATATAAAAGGAGCCGTCGCCCATGAAAGATTTCCATTTTGCAAACGCAGCGCCTCTTTGTCGTCTTTGTCTAAATATCAACCCCTTGCATCGTTTCGACGAGGCCATTGTTTACATTCTGTCTCTCCCTCGTGAGATCGCTACAATCGACAGCTGAGAACGACAAGAACAGTGAGTATTCGTTACCAGGCCATGAGGCATGGACAAGCCAATTGTTATGTCGCTTGAAAGAAACTAACAGAGCAGGAAGATTTACAAAGAAAGGAGAGCGAAATCATCAGCCCGACGACCAGGAAGAAAACAAACAATCCTGCTGCTGCACATCAGGAGCACAAAGAAAGATCGGCTCTCTAAATTTCGCAAATAGCAACATCGCCTCACAACACAGCTCGGCACGGAACAAAGGGTGGCAGCATCCAAGTGCCCGGAATAGCTCCCTCGTTGTGCTTCACTTCAAAGACAACTTCACTTCATTGTCCCTCGCCCCCTATCAACACCCCTTTCTCTCCCGTCGTGCTTCACTTCGTTTCGAGGGCAAACGATCAGCCAAGGGATATCCAAAACACACTCATCATCCCAATAACAAGACAAAAGATACCATATACCTCCTCCGTCTTCGGTCCTTCTTTGTGTCTATCGAATCTATAAGACGCGACTTCATTCACCTCGTCGTCCTCTTCCTCGATTGATACAAATATATCTCAACCCAACAACAGTCTTCCACAGCTACCTTTCCATCGCCTAAAAGAAGCGTCAACAAGAACCGACATTGCCTCGAATCTCAGCTTCATCACGCTCGGCATCCCAGTCCTACTTACAATCAAGTTGTTCACTTGGTTTATGCCTGCTTCTCCAAGCAAATTTTGGTCGCCCATCTCCATTTTCAATCTCTCAAACCACCATTATGTCGCGCTGGGCCCTTCCCTCCTCGATGTGGTCGACCTTCGCCGCATCCCGCGACAGAACCTCAAGCCGCGTCTACTCAAGCAAGCCCTACCGGGCCATCTATGAGGCTCCCACAGCAGCTCCCTACAGCCTCAAATCACGGGTCTCAGTCTACAATGAGCCCTTTGTTTACAGCAAACCCTACTACAACCGGCCAGTCAGTTCTCTGTACCCTCCATACAGTGGAAACTACGGCAGTTCTGCGGGATACGCCGGCTACGGTGCCTCGGCTCGCAAGTCATACGAGCCCACATACACCTCCTCCTATCCCAAGCCCTACTACACACTAGCTCGGGACGCCTACGACCATGAGCGGTCATATCGCCGCTATTCATCTAGCCGCGACAAGAAGCCGTCCACGGCCAGAAAGTCGGTCCGGTGGGACGACGAGACCTACAACGGCCGGCAGTATGACTGGGATCGCCGCTACGACCGCTACGGCGGTGAAAACAACTATGACTACCACCAGCGCCATGACCGCTATGGCCGGCCCATCTCGGATGCGCGCGGCACCTCGCCTCGGGTCACGGCCGCGGGTGACACCTACACCTACACCTACGCCTCGGCGGCAGCGGCGACCAAACCCCGGGGGAGCATGTACTACAAAGACGAGGCGGGGCGCCGAACGCAAAAGGATTTTGAGTACGGCTACAAGCCACGGTCCTCCCGGCGGTCCAAGTATTGAGTGGCACCGAAGACGGACTGCTCAATACTATGACATCCACCGAACGACAACAGCAAGACAGAAACAGAACGACGACATTCGAGATGCAGAAACAACGATAGAACAACAACACCACCGGCAACGGTACATAGACAGCACCAACATATGGGCAACTCCAGAAACGACCAGAAACAACAGACAATCGACTACTTTAACAGAACACAACGTTAGACGACACAAACGAGACAACACTACGGCAGGCGAGGAAACAGTTATTGGGGGTTCGAATTTGACGCTTTCAATTTGGTTGGATTTTTACGGAGTCTGGATCGTCTCCTGAAATGTTTGCTTTTTTTGCAACATTTTTGTCTGTCAACGCTGGAGCTGTGTCGTATCTCAGTTCATGACTCGCTCCTCACAGGCACAGCCTACCACTTTCGCTTTTTAGGTCTAGATGTACTGTATTCTTGTTCAAGCTTTTTATTCTAATTGCATTTCCACTTGTGTTGTCACAAGCAGAAAACTTCACTATTCATGTATCACTCTTATTCTGCAACCAGATAGATCACCAAAGCAAGCAATATTTTGTCGGTTTGAAAAATTCAACGCACCCATTGTCAGGAGTGTAAATGTCTCGATATAATACGTGACCGAATCTAAAATGATTTTATGATTGTTCAAGTCATGATTACTGGAAGTAAATTCTGCGGCCTAAATATGCGGCTAAGTGTGTCGTTTGACCCTTTTTGGTTGCCAAGTTGACAGTATTGTTGATGTCCAAAAACAGAAACTCTAGCCACAATAAGTCCCGAACCACAATCATCCATGGTCAGAATTAGTAGAAGTAGTCAAGTTCGGGCATTGTTAAGACTAGAGTTGGAGTACCGATGAATTGACGCCATGGTCTGTCTTATGGCGAACAATTTTGGTGGCTTTATCGTGGCAACGAAGACAATATGCGGCTATTCAACACGTAACAACGGTCCGAGACAATTTGAATTTCGTCAGAGTCTATATCAATGAACAAGCCCTCAATTCAGTGTCAACAATTACTGTGCATCGTCACCATCGTCTCGTCAGTCGTGCTGGGCTTTTGGTGTCAAACGGCAGCCAGCATCCTCCTGCACATCACCAGCACCGTTGAAGTCCTAGTTTGAGCCACGATAACGAATGAGAACCCCGCGGTCCTGTACAAACAGCCAAGCAGCATTGCATAAGAAGAAGTAGTGCTTCCGGATCGCCTCTAGGAAAATAGGGATCGAACAATGTCATGAAAGTAAATAGGACAAGACCCCACCTGTTTGGCAGACGGCTACCAGTGCACACCAAGTTCGGATGGCCATACGACGGCATCAAAGAACCGCGGAGGCAATCGTAGCATATGGCGACATCTCGGTAAATGTCATAGTCGACTTTTGTCACATAGAAACGTTGAATTGCGGGTGAATTGCGGGTTGGGAAGGGCAGGTCCGATAGCAAATGAACCCCGAGACACTTTCCCGTTCTTGGACACGCGGAAGAGAAAGGCGAAATCGCGGCACGAGTCGCAGAGTGGGAGCCGAACAAACGCACACGATGTTGATGAGAGATCGCACGTTTAATTTGCATTTTGCCGTGGACTTTGTCCGCTTAGTCTCTTGGGGTGATGTGGTACTTGCACGCTCTTGCATCTCACATTGTTGCCCAGCGTACCGTTCCTTCCTCTTTCGGAGTTCGCATCATTGTGCCTGTATTCATATGGCAACAAGAGGTCGTTCGCACCTTCCCCATCTCACATGCAAGTCGCTGCGCTGAATTCTTAAAATAGGTGCATGAAAGTGAAGGTGCAACGAAGGGGAAGCGAGTTTGTGTTGGCTAAAGCCGTTTATTTCAGCTCCTCCTTGTCGATACAATGCTAGCAAGAGAGCGTCGTAATCAGCGGTGATGCTGTTCTTGTTGCATCGCTCCTTCTTTAATTGAATGGCGTGTGCGGCGCGAATAGACGGTCGTACTCTGTCATTCACTTACACTCCTGAATTGGCAAGTGGGGGCATGGCAGCAAGCTTCCTCCCTCGCTGGGTCCCGGTGGACGGAGTAGTGCGAGGCGGGCAGGTGCGACGCGCGCAAAACGGTTTGCCCAAGACGGGGTACAGAAATGCAGACACAAAATAGCAAGCAACACAAGTAACGTCTCAGCCCTGTCTGGTGTACCTTCGCAGCTACGCCGGGCGACGAACAAGTGTCAATACTTCGTTAAGCCTTAAGTCTACCCCTCCACACTTTGCGCCAAATTGGTGCCCGTCCACCGTTGGTTGGTCCTGTACCTTCGGGACGGTCCCTTGCACGCCAATCCAAGACAAGGACAGTTCGACCAACAATCCTGTTCCTGCCAAAATATGTACGAATTGTCGAAAGGAAGGTACGATGCTACGGAAGTTTTAGGGAACGAGGAAGCCGCGTCCCACAAATTACGCAGATTTGGTTACAAGGGCGGAGAAAGCGCTCTGCGCAATAAGGAAAGAACGAAGTACCTGTTCTCTTTCTTCTGCAAGGGAGCAAAGAGGGAAGGAGAGAAAGAAAGACACAAAAAAGGTGACGGAAAAGGGAAGAAGAAAGAACACAGCAGAAGCTCCAGGAAGGAGCAAAGGGTGCGTGCAGAGTGCGTAAGGGAATGAACGATGATCAAATTACCGAGGGGGAGAAAAAGAGAGACATGCGGAGATGCGCAAAAACAAAACAGGGGCTGCGGTACCAACAACGAGGAACGCCCACAAAAAGAAAAGAAAGAAGACTGCGACAGAGAAAGCCGAACGCGCGACAAACACGCCCGCAAACGATATCTTACAATGTGAACGGCTGATAGATCCAAGGCCTGCCATCTTGTCACAACAAAGGGTTGTCTTGGTTGACAGGCAAAAAAAAGGAAAAGAAGAAAAAGAACGCAGAATGGAACGAGACGTGCACGGACGCGACAGGGGTTGCCGAAACCAAGAGAAGGAGAGAGAAAGGCAAAGAGTCAACAGCCTAGAGGCTTTTTGTCACAAGAAGACGCGCGAACAAAACCAGACACTCAACTCTGTAATCCTACGGAGGACGACATGCAGAGTCAGTAATAGCGGCACTGCACAGTTTTTCGCATGAAATGCGAGACGGTCTGGCCAGGCTACAGGCCGAGTTCGCTGAGATGAGTTACAGAGGACATGGAAAGGAGAAGGTGGAGGATGACGGGGCTCATCAACCAAAGGCGAACGGGCAGCCCTGAATAGGAAATTTCGAGGAAAAAAAGGCGATCGAGGAGGAGACGACACCGAAGCGACTCTGGCTTGAGAACTGGGATGCTCCGCCATGTGCGCGTGCTGTGATAGGTTCACCACGCCCATTTCCCCCAAGGCAGCCGATGGTGCTTCACACCCTCTTCCCTCTCTGCTTCCCCAGGAACCAACCATTTCCTGGCCGTCCGAAGGCACACCGTCCAGGCAGACACGCGAAACTGGCGCCAGGAGCCAAGCGTGACGGGGCTCTGATCTTCGACGCAGTGAACACGGAGGGGCAGCAATGCCCTCTGAAGCACAGCAACACAGATTAATAAGAAGCGATGGACAGCCCCCTGGTCAAGGCTCTTGCTTCGCCCCGTACGCCGTTGTGAGCCTGGCCAGGACCGACCTCACAAGGCAAACGGTAGTTGGAACACGTCTGGTCTGCCGGGTGCTCGCAAACAGCAAGCCGTTTCTGGTCGAATCGGACCAGATAAAAGGCAGCAGCAGCCGGCGTTGTGGCTTCGACCGTTATTGCTTCGTTTCTCTCCCTCACCTGTCGTCGACGGTCGTTTGAGCTGTTGACGGTCTCGACTCAAGAGCACAGTGGGACAGCACAAATCCCAACACATCGCAGCCACCATAACGCCTATCTGTCCCACCGCCCATCCCTGTCGCGGGCCCTCCCAGTTCCCTGCGGGTTGCCTACACTCCTGCGCGGCATCCCGGCCCTTCCTCTTCCCTCAAAGCCCACCACACCCTGGACAGTCGACTCGCAACACTTTGTCTGCCGTTATCCAGTCGCCTTTTTTTCCTTTCCGAGCAGGCTGTCCTGTCCTGGCTTCGCCCACACCTCATCCACACTCGCGCAATTGTTCCCGCACCCCCCCACCCCGGCTTCGTTTCTCCATCACTTACAACCAAACTTCTTCTTCCGGAAGAAAGAAATACAAAGGCGCCGCTCTTTGCTCCTGCGAGCTTGTCGCTTGTCCGCTTGTTCTCCGAGTGACTCGTCTGCCTGGCGGTTTTCCGTCTCAACAACCTTTTATCTCTCGCTCGACTCGTTTACTTCATTTACTGCTTCAAACCAAATTTATACTATCGTCGCCCTTTCTCATCTTCTTTCTTTGTACACGCCTTTCTTTTCTCTTTCATCCTCACTTTCGGTCCAAAAGACCCAGAAAAGGGGCTCCCCTGGTCTCCTAATAATACCGATTTATTTTTCTTCGCCGCATTAGGCTCAATCCCTGTCTTATACGTTGGAGCCCAACCACTTTATCCTTTCGCAGCCTTGCCGCGTCTGCACAGCCCAACTGCGCACTATTCGGCGCCCAATTTACCATTTCCCCTGGCCCTGGCCCTCGTACATTTCTTGCTCACCTTCGTCCTGTCCTTATTGGGACCTCGAGAGTGTTTTGAGTGCGTGGAGTACGGACCATCAGTACTGCAAAAATATTCGAGTTCTCACTACTGTTGTCGCCTTTTTCGTGCATAACCGGCCAAACCCTCCGTCGAGTTGCGCTGGCCAGTTGTTGTCCGTCTGTCCAATTATACACGCTTCTTACAATCCGCCTTTTTCTTTTTCTACTCACTTTCGTTTCTCTTCCTCTCGCTCCCTGCATGCTTCCCCCACACATGTTTTTTCTCATTCTATAGAAAACCTTCTTAAACCCTTGGGCATCTTTGCAGCTTACAGCTTGCCTTTCTCCCACCAAGTTTCTTCTAGTTCCGCATATTTCCTCTCCTCTCTTGGCTGCACTCTTTTTTTTTTCATTATTTTTTAGACTCTCTTTCTCTCTGCTTACACTCACCAACCATCTGTCTCGCTGCGTTTGTCCGACCATCCAGTAACAGCCACGCCATCTTGCGTCTCGATCTTTCAGTGTGGTTGCCATTTTTTTCGCCGCGCACAAACAAACCACACCATTCCCCAAACAAACGTGCAGCACGACGCATCTGTACATGCACACGATCAGCAAGGAGCAAATCCCAGAGAAAGGGCACGCCCTAAACTAGCTCGCACATCCGTTGGACGAGAGACTGAGGAAGATTGAGAGAGAGCTAGAGAGCGAGAGGCGGCTACATACGCATCCACCAAGCTGAGCTTCTACTCGATCACAACGACACACCACCAACCCACGCTTGCCTTTGCGGCACACCATATTTAGGATCCGGACCATCCCACTTTCGGACCACAGCCGTCAGGATGTCTGGAAGGAGAGTCAACTTCCGCGAATCGCCGCCGTCGAGCGCCGTGTCGTCTCGCTACACGAGTGACTCGGGCCACGGCTCGACGACCGACACACCCAGCAGCCGCCAATGGACCGACCTTCCCTCCCTCCAGAACCACTGCCGCACTCTGCTTGCGGAGAGCGACGACTGGAAGAAGCAGGTCAACGAACTGGAAGACAAGCTCGCGGAGGCCGAGGCCAAGTGGCGTGCCGTAGTTGAAGCCAATGACAAACTCGAAGGCGAGAAGAAGACACTGTCCAAGGAGAACGAAGAGAACAAAAAGTACATTGACAAGCTCGAAGACACCATCGATGACCTCAACATGCAGCTCGCCGAATCCAACGCACGCCTCAACGAGGTGCAGCACAATCCTGTCTATGGAACACCCGGCACCAGCCCTCACCACCTCGCGGACCACTTGGGACATGCGGACACCAAATCCGCGTCTTCGAGCTCGAGACACGCCAAGGAGGGAAAGACGTCGTCGTCGTCCAGCAAGAGCAGCAGCAATGCCGGCAGTGGCACCAGCTCCGGTGGCAGCAGCCACAACAGCTCGCGCGCCAAGGTTGGCAGCAGCAGCAGCACGAGCACGGCCAAGGTGTCGCGCTCCAGCAGCAGCCGCCACAACGGCAGCGACCACCAGTCCGCCAAGGACCAAAAGGCCCGCCTCTCGCAGCGCTTCGATCCCAAAGACGACGGCCTCGTCGGCAGCAACGCGTCCGCCTCCTCGGCCGCCTCTTCCTCGTCTCAGAAGCATCACAAGAGCGGGAGCAGTGGCAATGGCAGCAGCGGTAGCAACGGAAGCAGCACTAGTGCTGAGAGCGGCGGCATGCGGGCGCCGCCGTTGCGAACGCGCCGTGGCAGCTATGTCGAAGGCTACGGCCCTGGCCCAAGTGCTCTGGCAACAGCTGGCTTATTGACACCCCAGCGCTCGCCCATCTCGCCCAACAAGGGCGTGCCCCGCTCAGCACAGGCGCCCAGCGTCGTGACCGTTGCTGGCGGTCCTCCACACGGCGGCTACTACACGCATACTGGCTATGCGGCGCCGCCCCCGGCACATCAGTATGCTGGACCGCCAGCATCGTCCTCTGGGCTCATGTCGCCGCGTGGTGAAATGGACAAGGACGGCATGCGGCCCACGGTCCATCTTCTCAACGACATGACCCTTGACCCCGCCCAGGACCCGAACTACTACAACGCGTATCCTTCCGCCCGCGATCCCCGCTACGATCCCCGCCTTTCGCGCCGGTGACGACGACACTGATAGTCCTACGTTTGTTTATACCTGTCACAGTTTACGCATGCAACTACGCGTCGCACTTTTATTCCGCTTGGACCGCTGGAGCTTATGCTTACGCCCTTTTTTCATGTTTTACTGTTGTATTTTTTACCCGACTTTTCTTGTGGCTTCTTTTTCGGCTTTTCCATTTCACAACGCCCGTTTGCTTCTCATATCCCCCATTTTCGGAGTGAGACTCTTTACATTCGGTGCAGCGCAAGAGGCCGTTGCTGTTTGTACGACGAGGACGACAACGGCAATGTGCAACAACGACAGTGTAACAAGGGCACGGGTAGGATGTGATGGGGAGAAACGGTGCAGAATTGGAACACAGCGGCGTCTTTTTTTTTTTTTTTTTTGTCTCGGTTTGCATTTTTCACCATTATAACCTCGATTATAGACTAAGGGGAAGGCATGTACAACAACCATCACAACCATTTTCATGTATTCGGTTTAGGAGGATGGCAAGGGGGCGAAGAGAGATACCACGTCATGTCATGTTGCTCCATAAGATGTCAACCATCTGCAAAGGGATGCTTCTTTTTTTTTCTTTTTTTTCTATTACAATACCTGTCCATCGCTGACGTTGTTTCATATTTGTGTACTGATGGTTGTTTTGCTAGAGCATGGACGTCAAGGGAACATACAATTAGATAAGAGGAGGAGCACGGAAGATAGGTTATGGGCCTTCAAAGGTCGCATTTCTTCACAGCGGAAAGCTAAGGCCAACGCCATCGCTTGGACAACTTTTATACGGATACCCCCAGGATGATTGTCAAGTTGAAAATTGGTACAAAACCTTCAACACCCAATTTTGTGCCCATTCTCACTGTCATCGAGTGCCCTTTTTTGGTTCACTTTCTTCATAGACGCAAAGGCAACTTACACCGAAAATGGCGGCCTTCGTTGGCTTGCCACACTAAAATACGAAACATTGCACTAAATTTGTCATATTTACGGCCCCCGAGCAGCACAAGTGAATTATACGTATCATTTGATTTTCTTCCGTCGCTGCCCATAGCCTTGTGACTGTTCGTGCAGGTCGCTTGCATCCAGGCAGCAGTAGCTGGCCCACTCCCCCTCGATGACAAGTTTCCGGCGCCAGCCATATCAACCCCCCCTTCTCGCATATCCAGACATGTTGAAAACGTCCAAGGAGGGAGTCACTCGTCGGAATGCAACATTAAATTCCTTCGGACCAAAAAACGAGGAGATCCACCGCCAGAGCCTGCCGTTCCCCGCTCAAATCGTGGACTGTTGACATTCTGACCAGCTGGCCAGTCATTGGACAAATGTAAACAAGGACTGCCGTATCGGACGGGTTCGAGCCATCTTTTGCGTCTCTCTTGGTAGCGCCGCGATGGGTCCGCGTAAAGTGTGGCAGAAACCAAGGAACCATTCCAGGCCCAGCAGTGGCGGGCGCCAACCAGCAGTCCGTCCCCAAGGACAGCGTCCGAACATCCGCCGGATTCACATGCCGTGATGCTACCTTCACGTTGGGACGCGTCAAGGGGACGATCTGTGTTGCATCGGCGTGACTTGATAATATTTGATGTGACCATCACAAGATCTTTCGTCGTTGCCTGGTTTGCCGACGGCAAAGTGCCACCCGGCATGATGGCATGATGGCTCGTCGTATGTCAAGCCAGTCAGACCAGTCGTTCACCTGGCAAGGTAAAATTGGATTGCACGAGCAAAACGGTTCACCTGTCGCCAGGTGAATGTAACAATTGCTAGTATCATACTGCAACGGAAAGTTTGCACTTTGACCTTTATACTGGTAATAGAGAGATAATGAAGAGCAAAAGACGGCTTTTATTACGCTTTATGGGATATCTAACATTGTCTTCTTAAGCAAAATAACTGCCCTTTGTTTGCGAGCATAAAACTATTGTGCACAATACTGTGTTTTCAGTAAGAAACTCCTCTCCAGATACCGCCTTTCCAGTCGCCGCTGCCAACAACCAAAATAAAACATAGGCCAGAATAAACCACACCAACGCCGATCAAAAGACTAAAAGAATAGTAAACAAGATAGAGGACAAAGTAAAACAGCAAAGCCCCCCAAATAATCATCAGTAGACATAATACATGAAACGAAGAAAACGGTACCCAAAAAGTACATAGTAGTAAAGACAGAGAGGCTCAGGGTGCAAACCGGAAAACAAGAGTAAAGGCGAAAAGACGATATAACAAGGCTCGACAAAGGCGTGGTAGCCAACGGGATAGGACGAAAGTCAGCGTCTTTCAAGTATCCCCTTCAGAACCTATTTTGTGCCCCTTTGGCGGACGCCTTTTATAGTCGCGCTAATTAGGAGGCGAGGCCAGCAGCCTACGCAAGACAGATTCTTCTGAGGCGTCTTCCTGTTGCTCCTGCTTTAGATTCTGCTGTTGCAACTGCTGCTGCGATATGGGTGTAGGTGCCTTCACAGCAGTGGCGGGAGTAGCATTAGAAGCTACAGCGGGAACAGGTGTCGAGTTGGTAGCGGCAGGGGCGGATGCCGCGGCGTTGGGAGCAGGAGCCGGGGTTGGTGAAGTTTTGTTGACGGCAAGACCGGAAGCACCGTTAGCGGACACTGCAGAGGCGGACGGCGTAACCTTGAGGCCATCGGTGTGAACATGTTGCTGAAGCATCCAAAGACGATCCTCCGGTTGCTGAGGTGTTGTCTTGGATGTCGCTTGAGAAGGCGTTGCGGGCGCCACTCCAGAGGTAATAGTTGGTGCCATCGATGGTTCCGCCGTGAGTGGTTTTGCCGCTGCAGATGTGACCGTCGATGGCGTAGTAGCCGGTGCGGCCGATGTCGTCACCGGTACCGTTGCGGGAGCTGCCGTAGAAGGATGAGATTGCGGCTGGGGAGTTGAGGGAGATGTAATGGACTGCGCAGTGGTGTTGGAAGACGGTGTGGAGTGCGCCGGTGCAGGAGACTGCTGGCCGGCGGGCTTTGTTGCTTGCACCGACCGAGCAGCCTGTGCAACCGCCGGAGACTGAGGCGTCAGATTGCGAATCGGCGAGGGTGAGGACTGCATGGGCCGATGCTGCTGCGCATGCTGGGGGCCAGGAGAACGGCTAGGACTAGTTGATACCTGTCGGCCGGCGGCCAGGCGCTGTGCAGAAGTTAACATTGTCGAGGTCGGCCGCGCTGCTATCGCCGCGTTGTTGATGGCATTGTTGATTGCCGCCGCCATGCCCGCCGTGAGATCTGCGGTAACAGATTTAATCGAGGAGGATGTGGTCGACAAAGAAGAAAGATGCTTGTTGCCGGGTGTCAGCGGTGGCCGGTCGGCAACGGATCCGTTGGTCTGTTGCGCAGCGAGAGCCTGTGCCGTGGCCGGGAAGCCACCACGGGCGGCAGCATTTACAACATCGGCAGCTGTCACCGGAGCGCGTTGTGGCACGGCACTACCAGCACCGGCGCCCCCAGCCGTAACAGTGGCTGTTCCAGCAGTCTGCCGTGGGGTCAGCTGTGCCTGCTGGGACTGTCTCTGCTGGAGTTGTTGCAGCTGCTGTTGGACGGCCGGCGAAAGCTGCGTTGCACTGGCGAGCCGCGGAGGCAAGTTGCTCGTCTGCGGGTTGGGGGCAATGCTCTGCATAGCCGGCGGAGCTCCAGCACGAGCCGGACTGTTTGTGGCGCCGTTCGGTGCAACAGTGGCTGGTCGGGCGCTACTGTTGGCCGCCGGATTGCCGTTGGTTGTGCTATTGTGGACGACACTGCCAGCTCTCACAGGGGTTGCAGCGTGGGAAGGGGCAGGAACAGGTGCCGTTGCAGGCGCCGTTGCAGGCGTCGGCGACGGGACAGACGCGACAGGAGTCTGGTTCTTGTTGTCTTGTAGGCCGCCCGCAAGGGTCATAATGCCCTGCACGCGTGCCTGCTCCTCCTTGTTCGTAGCCCGCGCCCGCTCTTCGGCCTCTTTACGGGCGGCCTGGCTGGGAGCACGCGTTTTAAGCTCGCCGGTCACACACTTCAGGTAGTACGGCATTTCCGTATTGGCCTTGAGGAAGAACAACTTGAGGTTGCGCGCCTTGTCCTTGAGCTGCACTTGGCTGCGATCTTTCAGAATATCCGATATCGTACCGTTGGCGCCAAATAGTTGGAGGATTTGAGACCAATGGGGGCCCTTGACCATATCAAGACCCGCCATAAGTGCCTGTTCCTCGTCGGGAGACCATGGCCGCCGCGTGCTATGCAAGCCTTCACGCCGTGTGTGGCCTTGCGTCTTGGATGCAGCAGCTTGGCGGGCCTGCTGGTAGAGGATGGAGCTCGGTGACGACTGGTTTGGTGGCAGAGACCCGCTGCTGCCGTTGCCGTTGATGTTGCTCACCGGCGGTTGCGGTGGTGGCAGTGGCGGCGTCGGGACCGTCTGGAACGGGAAGGACGGAGTGCGGTTGTACATAGCCAGGTTGTTGGCAAACGTGTTTTGCATACTCGATAGGGCGGCTAGAAAAACAGAAGAGTCAGATATAATGTACTGCATGCAGTTGCGGATGCCGCACGGAGAGATCTGACAAGAAGTTGGCTTACCATTGGCTTGGGCAACAGGAGACTGGGTCTGCTGCACGTTGTAGGCCGGTGTCGGAACAAGTGCCGGCGCGGGAGCAGGCTGTGGCTGCGCGTTCTGCGCGTCTTGGCCCAGCTTCTCCTTGATGAGCTTCGTCAGACCCGTTAGATCCATTGCGCCGTCGGCCGAGGCGGGCGCAGGAGCCGTCGGTCCGTTTGACGGCGGTGCGACGGTGTGCGCGCGTACCGATGGGATCGTGGACAGGGCCGCCGGCGTCGATGCCAGAGGGGGGGCGGCCGGTGTTTGTGATGTCGATCGGGCAGCCGACCGTCGCACAGCTTCTTGGATGAGCCGGCTGACACCCTCCGCCATCGGTGATGCCTCAAGTGCAGGTTGGGCGTTCATGCCGTTGGAGGAGTCGATCACCATCGGCCCGGCACCACTGGCGGCTGCAGGGGCTGCCGATTGTTGCGTGGCTGCCGACGGTGCTGCCGTGAGCCCATCTGATGACGCCATGGCAGCCGACAACATCGAGGCAATGCTGTCGCCCATGGCGGTGAAGTCTTTCCCGTTGAGAACAGACGAATCCACATCGTCGCCCGCAATGTCGGACCCGTCACCGTTGCCATCGTCGTCGGATGGGAACTCGATGCCGTGGGAATCAGCGTAGCGAAGAACGACATCTTCGTTTGCACGTAGGTAGGCGCTCAGCTCGTCACGGAAACCGTCGAGGGTGTACTGTTCCTGGAGTTGTTCTGCGGTGTGTTAGTAGTGTCCCAGAAGGCAAGCGAAACTGGGGATGAATGACAATTCAGAAAAAAAAGAAAAGAAAAAAAGACACGCACGCCTTGATTCATCCGTCTTTGCCGATTCGAGCAGTCGTTCTTTGGCCACCATCATGTCCTTCATAAACTCTCTCTCGTACTCAGTCAGCGGCGAGTCGACGTGCATGTTCTGCAACTGTTCTTCGAGGTTAACGGGGAACAGGCGCTCGAGAAACTCGCTCCGCTGCTCCTCGTTAGGCAGCCGAACCAGCTCGGCAGCCAGCGTGCGATATTTGAGGCTGAGAAAGAGCGTGGCCAGGTCCTTGTTGAGGGCGTCGGCTTCGGGCAAGAACGTCGAGAGGAAGTAGTCGTGCGCTTCGATGAGGGGGATGTCGTCAGCTTCAAAGATGCTCGCGGAGATCGTGGCCATGTTGGCCATCAGAATCGTCTCCTGGTCGCCGGCCTCTTTGATGTCCAAGTCCTCGGTGCTCAGAATCGCGGCTGTCTCGGAAAACAGCTTTCTGGTGTTGCGGAAAGCTGACCACAGCAACTTATACACACGCCGTGTTTCTGTCGCTTCACCGTCGTGCGTTGGGTCCAGGCCGGGGTTCTCGCTCAATGCGTACAACAGTTGCACCGCCTAAGGTTGTGTTAGTAAGCCCACAGGGCAAGAGGCATAGGGTGCCGAGATAAAGAGAAGTGGAGGTAAACGTACATAACTACCAAGCAATGGCAGGCCCATGGATCGACTGATGTACGTGGGATTTTGAGCAAAGCGCATCTTCGCCGACTCTCGTGACGGTGCGCCCATATGATTTGCGCCAAACCTGGACTCCCCACCAGGAGACGCGATATCCCTCCTTGAGCTTGCCACATCTTTTGTCGGGGCACTGAGTCCCGGCGTCTTCGACGCGGCTGGTGTTGACACGATCGGCGCCGCCGCCGGTGGTCGTGGAGGTGACTTGATGGCTGTAGAGGAAGCAGGAAGCGATGGTGTTGAAGTAGCCGGCGTGGTCGTTAAAGAGATTGGAGCGGAAGGCACAGGAAGAGCGGGATTTGGAGCTGCTGGAATGGGCACTGTCGCGGGCACGGCCGGCGTGACGGGAGTAGCGGGCACCGCAGGATTCGGGAGAGGTGGGGGTGTAGGAGCTACTGGAGTGAGGGAGACGGAAGCTGCTGGTGCAGAAGGAGCTGGGGTGGGTGACAGTGTGGTGTTCATGGAGCCAAGAGCAGACTTGAGCATCGCTTCGAGGTCCATCGCTGGCGGTGCAGCGGATGGTGCAGCAACAGCAACGGGTGTTGCTTCTGCTTCGGGAGGCACCTCCACCTTGGCCCTCTTGGCCTCGCTGCCTTGGTTGCCATCGTCGCCTTCGTCGGCTCGTGGCCGCTTAATTGCATTCTGAAGAGACTCCAGCAAGCCCGCGCCGAGTACGGTGGACGCCGCAGCGAAGCTGTCATTGGTGGGCTCGGTCTTGACATTAAACGACGGAGCTGGAGCTGGCTCAGGTGCAGCAGTTGCAGCAGGTGCAGAGGCAGAGGCAGAAACAGGCGCAACAGGCGGTACCGGTGGAGTGGATCCTTTCGATACAACCGGTGGTGTCGCAGAAGACGGTTCGACGGGCGCAATGGATCCGGTGCAGGCATTGGAGACTGCCGGTGCTGTAGCCGCTGGTGCTGGTGCTGCCGGTGCTATTGATGCTTCTGTTTTTTCTGTGTCTACCGTGTTTGAAGGAGCATCTGTTGTGGAGAGAACCGGAGTGTTGGAGGCTGGTGCGGAAGCTGGGTCGAGGGTCGGAGCTGGCTCGAGAGGTTGGGGCGTCGTCTCGACGGTCGCCACAGGCGGTGAAGCCTCGGGGACGGCAGCGGTGCTGCCGCCACTAAGTTCCGTCATGCGAACAGATATCCAAAGCGCCGCCGAAGACAGCAACAAAGGATGGATAAAACAAGATAAACAAGGACGTACGACGATGTGGAGTCGGGGTAGGCGAGGAGGACGGGATTGCGACGGAAGCAGTCCCTTTTGCGCCGGCCGCGGAAACTGATGAGATGCCGGATTGGGATGCCGGGGACGTGCAGCGCTAGAGAGAACAGATATCGGTGGTTCGGATCCAATAAACGAGGAGAAGGTGGATTGTGCCGAGCCAATGCTGTGGACGGTCAATGTTGTCGTCGGCGACGCGATAACGGGGTGCCGGCAGGAGCGAAGTTGGATGCGCGGCAGAAAAGCAGAAGGCGCCGGAAAATTAAAATTTTAAGGTTTTTCCGGGGTTAATCCGGGATTGCTGCCCTTATTTCTTGCCCCAGCGCTCTCCCCGCCTTCTGATACACATCATGACTTGGGATGAGCGAAAACGACGTAATGGCAACTGGTCCAGGCGAAAATTACCCCATACCCCAGATCATTGATTTCTTTTGGGCGACGGTAAATAGACACGAATAGAGCGTCGCTGGCGATGAAAAACTCTGTACATCTAACCAATTGCATCGGTCAAGGTACCAAAAAAAATACAAAGTACTACGAGCACATACACTCGATGGTATTACTGACGTAGTTACAACAGTCTAGTACATGTCATTGGCTATGACAGTGCCGATATTCCAGAGACGTCTATAAACGATATCAACTCATAGCAATCAATTAAGCTGAGTTCTGGTCGTCGTTGGTGGCATCGTGTGCTTCAAGAACCGTGGCGGTGCATTACAGCCACATCTGAGATCACTACTAAATACAGTGGCAAATACTATGCACTGTAGTATGCACTGTGCTTCACAACACTTACACCACAGACTTCCCAAAACAGCAAGGTTGCTCGATGGGTACTGAAGCGGAACATGTGGAAGAAGTCGTACATGCGAGGACGCTTAGGCCCAGTTGCACACCATCGTCTCGATACGAGCCAGAATTTTGCCGGTTGTGCGGGTTCGTACTTTGTATCGTGCACGACGTCAATACCACGCCTTGCCACAGTGCCCCAGATTCTCGGGATTTGGAGGTGCTCAGATCGATCCCAGGTGCCTGGAGACTGGAGACATGGAGACTGAAGGGCTGAGATGGGCCCGCCGGTGGAGGCAGGGGGGAAAAAGGCACGGGCGGGAGATGCTTTCTCCTTACGAGGCCAAGGTGGAGTATCAATGGCCTGCTCGAGATGGAAAAAGGAGCGTGTTGGGACCGGCCAACCCATGCGCTATGCATGTTGGAACCTGCCAAAGCTGAAATGGTGTCTGATGATGGACATAAAGTACGGGCAACCTGTCAACAACAACGCAAGCACAGCGGCACGTTCACCTTGTCGACTGAATCTCCGCATCAACGAGCTTCTTGAAATCCAGGGAGCATGGTTCAACAAAAGGCCGGTTAACTGGAAAAGAAATGAGAGCAGCGACAAGAGACCCGGAGAGATGAAGCAGAATGCTTTTTGAGAAGCAGGGAAAGTAGACAAATTGGAAAGATAAAACGAGCAAGGTGCCCAGTTAGGCCTGCAGGTAGTAGACGGCGTGTGGTTTGAATTTGCAATGCTCAAAGCAGGTTACACAAAATGGCAAAACAGGACCAAAAAAAAATGAGGAAGACAGCCAGTACCATGATTGACGGCGCCAGCTTTTCCGTCGACCGCAGGACAGTTTCAGCTTTTCGGTGACAAGGAACGTAGCAAGTCCGGTGAGATTCGGGCTTCCGGAGAGGGTGGGTTGGGGAAACTGGGGGGGGACAGAGGAGTGGCCTCATGTATGGCGCGTCGGCAGTGGCCTGTGGACAAATATAAGCGCCAGGGAACAATTACTGTCTGGCACGATCATGCAGGTTGTGCCATTGCCTGGTCATGGCGCGGTGCCGGTGGGATGATCCGCACTTGGTCGCCGTGGCCTCTTCAAGTGGGAAAGATGGAGCCGGTGAAACGGGCATGCAAGAAAATGGGTGCGACTTCTGCGACATACGTCGAGGAGCATGCCTTGCAGCACAGCAATCTATGGCCGCCTCGCGTTCCTCACCAAACTTCCAGATGGCGTCCCTCGACCGTGCCTTCCATGGCCGTATGCTTGCAGTGTCCAGATTATGCGGGGGAAACAAGGGAGCAACACAGCGTTCGTATCGTGAGGTTTGGTAAGACGTGAACATCACTCCTGCCTTTCCATTGCAAAAGAGCGTCTCCGTGTCGGTGCAGAGATGTTATGAGCGGGCCATGGCGCTAGGCCATGTGCAGGCAACGTGCTCATGGCAAAACGATTGAAAGTAAAGCCCTCCCTGTTTTTGCGTTTATTTTTGATTTGTTTTAATTCAGACGGAGCACGACATACATCGTAAAGGACGGGAATACAAAGCATGCCTCCTCGGATGTGGGGGAACTTCGCGCTAGGTCTTCTGTGGGTACCTCTTTTGGGCCTAGGCAGCGGCCCAGGGGGTGCGGGGCATCCTTCGCGCCCTCGTAGTCGTCAATGTCGGAGCCGCTCTGTACTTTGTCGTCGCTATCTATTGCCCCGAGAGCGTCCCATGACTGCACCAACACCCAAACTGCCGGACAACCCTCGCCCAGCAGCTCACAGTGGCACAGGATGTGTGCAGTGGCACACTTCAGGGCACGCGAACATGCGAACAAGAGAGCACGAGAACACGAGAGCACGAGAACACGAAAACGGAGAACAGGAAGCCGCAAATCAAGAGCAAGCAATACTATGGATTCTCTTCCATTAGTGAGCTTCCAGGCGTGTTCGAGCTGGAATCGAGTAAACAGACACGACGTTGAGGCCGATCACAGAATATCTCACGATGCTTATCCTGCAAGAAGACCAGAGCGGCCAGGTGCACTAGAGATACAACGATGTGCTTGCTGCAAAATCTCAACATTGTCAGTGTTGTCGGATGGAGGTCATCTCCATCCTTGGTGCGGAGCCGTTGTAGCTGGTTACCCCCGTTGACCGGACGGGCACCCTTCTAGGGGTTAAGCAGGCCAGTGCTAACGCCGCGGACGTGCCTGTGACTGGATTAGGGAGGGTGGGAGGGGGGGGTGATTGCAGGTGTTAGCGGCAGACCAAACGATCGATGACGAGCGAGGGGGGCCAGCAAATGGCCCGCCCCTTACCAGCAGAGGAGCCAACAGTCAAACCCCCAGGCCAGGAAACAAGGGATCTACAGGTGCGGGGAGCAATGGAGCCACGCACCGAAATGGAAAAAACGCACCACCTGTTTTCCGTGGAGGGCGGAAGGAACCAGTTCATTTCTGTACCAGTCAAAATGAGCAGATCTTCGATGGTATCCCGGCCAGCCAAACGGCTTGGACAAGACGGATCTTTCACGGAGACGGTGTAGGCCAAGAACCCACCATTACGTCGTTGAGCGGCCCATGCGCCTTGTCGCCTCCAGAGCGCTCCACTGGTTATAGCGAGAAAGATGCTGGCTGCGGCAGGAGATGCCAGCGTAGAAGGCGCTATAGGGGCAGTTGGAGGCGACACCCTCCCTCCTCTATAGTGCATGCCAAAATGTGTGCACTAATCTTACCTGTGGTTGGCGACTGTGGCTCTGTGGCAGCTCTCTCGCCCCATTACCCCGAGATGGCCGGAGGGGCGAAACGGTCCCCGGCATTTTGCGGCTTACAAGCGTGTGTAGCTTGGAAGCTGCCCCGCTTCACGCCCAGGCAAGCTTCTGTGACTGCCGCATTTGCATGCTGGCGCTGTCGCACTCTTTGATCCGTGTGGCCTTCGTCTGCTTGCTTGGCTCTGTTACCCGCTCGCGCCTGCACCTCCACCTTCCGTTTTTCCTTTTTACCTTTTTCTGTCCCTTTTCGTCCTTTTGCCTTCCTGCTGCACGTCCAACTCCATCTCCGCTTGCCCCTGGTTCCATCGTGCCCCCAAGTCCGTCTTGCATCGAGCGTATATAAACGACTCGTCTCCTCTCTCGGCTTATTTCCAGATTGTTCCCTCGGTTCTGCTTTCACTCTCCATACTCTCGCTCGACGCTTCCATCTCCACTGTTCTTTCTCCTCATCGCATTTAGCCTTCCTTCTTCATACCCGTCCATAAAGCATCCCAACTATTTGATACCCCCTTTCCCGTCCCTCCTCCTCACTCGCACACTCGCACGCACTTACATACACACATTCACAATGTCGGCTCTTACCGCTCAGCTGAAGACGCCCATCACGGGCGAGGTGACCTTGAACACGGGCTTGTGAGTTCTCGACTTTCACGGTTTGCACCCACCATTGCAAACTGCCCGGCAGTGGTTTCTAACAGAACCCCCTAGGTTCATCAACAACGAGTTCGTCCGTGGTGTTGAGGGCAAGACCTTCGAGGTCATCAACCCCTCCACCGAGGAGGTCATCACCTCCGTCCATGAGGCCACCGAGAAGGACATTGATATGGCAGTCAGCGCGGCCCGCAAGGCGTTTGACAACACCTGGAAGAAGGTCACCCCCCAGGAACGCGGCAAGATGCTGCTGAAGCTCGCCGACCTTGTCGACAAGAACCTGGATCTTCTTGCCGCCGTTGAGTCGCTCGACAACGGCAAGTCCATCACAAATGCCCGCGGCGATGTTGGTGCCGTTGCTGCGTGCCTGCGCTACTACGGCGGCTGGGCCGACAAGATCGAGGGCAAGACCATCGACATCGCCCCCGACATGTTCCACTACACCCGCGCCGAGGCTCTCGGCGTCTGCGGCCAGATCATCCCCTGGAACTTCCCCCTGCTGATGCTCGCCTGGAAGATTGGCCCCGCCCTGGCCACGGGCAACACCATTGTCCTGAAGACGGCCGAGCAGACGCCTCTGTCCGCCCTCGCTTTCGCTCCCTTCGTCAAGGAGGCCGGCTTCCCCCCTGGTGTCCTGAACATTGTCTCTGGCTTCGGCAAGGTCGCGGGTGCCGCCATCTCCTCGCACATGGACATTGACAAGGTCGCCTTCACCGGCTCCACGGCCGTCGGTCGCACCATCATGAAGGCCGCCGCCGCCTCCAACCTCAAGAAGGTCACCCTTGAGCTGGGCGGCAAGTCCCCCAACATCGTCTTCAACGACGCGGACATTGAGGACACCATCAACTGGGTCAACTTTGGCATCTACTACAACCACGGCCAGTGCTGCTGCGCCGGTTCGCGCGTGTACGTCCAGGAGGGCATCTACGACAAGTTCGTCGCTGCCTTCAAGGCCCGCGCCGAGCAGAACAAGGTCGGTGACCCGTTCCAAGAGGAGACCTTCCAGGGCCCGCAGGTGTCCCAGCTGCAGTTCGACCGCATCATGAGCTACGTCAAGTCCGGCAAGGACGAGGGCGCTACCGTCGTTACCGGTGGCGACCGCCACGGCGACAAAGGCTACTTCATCCAGCCCACCATCTTTGCTGATGTCCGCCAGGACATGAAGATTATGCAGGAGGAGATCTTCGGCCCCGTCGTCGCCGTGGCCAAGTTCAAGGATGCTGAAGAGGCTATCGCACTGGGCAACGACAGCAACTACGGCCTGGCCGCCGCCGTCCACACCAAGGACCTGAACACGGCCATTCGCGTCTCCAACGCCCTGCGCGCCGGTACCGTCTGGGTCAATGTAAGTTTTACTTTTTGTTTCATTCCGTTTGGAACTGGAAGCCTCCAAGAAAACGAATTACGCTAACAACATCTCTTCCCTAGTGCTACAACGCCCTGCACCACCAGCTGCCATTCGGTGGCTACAAGGAGAGCGGTATCGGCCGCGAGCTGGGCGAGGCCGCGCTGGCAAACTACACCCAGAGCAAGTCGGTTGCCATCAAGCTCGTGTAAAGGGACGATTTTGGCAAAGAATGGCTTTCTGTGAAGTGATGAGGCATGAATCACGATTACTTCCAAGGTAGTTCATTTTTTACCAATAGTAAGCAAAGAAAAAAAAAAAAAAAAAAAAAAAAAAAGACAACATAGAAAACCAAAAGGAACAAAAAAGTACCAGCGCTTATTTCGTTTCTGCAATCTTGAACGCATTTTAACCTCGATGTAATATGTACTTTGGACTTTTGACACAAAATTGAAAGAACCCAATTTGTTTTCCACAGACGAATCGTCGTACATGCTCTGCAACCATGCCTCAGATTTTGGTGCATGTTCTAAATGCACCAGTAGCTCCCGCGACAAGTTACTACAAACGGAATGGCATGAATGAACTGGAGGAAATTGTGACTTGAACACCGAAAGCTGCACATGACGTATCTTTTCGTACGTATTGGAATATACAGTGTCCGCACATGATTACACGTTTCTTGTATGAATGCCAGAACGCCGTGATTTTAGAAGTTAAGAAAAATAAATTATTTTCATATTATGTTCGCCTTCATTTCGGTCTGTATCCAGTGTATTTTAACTTTTCGTATGTGTAAAATATTATATTATACGTTTTACATCTTAAAAAAAGTTTTTATTTTATTTTATTTTTAAAAAAGAACCAATTCATTCTCACATCACAATAAGAGTTATCTCATCCCCGTTTTCTCTGGAGTTTGTGAATGATAAAACTTGATTTCTCTTCCTTAAATGCCAACTTTTTGTTGTTGTCTTGCCGCTACAAGAAAAGGCGACCCGCTTTCGTAGATTTCGTGGCAGGCCGAACCGACGAAGTGGACCAGTACTCGTCTCGCCCCACCCAAGCGGCACTGTAGCCTAGTACTTCGAACTCCCCCAAAAGGCGCCCCGCACTTTAACTTCTACGGCGCGCGTCGCGTCATTTGCTAATGGAGGAAACAGCACCACACGCCACACAGATGACAGCAAAGGGCGAGCACAGCACACGATTTACATCTAGCAGACCACCGAGAAACACGGCAAGGACGACGAGATTGTATTACACAGCTGCCGCACGGACTGCTCGACACAATTCTTGCGTAAATTATTGTCCATCTCTGGATCCCAATCATGTCAAACTCCCGCGCGGCGTCCTCAATGGGCGCGTCGCGTTCGGTCGGCGTCGGCGCGTCAACATCGGCCGCTGCCCGCAAGTCCTATTTTGAGCAGCAGCGCGGGCTTCTCATGGGCGAGATTGCCATGGTACAGATGGCCCCGCTCTCCCCGTCTGTTTCGAGTGTGATCAGCTCGTCTAACATTGGCAGTCGTTTGAGCAGGTCCTCGCAAACATCAACAAACTCAACCGGTCGCTCGAGGCCGTGGTGACGGTGCGTTCGAAACACGGCGTCCCTGCATATCGCTCCTCGGCTAACAGAGACCTGCATATCGCTCCTCGGCTAACAGAGACGAACAGGTCGGAAACGAGTTCTCGGCGGTCGAGGCGTTGTGGTCGCAGTTTGAGAGCGTCATGGCCAAGGACCCAGAACCAGCGGCTGGCGGCGAGGCCGACGAACAGGGCCACGGAGACGGACACGAGCACGAGCACGACCAGCAAGATGCAGAGGCCGAAGAGAATCACAACAATCAAAGTGGTGACGACGAAGGGGAGGCCGCGACACAATTGCATGACGAAGAGGCAGCAGCAACATCAGGCGGCCGAGGACGCACACGAGGAGACGATGTGAACTTTGACTACTAGGTCAAAGGAGAAAGGTTGACGATTGACAGACTGCGTTATTTTATTTTGGTCCATTCTTTTCTTTCTTGGGCAATATCCCTGGTTATGGATGGCGTTTACGGACTTACAGAACGGCAAAGCCACGGCGTAGCCATCCGATATGGGCATGCGATTTGTTATGGTGGTCACTTTAGACACGGGGATTTAAAAATCAAAAATCAGAAATTTTATATTTGATGCTACAAAGGAAAATAAAGTTGACCCAGGGTAGACCTTCCGTCCACTTAACAGTCAATCTCCCTTCCTCAATTGTACATCACAAGCAATACGGCCATCCAAAATTGTTCCCAATCCCAGAAAACAAAACGAGACGCAGTCGCCGGCAGATGATGCATGGGGAAAGAAGCCAAAAAAAGTGCTCTTAAATGCGAGCTTGGCATCAAGCAAGCAAAGAGAACGAATAAAAGCCGCGGAGCTCTTCCGTCCCTGTAAAAAAACGTGACGATGTAAGGGGTGAGGAAGAGGCCCGTGTAAAAACAAGAAACGGCTGACTGCAAAGTACGGTCAGGAGGTTGGAATGAAAAGAAATATATGGAGTGCTGTTTCGTAGTCATATCATGCTGAGATGTGGATCATTACTTTGGTGTTGGTGCGCGTAGTGTGGACAGTACCAGTGGTGTTTTGTGTGTGTGTGTGTGTTTGTTATATGATGTGTGTTAGTAGAGTGCTTTTTTGTCAGCAAAACCTCTAACCGCGAACTGTGCCTTGCCGTCTCTCCGTACAAGGGGCAGCATGCCTTCGTCACCGTGTTCGTCGTCGCCGCCGTCATTGACATTGTCGTTCGTGCAGCAACTGCTTCCAACTGTTTTGCCGGACCGCCGTATCTGGGCACGCTGCCAAGCTCGCATATATCCGGTACCCTACAGTGGAATGCAGCGTCTCTTCTTCCGCTTCATCGGTCCACCAATGGGAATGTTGCCGCTGCTACTGCCAAAGGTGACACCACTGCCACCGGTGTTGGAAGCACCAGTACCACTGGCACCATTTTTGCCGCCGCCGGCCGTCTGTGCCTCGATGTTTCTGCGGTCGTTGGCGACAACAGTCAGAAGCGCCTGCTCAAAGATCTCGTCGACACCCTTCATCTCTTTGCTGCTGCACTCCATGTACTGGGCACCCATCTTCTTGGCGACGGCGAGACCTTGCTCGGTAGTCACAGGCGTCAGGCCTTGCGTCTTGAGCATGTCGATGCACGTCTTCTTGAACCTCAAGTCAGACTTGAGGCCGACGAGGATCAGCGGCGTGTACGGGCAGAAATGCAACACTTCGGGGTACCACTGGTTTGGTTAGTAGGAGAAGCACCAGAAAATAGATTTGTAAATGTAGTAAGCGTTAACTCACCTTGTCCATGACGTTCTCGAGTGAGTTCGGGCAGTCGATAGCAAAGCACACAAAAATGAGGTCGGTTTCCGGGTACGAGAGTGGCCGGAGCCGGTCGTACTCTTCTTGACCGGCTGTATCCCACAGTGCCAGCTCAACCGTCTTGCCGGACGGCGGGTGTGTTGGATAGGTGATGTAGTTCTCAAAGACGGTGGGGACGTATTTCTGCGCGAGGTTAATGGGTGCCTACGTTCATGCACTCGGATACCAGAAACGTTCGCGACCTACCTCGGGGAAGTAGCCCTGGCTGTAACTGATGAGCAGACATGTCTTGCCACAGCCGCCATCGCCCACGACGACGATCTTCTTCGAGTACGTCGGCGGCTCGGTCATGCTGGTCATAGCTGTAGCAGACGACTCGCGACCGGAAGACGACGAAGTTGTGCTAATGGTGTTGCTGTCGCTCGTCCGCGCCGGCCGAGACTCAAGGCGGTCCGTAGTCGGCCGCCGCTGGATGCCGTATTCGTATGTGTCGCGCGAAGAGTGTTGATAGTAAGAGTTGCGATATTGCGAAGCCATGGTGAGGCGGACAATGGGTTAAAGTAGCGGATGGAATAAAAAGGAAAATGCGAAACAAAAAGGCGAAAGCGCCACCTTTGCGCAAGACAGGTAACTGTCCCGGGTCTCTTTCTTGCCCTTTGTCACGCCAGTGTGCGATGAGCGACTGGACTCACAATCGCGCGCTCGAACAGTCGATAATATAAGTGTCTGTTTGGAGACCTTCGGGGTTATTGGCGAGATAAGGAAAAGGGAACGGGACGAGTCTCGATCATCAGAAAACGGCGACCGAAAAGTCCACAATGCTGAGCTGTAAAGAGATTTTCTCGTCAGGAATGAAGTGGTCTTGGAATTCAGAGAGAAAAGGGAAGGGGTGAAGGAGAAGAGCGACAAAAGGAAAGAGCGAGGTCCCACGGCAAGAGCAGCTTAACGTCGCAAAGTTGACTTTTTGCCTGTTTCGTTGTTGAAACGCACTGTAGGACGCGTTAGCCGGGCAACGGGCTGCCGTTGTTAGGGGGTGATCATTGTCGATTGCCGCCATCCTCCCTTCTGGCCCGTGCACCGCTGCTGACTACTCGATCAATAAATGGACCCGCAAAAATTTAAGTGGTTTTCTCGCGGCACGTGCAAACTTCACCTCGCGTACGACATACATAAATAGAACGCGTCCCGCCGTGAATTTCGCTTTTCTTCCGTCTCCACCTCTTCAACCAACGTTAGCTCTCCCGCAAACTCAGTCTTCACAACGTCCGAATTCCAAAACCTGACCATGGCGAGCGAATACGTAACCCTCGTCTCTGCCGAGGGCTTCGAGTTCGTCGTTCTGCGTGCAGCTACCGATGTGAGCCCCATGATCAAGCGGATGCTGGACCCAAAGAGTCCGTTTGCTGAGGCCAGGTCTGGTCGGTGCACATTTCCTGAGATCAGGTTAGTCCTTTTTTCCTTCTATGTTACTTGTTTCACTTTCATGTCCATTTGCCGCTCTTATGCTGTTCCGTCGCCTTTCGTGATGATACAAGCAAAGCACTGTGAAAACTGTTCGAAAGAACCATCGACGACATGGTCTGCAAAGTCAGCATCGTCTTTAGGTTCTGTATGACCCATTTAGCCTACACTTGATCTGAGGCGTTGCCGGACCCAACCCGTTGACAAGCGTAATCCACAACTAAGCAAGACGAAGCAACTGCTGACAGCGCCGCACAGTACTCCCATTCTCGAAAAGGTCACCGAGTATTTCCAGTACTGGTACAAGAACCGCGACAAGGAGGACGTGCCCGACCTTGATATTCCAACAGAGATGTGTCTGGAGCTGTTGATGGCAGCTGACTACCTCGGCATGGACAGTGAGTGTTTCCTGGTATAAACTGCCCTTTTTATTTCCATTACGAGAAGCTAACAATTTTGCAGAGCTCGGTTGAACGCACAGAAAAAAAGAATCCCTTACCAAAGTCGTAATACGCCACGATACATCGCCACCTTAAGCTTCTCTTATACTCATGGCGTGTGATACTGGTTAACCCTAACTGAGCTGGCTGTTAAGGACAGGCGACCCCCCTACCTGTTTGCCATCCTCAACCTGCAGTCAAGCCATATGATGCATTGGTTTATGTGGGGTGTCACGCGCCGGGCACAGTACTCCCCGCGATCGTGATTTATGTTCCAGCACAGCTCATCCTGAAGCGCTACTTTGTAGACGACGAGCGCGCTTGCCTGTCAGTCGATTGTTCATCGTCACCATCAATCACGCTTTCAACTGTGCAGGTACTTCGGCCGGCGCTGGCTTTGGCTAGATGTCTGCTTTGGTGTGTCTGCCGCGTGGTTGGTGGGAGAGGAAACACCAGTCCCCCACACTCTGCTTGTCTCCTTTTCCGTGGGGATCTCGCTTTTACGAAAGGGACACATCCGTGTAAGATGTGTAAATTTGAATTCGATGTGAATAACACGTGCCTAGGCGACCCGCTTAGATTTTCTGTTTAGACATTGAATCGATTTCTTCCAAGTTCACTGTCCATCTTGATGCTCTATGTGACGTTGACCAACACGCTTTCTAAGCAGTAAACCCCTCTTGACCCTTTTATTGCCCATTAACACCCAAACACCTAATAATATCCACCTCTTCCACGACCCCGGCCGCCGCCTCGGGAAAATCCACCACCGCGGCCTCCTCTGCCTCTTCCTCTGTAACCACCAGTACCGCCATAGCCACCGCCTCCATAGCCACGGCTGTCATCACCGCCGTACGGGCGCCGGGGCTCCGAGGCCCCCGGCCCCCGCTGCTTCCTCTCGCCCCGTTCCTGCTTGGTTGCGTGCCAAATGTTGGGCACTTGGATCAACTCGCAAAAGGCTGCCGTATGCGGGTTCGTGTACTCGTCTGGCTGACCCTTGGCATACGTCTCTGGCTGACCGGGCTCGGGCGCGTGTACAGGCGCCGTGATAGCAAAGTTGTCGGGTACTGCCAAGAGGCCTTTGGCAACAATGTTCTCGTCTACCCATGCACGTTCCGTGTCGATAAGCGTGCGGTAGTGCGCCTCGCCCTGGTCGGGCGGCACTGGTACGTCCCTCTCACCAACGGTCAGGTCCTTGGCAAAAGCACGTGTAATGGCGAGCCACTCCGGGTCATATTCCAGGCGGAAGCGAGGCCTTGTGCTGGCAGTTGTCTCCGCAGCGTCGATTGCGTCGGCTGCTTCGCCACCCTCGGCTGTGTCGTCTTTCTTTTCAATTGGCAACTCGACGGCCCCGACCATGACACTGGGGTCCGCAGGACCAATTTCGCACAGCTGCAGGAAGTGACGCCCTGGCAAGCACTTGTCCAGGGCCAAGAAGTTGACCTGGGTGTTTGTGATTGTGGGCGGCACTGGCTGGCCTGGCTTCAGGTGAGCACGGTGCTGGTATTGCTGCTGTGAAGGGAGCGGGCGCTGAAACGAGGCCGGAAGCTGTGCTAAGAGCTCGCTCGAAACGCCATCAATATTGGGAAGAGCGGCTGACTCCTCTTTTCCCTCGTTTTCGTTCAGTTCAGTCGATACTATAGTCTCCGGTTTCTTCTCGGCTGGTGCCGGGGCACTGTCAGTGCCTTTGTCGTCATCACCATCATTGTCGCCAAGGTCCAGATCGATCTCATCTGGGTTGCCTGCATCGGCACTTTGTGTCGGTGGAGGGAGTGAGCTTGTTTTGCGTGGCGTAGTCGCTTCATTAGCAGCACTCGCTCTTTCTTCCTTGAGGGCCTGCTGAGTCTGTGCGGCCTGTACGGGGTCTTCCAGCTCCGGTGGGTCGAACTGTTTGATAGCTGCAAACTTGCAGTGCATATGCGCCGAGAACCAGAACCGAGGCCGCAGCCGGTCTAGGACGTACTCGGCCGCCGTATTGCCCAGCGTACCCTCCATGGACTCACGGCGGAAGTGAGGCTTCATGCGGTACAGCTGCTCATTGTCGCCGTGCCACTCAATCGCGCGCGGCCAGTCGTGGCTCATGCCAATGTCGACGGGCTCACGGATCTGCAGCAGTTTGCGCACGTCACACTCGCGCACATGGTAAAAGCTCTTGATGTCGTCTTGCCGGAACGGCAGGCGCTCGTGGTGCGGCCGGCGGTAGTCTGACCCTTTCCAGATGCCGCTCATGCCCGCCAGCCGCAAAGGACCAAAACGCAGCACGTTGGCCGCGCCCCAGTAGTAGATGTTGGGCGCCACCCAGCCGCCGTAGAACAGTTCCCAGAGGTAGCCGGCAGCCTCGTGGTTGCCACCGATGAAGACAGTCAGGTACGGCGCCTTGCGGGCGCCCGAATAGTAGAGATGGAAGTCGCCCATCGCGCGGTACTTGGGCGGCACAGACATGAGGTTGAGATCTGACGCATTGCGCGTGGCCTGGAAGTCGCCGCCAATGATGACAAGGTCAACACCATCCCACCCCCGCTCTGCGCACGACGCGTCAACAGCACCGTAAATCGCATCAAGTGCGCCATGACCCTGCGGTGGAAGAGTTAGCGAAGTTTCTGCCAAAGATGTGGTGAACCCTGGAAAACGTCACGAAAGTACTCACGCAACCCTCAATGGCTACCCGCACCCCACCGACCTCGCGGAGGCCAGAAAATTCAGCCATTTTCAATATTCGGAAGCAATTACTGACGCCAACCTCATATCGTTGTACATTGTTGAGATGCAGAGGCTGCTCTTAAAAGTGTTTGCGATGTTAAAGCTCTACAATATAGGCACGTGATCTTAAAGTACCTGTCCACGTGATGTCCATTTTGGTAACACACTCTCCAAGCATCTGAGTCAACAGTGACTCACGATGCAGCCTGGAATGCAATAAAAGCGAATTACAGGGCGGTATTTGATTTCATATTTCATTGATCATATCTTGCGCAAAAAGTCATGGTTTATGTTGCCCACATGGTATGCAGTGATCCCATATGTGCGGCTTGTCCCTGAGTTGAGAGGTTGGCCTCATTTGTGACCCGGTTAAGTGAGATGGCTGACTGAACGCGGAGAATACCAAAATACAATAAAAAAGAGACCAGTAGCTATCGGAGGAAGCGGGGCCTCTCATCCGCCCTTGTCTTTTGGAAACGTAAAACTTTGGGGTCCTCTCCGATGGTTGAACTTGAAGCTTCATTTGGCACCTTTTGTCGATAATTGCCCTTAGAGGAGCAATGCCATGCATCTAAAGAACGGAGGAGGAAAGAATGGACGAATCAGAATAAGTTTGGATGCAAAAACATGAGCTTAAAGCCCGCAGTCGGGTTCGTGTCCGGAGAATCGTTACAAGACGTTCTCAAGGCGGAGACTTCCACGGTGGCAGAGTGCGGGGAAGCTGGTCAGACTGGTCCGCTGGGCGCCGGATGCCGCCGGTGCCCTTCTCTGCCCTTCTCTTAGTGCAAGCCGTTCTGCCGTATCTTGTACTCCCACAGCCGAAATGCTGCCAAGAGGTACTTCCGAAAGATCACCTGGACGGGCTTCTCAGCACGACACGACAGTGGCTGCTTATCTAGAACCAGTGCTGCCAACGGCCACCAACATTCCTGCAGGCGAGCTTTCGCTGTATTGCGGCCGGTTTTTTTGGGTACTCCTGCATTGGTACTTTATCCAGCTGTCGTCGTGATTTCCTCTTCTTGTCTTTGCCACTTTCGAATTCCATTTCAAGAGGAAGCTGCGATTGAGCACACTCTCCCTGCCCTTCGTTCCTTCTTTGTCGACCTTCATCCCACCAAATCTAGAAGGAACTAACAGCAACAATCTTCTCCCCGCTTTCCTTATCACAGCCGTCAACAGGCTCGAGCTGAGCGGCATCCTCATAGCAGTTATCGCGGGCCTTCAACTTCGCTGCAATGGCCCCTGGTGCTATATCGCCAGAGCGTGGCCCGACCGAGCCTGTCGGCAGCCTGACGACAACATTCGACGACAGGCTTCGCTTCTATCTCAATGGCACAAAGGTCGTCCTGGACGAGATAGATCCCGAGCTCACACTGCTCGAGTACTTGCGGGGAATTGGGTTGACCGGAACAAAGCTGTACGTGAACAAGGCTGACAGCGAACGTCAGTATAGCTCCATTCAGCACAGTGGTACAAAGTAACTGACATTTTTTCTCCAGAGGATGTGGCGAGGGCGGCTGTGGTGCATGCACGGTGGTTGTCAGCCAGTACAATCCAACGACGAGAAGCATCTACCATGCCAGCGTCAATGCGTGCCTGGCACCCCTGGCTAGTGTAGACGGGAAACATGTCATCACGATCGAGGGTATCGGCAATGTTAACAAACCGCACCCGGCGCAGGAGCGGGTGGCCCAAGGAAACGGGAGCCAGTGTGGTTTCTGCACACCGGGTATCGTCATGAGTCTGTATGCGCTACTTCGCAACAACGATAGCCCCACGGAGCTGGACATCGAAGAGGCTTTTGACGGCAACCTGTGCCGCTGCACCGGCTACCGCTCGATCCTCGACTCGGCACAGACCTTCAGCATCAACGCCACGTCGGGCTGCATCAAAGCTAAAGCCAACGGTGGTAGCGGCTGCTGCATGGATGGAAAAGAGAACGGGGGCGGCTGCTGCAAAGACAAATCGGAGAGCAACGGCGACCAGCCCATCAAGCGGTTTACGCCACCGGGATTCATCGAATACAACCCCGATACGGAGCTTATTTTCCCGCCTGCCTTGAAGAAACACGAGTTCCGGCCCCTGTCTTTTGGCAATAAGAGGAAGCGGTGGTTCCGTCCAGTGACCCTAGACCAGCTGCTCGAAATCAAGAGCGTGTTCCCCCAGGCCAAGATCATCGGTGGCAGCTCGGAGACACAGATCGAGATCAAGTTCAAGGCCTTTGACTACCCGGTGTCGGTCTTTGTCGGCGATATTCCCGAGCTGCGAGAGTATGCCTTCAGTGACACCCACCTCACCATCGGTGGCAATGTCGTCCTGACCGACCTCGAGCACCTTGCCGAGAAGTCCGCTCACGAATACGGCCCAGCTCGTGGACAAGTGTTTGCTGCCATCAACAAGCAGCTAAAGTATTTTGCTGGCCGGCAGATTCGCAACGTGGGCACACCTGCTGGTAATCTTGTGACGGCATCGCCCATCTCCGACCTGAACCCTGTCTTTGTGGCAGCGGAGGCCGTCGTTGTCGCCAAGGCTAAGGATGCCTCAGATCCCACCGGCGTGGCGGTAAAGGAGATTGAGATCCCAATGTCTGGTTTCTTCCAGGGATATCGCCGCACAGCTCTGCCGTCTGAGGCGGTTCTTGCTTCCATTCGCATTCCAATCACTCCCGCCAAAGGCGAGTACTTCCGAGCTTACAAGCAGGCCAAGCGCAAAGATGACGACATTGCCATTGTGACGACAGCCATGCGCATCCGCATCGATGACGATGGTATCGTCCAGCAGTGCAACCTTGTGTATGGTGGTATGGCGCCGACGACGGTGTCGGCCAAAACGGCCAACGCATTCTTGATTGGTCGTCGCTTTGCCGATTTGGAGACGGTTGAGGGTGGTATGAATGCTCTTGAACAGGACTTCAATCTTCCCTTCTCTGTCCCAGGCGGAATGGCGTCTTACCGGAAGGCCCTAGCTCTCAGCTTGTTCTACCGATTTTACAACGAGGTCATGGCTGATCGGCATGGGCACGAAGCTGTTGATGCGCCGAACGGCGTGGATGGGGTGAAGGAGCCGAACGGTGCGAGCGGACACGACGCGGTTGATGGCGTGGATGGGGTTGAGAACAACGCACACTTTGACCGACAAGCTGTGGAAGAGATCGAGAGAGAAATCTCGACAGGTGTGACCGACAACGACGCGGCTGTTGACTATGCGCAAGAAATTGTGGGCAAAGCCAACCCGCATCTTGCCGCGCTCAAGCAGACGACAGGAGAAGCACAATATACAGATGACATCCCTCCTCTGAGCAATGAGCTACACGGCTGCCTCGTTCTGTCCAAGAAGGCACATGCACGCATCTTGAGCATCGACTACGAAGCCGCGCGCGATGTTCCAGGTGTGGTGGAGATCATTGACCGCCATCACATGCCCAGTGAGGCCGCAAACCGCTGGGGCGCACCCCACTTCGACGAGGTGTTCCTCGCGGAAGATGAAGTCTTTACGGTCGGCCAGCCGATTGCAATGGTCTTGGCCACAACGGCAGCACGTGCCGCAGAGGGTGCGCGGCTCGTGAAAATTGACTACGAAGAGCTGCCAGCCATCTTTTCGATGGAAGAAGCCATTGAAAAAGAAAGCTTCTTCGACTTCCACCGTGATCTGAAGCGGGGTGAGGATGTAGACTCGGCTTTCGAACGCTGCGACCATGTGTTTAAGGGAACCTCGCGCATGGGAGGACAAGAACACTTTTACCTCGAGACAAATGCGACTGTGGCAGTGCCCAAGCCGGAGGATGGCGAGATCGAGATCTTTTCCACCACCCAGAACGCGAACGAGGCCCAAGATTTTGCTGCACGAGTCTGCGGCGTGCAGGCCAACAAGGTGGTCGTGCGCGTCAAACGCCTTGGTGGTGGCTTCGGTGGCAAAGAGACGCGGTCGATCCAACTCGCTTGCATCGCGGCTCTGGCGGCAAAAACTACACGTCGTCCAGTGCGGTGCATGCTGACCCGCGAAGAGGACATGGTGACGTCCGGACAACGGCACCCTTTCATTAGCAAGTGGAAGGTGGGCGTCAACCGCGACGGCAAGCTGCAAGCCCTGGACCTGCGTCTCTACAACAATGCAGGCTGGTCGTGGGATCTGTCTGCTGCCGTGTGCGAGCGGGCGATCACACACAGCGACGGCTGTTACAACATCCCCAGCGTGCGTATCCGCGGGTGGTTGTGCAAGACGAACACGATGTCCAACACGGCTTTCCGCGGATTCGGTGGGCCCCAGGGTCTGTTCGTTGCCGAATGCTACATGTCCGAAGTCGCCGACCGGCTAGGCATGCCGGTGGAAACGCTGCGGGCCATCAACATGTACAAGGTTGGCGAACTGACGCCGTTCAACCAGTCCATCACCGACTGGCACGTCCCGCTGATGTATGAGCAACTGCAGAAGGACACAGACTATGCGAACCGGCGCACAGCTGTGGAAAAATTCAACAAGGAGAATAAGTGGCACAAGCGCGGCCTTGCGATCGTCCCAACAAAGTTTGGCATTTCCTTTACGGCACTCTGGCTTAACCAAGCCGGCGCGTTGGTGCACATCTACCACGATGGGTCTGTTCTGTTGGCCCATGGCGGCACGGAGATGGGCCAAGGTCTGCACACGAAGATGGTGATGATCGCGGCGCAGGCCTTGCGCGTGCCGCTGGACAGTGTCTTCATTAGCGAAACGGCCACAAACACAGTCGCCAACGCGTCAGCCACAGCGGCATCGGCCTCGTCCGATCTCAATGGGTACGCCGTGTACAATGCATGCGAGCAGATTAACCAGCGCCTTGCGCCGTACCGTGAGAAGCTTGGTGAGGGGGCGACGATGAAAGACTTGGCGCATGCAGCCTACTTTGACCGCGTCAACCTGTCAGCCCAGGGCTTCTACAAGACACCCGAGATTGGATATTCGTGGGACGAGAACAAGGGCAAGATGTTCTACTACTTCACACAGGGCGTGACCGCCGCCGAGGTGGAACTGGATACGTTGACGGGCACCTGGACGTGTCTCCGCGCCGATATCCTGATGGATGTCGGGCGCACCATCAACCCGGCGATTGATTATGGCCAGATCCAGGGTGCGTTTGTGCAGGGCATGGGCCTGTTCACGATGGAGGAGAGTCTCTGGCTGCGCAACGGCCCCATGGCGGGCCACTTGTTCACACGCGGGCCCGGCGCATACAAGATCCCCGGTTTCCGCGACGTGCCGCAAGTGTTCAACGTCCAGCTGCTCAAGGGCGTCGAGTGGAAGGAGCTGCGCACAATCCAGCGCAGCCGTGGTGTGGGCGAGCCGCCGCTGTTCATGGGCAGCGCGGTGTTCTTTGCGATTCGAGATGCGCTCAAGGCCGCCCGGGCCGAGTATGGTGTGGTGGCGAAGACGGTGGACGATGCGGGCAAGGACGACCTCGACAGCGACCAGGGTCTGCTCCGCCTGGAAAGCCCCGCGACGCCGGAGCGCATCCGGCTGGCATGCGTCGACCCCATTATGGAGCGGGCGCGGGTGACGGCCAAGCCCGGGGAGAAGAGCTTCTTCATCTACATCTAGTTATGTGGTTCCAGGGGACAGGTGGCCGCCGCCTGCCTTTGCAAATATTTTATATTATTGGTCGTACAGAGTACGCGCAGGTGCATGCGTCGCTTTCCATATGTATGTTGTTTAGGGATACGAAATTGCAAGAGCTATCCATAGGGTCAGAGTTTGGTGCACTGGACTCGGCTATGCCGTCGTCGCTCAGAATGTCGTCTTTTGATGTGTTGGATTGAACGGTACTCATTAATACAGTGCGGGAGTGCGAGCAGTGTACTTTCACACGGAGCGTATTGAAGGCGAGTTGGTTCCTGCATGCACAATAGCGGATACATCTTCCGTGCTGGTCCGCCATAGCAGTGTCTGGTCTGCTTTGCTCCTCCGCACTCTCCCACATCTCTTGCGAGCATCAGTGACCACATGCATGGAGCTGTGAAGCTGCGGGCTCTGTTCGGGCGAGAGGTATCGAATGTAAGATGATCCAACCAAGTCCTGCTCCCACGGCAAACGTATGACGAGGTAGATAAAACGGCCAAATTAAACAGAGATGTTTGAAATGTAATTACCAAGCACTCAAGCACTGTGCAGCGGAATCGAAGTATCTAGCTGAGAAAAGCAGATGTAGTCAAAAATTGCCATTAGAACACGGGTTGCTAAACCACTACGTCCTTTGCGACGAATGCACTTTCCTCCGCAAGATGAACAGCTAAAGGCAGGAGGGGGGTTTGGCTACTTCCTTGTCTGCCCCCTGCCCGCGGCTTCCTTGCTTGTGACTGGCTAGCTCTTTCCTGCTTTGCCGCCTTGCGACTTTAATGCCTCCTTCCTAGGGCCGCCAAAGCCCATTCGCTTGTCCTAGCGCCCCGCATACCGACTACAGTAGTACAACATAGAGCAGTGAATGGCTTGCAGGTCAATTCTGTCCTAGCCGGTTTTTCCTGCTGCTCACGCGAGGCAATTCCTGCGCCAAATTTCGATGCCGTCGTTTTCCCTCCGCCTCTTTCAGGTGTCTGTTGAGGGGATGGGCCATTGTACTTCTTTAGCTTTCTCGGCCTGCCTCGCTCGCTGTCGGCCGTGCTCCCCATCCGACCTACTTGTCACTGTGGACACCAAGTCAATTGGCTTTTCACGAGCAATTTGACCGTTTTTGCGACAGCGACGACATCAGCCAAAGTGACGTGATAGTCTTTACTTGTGCATTCGCGCATTGCCGGCATCGCAGTTCGACAGTCCCATATCCGGTATTTCAACGCCCGACAGCTGACACGCGTTTGGCAGCTTGACGTCTGACGCCATCGTGCTGGAAAGGTCCAGCGTCACCGAACCCAATAAGCGCCTCCGGATTTATTCCTCATTTTTTTTATTCGAACACCTTGCTGCGAGTGTGATCGTCACAGGTTTGCCGCCCTCTGTCTTGCCGATTGGATTGCCACTGCCTCGCTCGAGCGTTCCTTGTTCGCCCACACCCCTAACCACCTGCAGCCAGCGGACCACGCGTGCGACGGACACAGACACAGCCGGCCCGCCACAGCCCACGCGCAGACCAGACGGGCAAGGCGCATTCTGAGCTGTGCATCCCATAATTTTGGGTCTTTTCATTGCATTCTTTGCGTAACCATCCCTCATCGCCTACAGGGCAAGAGACCTGAGGGGAAAGGGAACGACAGGGAGCACGAGGCAACAGCACTGTGTTGCTGAATCACCCGCGGGACACGACGCGGCCACAGAGAGCCCACAACACCAGGCCAGCGAGGGCAGGATCCATGGGAGCCCGGCGGTCTGCGTGGATACACCAGGCACCGAGGACACGAGCCACCGCCAGGCTACGGCCGGTACGATAGAACGGCCGGGGCGTCGAGAAAGGTCCGCCGTAGCCTCATCGACGAACGCTACGCAACGCAGAGCACCGCAACGGGCACCCATACGGCCACACAGAAACACAAGATGGACAGAGATCTTCTGCACAAGACGGTCACGCGCATCGCGCCCGCTGGCGAGACCAAGACCGAGAGTAATGGCAACGGCAATGGCACCGGTAAAGGTGGCGGCAGCAAGGCGGCGTCAAATGACGACCATGCTTCGGGAGCTGCCACGACCGACAACAACAACGGCAACGGACGCACGCCAAAGAAGCGCCGCAAGGTTAACCATGGTGAGTAATTGTGCGGCGGGAAAATGTCAGGAGAAGGCGAGGAAGTGAGCGCGCGCGAGCGCGCGTGTGCGTTCGGAGCTCAAGACGCAGTCTTCTCAGCCGTGTGCCCTTTCTTCGGCTGCTCACTGACCCCCTGGCCTCGTATCCAGGCTTGCCCCCTCTCCACAACATGTCTACTGCTTCACTGGCTAACCCCTGCCTGCAGCTTGTGTATATTGCCGTCGATCTGTAAGTTTATTCTGTCCCAATTTGAAGACTGCGCCAGGGGGTTGGGACCCAGGAATGGACCTGGGAATGGACATGGTCACTCCAGTCGAGCCTCCTTGGGCTTTTTCCCATCTCGTTCGATCTGATGGCCCCCCCGGACCGCAAGGCGGGAAAATGCCAATGCTGCTGTACCGTAGCTCTCCACTGGCCGCCCCGGCTGTCCCGCAGAGCAGCAGCTCATCCGAAGGCTGGAGCCTACCGCAGTCACGCCACCTTCGAATCGCCTCATTGCTTCGCTTTTCTGTATTTGGAGACAGCTTGCTAACAGGCATTCTTCTATCTGTAGCATATGACTTGTGACCTGGTACGTGTTTTGCTTAGTATTTGCTTTTGTTTTCTGCACGCTCCGTCGACCCTTGATCCGGGACGTCTACCCGTCGACGCTGCAACTTTTGCTCAAGCATTCGCACCCTGCAGCCCCCTTCCCTTGCACCGCTTGTCCTCCCACACCTGTTGCCTGGTCTTCCGAGTGCGCTCCATGCGTGGCATTTTGCCTTCTTCCCACCCTGCCATCCCTCATTGCAAGCCGATTGCTTGCTAGTTGATCCGCAGCGGTCATCTGCTGACTTCGCCCAGGAACGGCCATGTACGAGATGCATCAAGCGCAACATCGGCCACCTTTGCCATGATGAGCCGCGCGAATCCGAGTCAAAAAAGTCCAAGAGCACCGTCGGCGACACCTCCGTGGCTGACGAATCAGAGGACTTTACGGATCCTCGCGCCTCGTTGAGCACGGCGACTGGCAATCCGAGTGCCAGCACCAGCGCAAACGCAGCCATGCGGCCGCCGTCTTTCGACACGGGACGCGAGGCGGCCAAGAATGCCTTTGCTGCGGCTGGCGTACTGGGCCAGGCCAACCCAATGCAGCTTGTGCGACCCAGTGCTGTTTCTGGAATCCAGCCCAATCTCATGTCTTCCAACGACGTGAGCCAGTGTATGTTATTGCCTTTCTGCCGTAGTGTTTATAGCATCTCCTGTTCTACCCTGGTCTTCCTTCTCCTTCCGTCAAGTGCACTGTTCTTCCCCTTAGCCACAGCAGGCCCATTGTTTCTCCTCCCGTTCTACACCCCCTTGGACGAAATACTTTCCCAATTTGCTATTTTTGCTTATGTTAAACACCTTCTCCCCCGGCGTGTCCTCTCAAGCACCCCCTTTTCTTCGTCCACTGTCGGGTTTGGTGAATGGCCGGGATTTTGTTAGGTGGTCCTACTGCTCCTGTCTTGCTGTGCTCCGTTCCCCGTCCTTTTTATTTTTGACCTAACTTGTTCCGCGCGGTTCCTAACTCTATTTTAGTTGGTGGGTTTTCCGATGCGTGGTTGACTGCACAGAACCATTTCCACGATATGCACGACCATTCGGGCTACATGATTGTTCCCGAGGTCAGCGGCGAGCTGCAGTTCCTCAACGATTTCCTCCAGAGCAGCATGGTCGATGATGCTGCCTATGTATCAGATGACCAGAGCAACCAAATGCTGCGCAGCGCGCCGCCCGACGTTGCCACAAATTTCTTGACCAGCGGCACTGGCAGCAGTGCAACCGCAACCGCAACCGCAACCGCAAGCGGAAGCGGAAACGATGGAAAAGCGAACGTACAAAACGACAACAGTGCGGCTCTGGCTGGCAATGTCCTCCTCCCAGCGAGCGCTCTGGGATCCGGCGTCGGCGCAGGGTCTATGCTCCCGCCCGACCGGGCCACGTCCGTAGCTGCCGCCGCTGCCTCGGGTGCCCTCGACATAAGCAGCCTCACAGATGCGCCTTCGACACGCTCTGTCGCCGTGGATAAGGCACGCGAATACTACTTCCAGGCCGCCGACCCATCCGGCAACGACACCCCCGAGCAACGCATGTCCGACCTGCTCAAAGCAAAATACGACGCCGGTCTGTTAAAACCGTTCAACTACGTCAAGGGCTATGCACGCCTGCACACCTACCTCGACAGCCATAAGATCGCGCCAGCGTCGAAGCAAAAGATTCTGCGCCAGCTCGACCGCTTCCGGCCCAAGTTCCGCGAGAAGATGCAGGCCCTGACCGACTTGGAGCTCATCTACGTCGAGATGTGGTTTGAGAAGACGCTCATGGAATACGACCGTGTTTTTGCGAGTATGGCTGTGCCAGCGTGCTGCTGGCGCCGTACAGGCGAAATCTTCCGTGGGAACAAGGAAATGGCCGAGCTGATCCACGTGCCTGTGGAGAGTCTGCGTGATGGCAAAATCGCTTTGCACGAGATCCTGACGGAAGAGTCCATGGTCCGCTACTGGGAAGAGTTTGGCACCATTGCGTTTGACTCGGCCCACGATACGCTCCTAACGGCCTGCTCCATCAAGAACCCCGGCGACTCGTCCAAAGATCCAATCATCAAATGCTGCTTCTCACTCAAGATCCGGCGTGACGACCATAAGATGTACGTCTCGTATTGTTCTTGCTCTATTTAGTTAATGTTATCAAATATACTAACTCTTTCTCACCCCAGCCCGAGTTTAATCGTTGGTAACTTTCTACCACACGATCCATTGATTAACTGATCGAGAACGTCCCCTTGCGGCCTCTTTTCTGTCCATTTTCTGTTTCATTTATTACATTTGTCGGGTTTATTTTTGTCTTTTTCGTTTTGTCGATTCCCCTACAGAACTCTCCCTACTTCACCTTTCCGAGTACATAATCACATTCTCCGCACTGTGTTCTTTCTCTCTTCCTTTCTTGCAAAGGGCTTGGAGTCCACGGGCTTTGGCCAGGTATAATTTAGGGCGGCTGGTTCTGCACTCTTTGTATATCCCCGTTTTAAAAATGACTTTGTCGTCATATGTTATGCTTTCCTTCGTGCTTTGTCTTCTTCGCATCAAAAAGAATCCATTATACCTTTCAGGATTTATATACCTTTGCTCTCGGTCATTTTCTCCACTGTCTATGTTACCTTACTTCGTTCTCTTCCGTCTCACTGGCTTCAACATTCTGGCTCACGCACCTCTTATATGAATCTCTGTAGAATCCGGAAAGGGGTGTACCAGCCTCGCCCTACAATTAAAAGGAAGTTTCATTGCCTTTTTTATCCTTTAGCTGCTCCATATTCAGTGCGATAGCTCACGTGTTCAAAAGTTTCTGCTAAGGAAACCGCGATCAACCCGAGACGGCGTTAACGAGAGTCGCGACTGCCACTTCGGGCCTTGACCGCGATCGCTGCTTCCTCGTGGCTCGTAATCTGAAAGCCAAATCTGCAACACCTTTTTCCAATCCCCTTTTTTTGTTCCACGATATTAATTCAGTAGTTTTTCTCGAGAAAACCTACTTCATGACTTGAAGCTTTATCAACGCCGATAGGGGACGTCTCGCGATCATGACAGAAACAGCAGTCGGCGCAAACGTCGTGCAAGCTGCCGGCTCTAAACGCAAAAGGAGTCACATTCTAGGTATGGCTGCCATTTTGAGATCTTCTTTCATTGAGGCCTTTTCCGCCACGTTGACTGACCGCCCCTTCTAGACGTCATATCTGACCTCGAGCGCCGCCTCCCCTCAATCAAAGGTGATACAGTGGCGGCGGCGGCGCTCGCCGACTCTGTTCGCCGCCAGATTCTCCAGAAGGATTCGAATCGGTTCGACGGCGACGAATCAGCTCATAAATCTGCCGTTCTCCTGTGGAACCTTGTTCTTCGACTGGAACGCGACGCAGAAAAGACCGCAGTCCCTACTGAGTACAAGAATCTCCTTCTCCACAGCCGAGTGCTCGCTTTTGTAGTCATTGACAAAAGCACGAGCTCTGATGCAGCCGGTTCTTTGGGGAAGGAAGAGCCATCCGCTGCGTCACTTGTACTGTACGCTCTCAACGTCGCAGTACGGGCAGCAAAGGCGTGCATCGGTAAGTCCATGTCTCCTCGAATAGTTGGTGCTTCAGACAATTTTAACTAGGCCCAGATGGAGAAGACACGGAACTTGGCCATATGGTCCTCGAGAGGGTTGCAAAGTACAGGCAAAGATTGACTACGCTCCTTGCCGGTTGCGATGATGACAACTCCAAACGCCTCAAGCCAAAAGCCGACAAGCTTAGGATCAGTCACCTGGCTCTGCAGCTGACGCAGGTAACAGCTTCTGCTGCCTATTTCCCGGAATACGATCCTGTCTCCTATGCTGACTCAATAGTTATGGAGAGAAAATCGTCCCGTAGATGCCGACCGACTGTACACAGAAGAGATGAGCAACTTGAGAGAAGACTCATTTAACGCCGAATCTCCAGAATTCATGGCTGCGGCACTCTTCCGGATCGGAAAGTCGCTCCTCTCCAAAAGGGATTTTGCGTCTTCCGTCACATGGCTAGACCGAGCAAGAGAATCACTTTCAAAAATGGATGAGACTACGTTGTCTTCAGACACGAAGGAGCTCCGTCTCTCCATCACATTTTCGCTTGCTATTGCATGTCTCGGTCTGCAAACACCATCCGGAAACATGCGCGCCAGGGAGCTCACGTATGGCCTACGAACCGTCGTCACGAGAGACAACGATAGCCGGGTACAACTGGTCCAGCTGGAGCTCCATGCGTCATCACTATCAGAAAGCTTCGATGCTAGTGGCTATGCCGACATCCTCCTCCAAATGATCGGTGCCTTTAAGTCGTCTTTGGATGAATTTAAGCTGCTACACTTTCACATTCAAAAACTGCACAGTAAAAGCCCGGGCCTCGGGTGCAAGGTCCTCGATGAGTTCATGCTATCTTTGCGCCATAGAGACGATGCCATGGAATGGATCGAAAAGTTGATCATTACGCGTGTCTGGTTACTTGCACACCAACGTGAAACAAAAGAAGAACTCGATGCAGTTCAGAGCGTTCTGTCCAAATTACGAATATCGATTGGAGCCGACACGGCCTCTGCAGCTCAGACGGTAGGTTCGCAATGATCACTCCAGAAGTCAAAAGGATACTAACGCCATTGTGCAGTTGATATGGAAGCGCATCGAGCAAGGGTACCAAGAGAGACTTTTTACAACGGCTATTCAGTGGTGTCGCCTTGCCCTGTGCCATATTTTTGAGGCGAGTGGGCGGGCCAATAGGACTCTGATCGAAAGGTTAGATCTCCTCGACTATTGAAACTTACTGAGTGGACCTTTTCTAAATCCTGACTTTGTTTTAGGAAACTTCTCCTGTGTTGTATCGAGAATGGCGACATAGACACAGCCAAATCTGTGTTTGTCAGCATGCCAGAAGCGTCCCGAGACGAACCAATGACAAAATACTTTTTGTTCAAGCTGGCCATCAAAGCGGACGACTTAGAGATGGCGACCGACTGCTTGAGAGGAATAACCATCTCCGCAGAACGGATGAAGCTTCTTCATGCATGTGTTCTCTGTGCAAGGCACGAAAAAGCACCGCAATTTATGGTTCAAGCAATGAAAAGGCTGGCAGACACAATCAACCACGACCCTTCGAATCAAGTTCACGCGCCGGCTCTTTTCCGCTGCACGATTCTCATGCTTCGGGACATGGTAGATGGCGCAAACAAAGATGGATGCAACCTGGTCAGGGATGGCGAATCTACGAAAACATCACAAGCAACCCAAGACCTCGCCGACATTTTCAATGGTGGCACGTCATCCAGCCCAGAAACTCAACCTTTTTAAATAGTAAGCTAACAGTATTCCGCAGTCGTCTATGCCGTGGAAAGTGATCGGAGTTCTCACACCGAGGTGGGTAAGGGCCAGTTTACTATGGATGAGCTTGAATGGTTTTGCAGAGCGGCGTACAACCTGGGCCTGAAATATTCGGGGACATTGGACCTGCGGCACACTGTGGCCATCCTGGAAGCGTGCGTAAAGATCACCACGCTGTTCCCAGATGACCAGGAGATATGTGCAACTACCGATATATCATCCAAACGACTCATATGTCGATTCCTGATCGCATCTGCATTAGCTGCTCTGGTGAGGCGACCATGTACTTCGGAGTCAGAAGAACAAACTCTCAAAGATTGTCAAGCCATGCGCGAGCATATTCGGGCATTCCATACTCAGCTCAAAAAACAAGGGATTGGCGAAAGCGCTCGTTCATCAGACCTTTTGAGAAAGTCGTCCGTACTTGTTGTGTTTGATTTTGAAGGTGCCATCCGTCTTGGCGACTGGGACGATTTGGAGGACATCTGCGAAACAGCCGCCTCCTGCCATGACTTGGACACGCTCCGCGTTCTTGGAGACTCTCTTCTCCGGTCCCAAGTTCATGTACCAGGTGAAAGTGGGTGGCATATAAGCTTTGCAATTCCAAAAATTCCCTTTATAATTTTTCTTGCTCCTGATGTCGTCACTTTACTGACTGTATATTATAGAATTCGTCTCAACAATGCGCCTCATAATCGGCAAACTACACCAGGCGGGTAGCTTTAACGGTGACAAACTCATCAAATACTACCGTTGCTTGTTCCAGGCGATTCTTTACCGTGGCCATGATGCTGCCTTCCAGGTAATAGACGAGGTCAAGGAGATGATCCGAACCGGCTTGAATTCCGAGGTAAGATAGCTTGCATTGGGCGCATGTTTACAGGGTACTCTCCCTAAATAAAATTGAACAGTTGGCTCCCAGCCAACCTTGTGCTAACCACAGATACCCAGGGTGCAACAAGTTGGCCAGAGGATGAGCTTCAGTTTCTTGCGGCGATATCGTTCAACGAAGGCATCGACTGGTTCGCTGTTGGCCGCGAAGACCTTGCCCGGCAGTGGGTTCTTTCAGCAGCCAGTTTGGCGGACCAGTGCCACGACGGGGGGGCACTCAAGACGTTGATCAGCGCCAGGTTCGGACTTCTCAATATCGGTGACTTGGAGGTCAAGGAGTCTATCGAGCGAGACATTCACGAGACTGCTGATACAAACGGCACAGCGCCTGACGACGACTCGACTTTTTGATTTCGGCGTTTCTGAGGTCGGAATTCAAGACTGGACGACCTACTCCGTTTATTCGAGTCTGTCAATTTCATATTAGCACTCTTAAATCAGACACCGACGTCTCACTGCTTGTCCAAAAAGGAAATTGCTCGTGTGAAGACTCTGCGGTCAACTTAGCAGCTCGACAAGGGTACGGCTCGGCCGGCAGAGCGGGTGCAGCCGCAAGCAATCACACGATCAAAAGGTCCTGCTTCTCTAGTATGTGGTACTCGCAAAGTATGTCGTTTTCCCTCAACGCAATTATTTCGATTCGTGCCCCGTGAAAATATGCGACGCTCGCTGCGCAAGCCAGGATCCAAAACCGGGAACCCCACCTAAGAAGGATCGCTGCCGCTGCCGTTTCCGTTGACCGAATGCTGCCGGGTGGGGGCGCATGCATTGGCTGACAACCCTGCAGACTCAAGACACAGGAGAGAAGCGTGCCTCGAGTGGCTGTGAGTGGCTGCAAAGACATTCAGCGTGTCTCGGTACTCTGCGCTCACCCCCACGGCAGCCCCTCCGAGGCGCGCAACAGCCACTTGCTTACACGATGCATGTTTCCCGGTTCGACGCCACGGCCGCCTGGGTGACTCCGGGATTTAACGAAAAGGATCAGAAACGGCTGACCGTATGTCGATGTCCCTGGCTTCTTTTGGCCAGGTTGCTCCTCAACATTTTCGTTGCTGTCTTTTTGTTATGTAAGAAGGCCTTCTGTGGAGCGTTTGCAGTGTACTTTCGCCGTCATGTCTCATCCTCCATCAACGTGTCGACATCGGTCCCGCTTGTGTGTTACACGTCGTCCCAGTCAAGGTGCCAGTTGTCTCCTCTCGCCCCATTCCCCAAGCCAACGGGGTTTACATCTGAATCGTTTGACCGACCAGGTTCGAGGTAATTGAGACAATTATGCCGTACAGAGTGCGTTGTTCAGGTTTGCTCTGCTTTCGTCCCCTAGTTTTACGCGTATGGTCAGAATCGAAGCGCATCAGCGCATGTAGTTGTAATTACGTCAGTTTTTTGTTTCCAAGTTTCTTCAGTGAGCGACAAAATATGACTCCCCAGCTTGCAGCAAAGGAACGCAGTAGGAACCCATCTACAAGCTTTCCAAATTTAGCAGCTGCCGAAAAGGCACCGGGCCAGGCCACCACAGTGAAACGCAGTGAGCGGAATAAACGCCCTGCAGGCCAAGCTGCACCTTTTGCCAGCTCAGATCTCCCGCTGAGAATGTGACGCGACGGCAGGGGCGGGATGTCATTACGACGTATTACACGGTACGACGCAAGTACATCTGGGGTTGATTGACTATGCTTTTCTTTTGTTTCCCGGCTCGAGCCCGGATAACTAATATTTACATCTTGCTTTGTGGGGGTGGTTCAAATAGAACGTGATTTTGGCCGCACACCCCGTCGTCCAAAGCGGTCGCTGCTCACGTGTTGTCCTGCCTGGTACTTGCCATGACGAAGCGTTTTTGCCCCTTGCTCACTTTCTTGCCAATGATGCTATTGGTTCGATCGCGCCTGCCCTGGCATGGATCTCACTCTGCGTACCTCCCTCGGCATGCCCAAGTTACTGGAACACGGTGCCGGTCGCCTTGTGGTGTGGTGGCAGCAGGTTATATCCATGCTGCATTACGCAGCCTCCTCTTTCCGTGTTGTGTTCTCGTAAAATACTTTCCCAGGGTCGATGTTGCACTTTTTCACGGTTAAGCAACCTCCTTCTCCTTCCTCGGATCCACCGTTTCCTTCATACAACTATAATACATAAAATAAATATATAAACAAAAACGACAGGGAGGAGGGAAGAGCCGGTGAAAACCCTACTGAATCGTCACGAGACCTCGTCTGGTCAGTAAAAGAACTTGATCACTAAATCCAGAACATTTCGTGGCCCGCCTAGGTCCGGCCGAACGCCACCACGCACTATGTGATACTAGTCGAGGTCATCCATTCTCCTTTGTACTCGTCTTGTCTTTTGCAGATTGGACGGTCCAGCTAGGAACTGACAATCCGTCCACTCCGAAACACGCGCTTGTGCTTTGTAAATGTTTTTCGCTCCCTCGGCGCCTTTTACGACAGACGTGAGGGTCACGCTTGCCAAAATAGTTCAAGTCCGAGAGTATTACAGAGCGAGACTGCGATCGAAAAAATGCACTATGAGCAAGAACAGATCTAAGGAAGGCGCGACTAACAGCCGTCTAAACTCTTAACCTTGGAAGGCGCAGAAAATAGTAGGAACCAAGGAAAACCCTCCGTCCCTCGTCTGTCTGCCATGTCTTTCATCTTTTTTTCCCACCCTTTTCTCCCTTCTCACACATCTCCTCTCTGATCAACGTCTCCCATCCTCCCATCCTGCCACTTCTCACAGGATCAGCTAAGCCATTTCCTCTCTCTTCGCACACTTTCTCCAGACCCTGGCCAGAGCCCCCGCTTTCTCGCCCCTGCTCTGTCTCCTCCCACGCCCACATCCCACGTTCTAGGCAAGCTGTCTTGCGACCATGCATTAACACAAAGCCATTTCCGCTTTCTTCACCGACCGCTAAGGACCGCCTGTAAAAAAAACATACAGCGACAAACAGCGAACTTTGAACCAGAATTTTCCCACGTCAACGGTCAACGGCTGCCCATCTCCCTCACTCATCACAAACCCAGCACACATCGTCTCGTTCGAATCCTTCTCGCTGTCGAAAAGCTGAGATCGGTCACCTTCTCGTTCATACTTTCCATTTATACCTCCTTTATCCCTTTGATTCTGGACAAATTCAACACGATGCTGCTCCAAACCTCTTCGCAGTGCCCTCTTTCCTAGGGGCGAGCAAATGCTCGACTTTGAAGCTGCTCTCGCTTTGTTCTCAGAAAACTCGACTCTGGTTCAAAGCGTTGTCCCCAAACTGAACATCTCCATCTCGATCTTCGCTACATTGCGTTGGTTCTGTTCGTCTTCTGAAAGGCTTGCCGTCCAACTCGTCTTCGTCCGACCAACTCCGACCGTCTTCCGCCTTCCATATTGTCTGCTTACCCCCAGATCTCCGGCTGTGAACGTTTCGCCTGTCAACCTCACTTGTTCTGTCTGATCCTCTCTGCGCCATCTCTCATTCCAACACATGGCGACCAACTCCGACGCCCTGCAACAGTCCTCTGTCTCCGACCCAATGGACCATCACGACATGGCCATGCTCACGCGACGGAGCACGCGATCATTTGTTGAGGACGAACTCGAAGCCGACGTACGAGAGCTCCGGCAATCATCCACAGAATCCGCCAAGAGTTTGGAAAGCCAGCTCAGCCAGCCATATCCATCCAGTCAAACGAGCCAAACGAGTCAAGCGAGTCAGACGAGTCAGTCGAGTCAATCCAGCCAGTATCCAGACTTGATCTCGAGCGCAGGACAGCACGGACTGTCAGTACGCACTTACATGGACTCGAGCACGGGCGCGTTCAGTAGCGTCGCCAGCAGTCGTGCCAGTACCGTCTCCTCCTCCTACTCCTCATTGTCAACACCTTCCAGTGTAGGTGGCGACGCGACCCCGGTCGATCTTGACGAAGGTAAGCAAGAAGAAATGAACGACTGATGGTCAACGCTCCTTCTGTGGACCTGTGCCCACTAACACGATAAATCAGATGCGTTCCAGAATCTTGACCTTGATATCCCAGAGGTGTCGCCGGGAGCACCAGTCAATTTTGGCTTTGTGATGCCGGGCCTGTTCCGGGGTAGCTACCCAAAACCAGAGAATTACGACTTTCTCGAAACACTGAACCTAAAAACCATTGTGTATGTGTACCCAGTCATCTCCAAGACATGCTCCTTGTCAAGCGTGCTGTAACTAATCATGCATGCAGTACTTTGGTGGATAAGAACTACACGGATGAGTACCGGGACTTTATCGACCGGAATCACATCACCCACCATATGTTTGCAATGAAGGGCACGAAGAAGGAGGATATCCCTCTGGCGACGATGGAAGCCATCCTGAACAGCGTCCTTGACCGTCGAAACTATCCGCTCCTGATCCACTGCAATCAAGGCAGACACCGGACAGGCTGCGTGATTGCCGTTTTGCGCAAGATTGCTGGCTGGGACCGCACCGCCGTGACAGACGAATACCGCGCCTACGCAGGCAGCAAGGTGCGCGAGTGTGACGTGAACTACATCCAATCGTTCGCCCTGTCCAGTATCGAGAAATTGCTCGCCAGAGACGACCTCGACATCGACGAGCTCATTGTCAACAGCCGAATTGGCGCGCCCTTGGTCGGCCGGCCCCCTCCGACCACGGTTGGATTTCGTGTGCCCAACTTTTTTCGCGCCAGTTTCTTTTCAATGACGGTGCTGCTCATCTGGATGCTGTCGGGATCCAAGATGTCACCACCAGCACGGGCATAAGCGCTCAAATGCAAGCCGACACGGTTCGAGGATTCAGGTCACCGAATCGAACAATCTCCGCGGCTTTCTGTATACCTATTCGGGAACGAAAGAAGGAAGCACGGCGTTTTCCTGCCTCAGCCCAGTATTTAGAGGGGTTGTCCTTCATTACGCTCTTCTCTATCCCATTCCTTTGTTTCAGCTTTCCTTTCTGTTGTTGTATGTTCCATTTGCTTTCTTTCTGTCTTGACACGTTCGGATCTGATCACAGTTCAGCGTCAGAGACGGTTTGTACCAACGAGGAACCTGAGAAGACGTATCAAGAGCTGAGCAGTCTTCCTTCCGTGAAACTTGGAGCAATACAACAAGAAGAAAAGGCGGTTTTAGTTATCTAAGCATCCTACGGCGTTGGTGTGGTTAGACTAACGCGCAATGCGTGCCACTATTTTTGTTTTTGTTTCTTGTTCTCTAGAGTTAAAACTTTCTTTTTCCTTTTTGTATTCTTGTATTTCATACCCAAACAGTCCATGTGACATTTTCTTTTGTGATTTCCCTTCGGTCCCGGGACGTGAATATAAAGTGTACGATATACGTCACTGGAGCATGGCATGCGCTCATTTATTTTCTTTTTTTGTTTTCAAACTTCAATGCGTCACATTGGTGTGCGCCGAGCGTTTTCAAAGTTGTTGTTTTTTTTTTTTTTTTTTTTTTGTATTCCTATATCTTTACACTTGATATACAAGCATTGCCCGTATATGTGGCATGCCTTGCTTCTTTCCTTCAATGACAGGTATCCTGTATTTTTTTGAATGTGCCGTCCAGTTCCTATGATGTCCCGTGTGCTGTCCTGAATTCCCAATGATGTCCATCTCCCGTGCTGCTAAGGTATAGTTCCCGCCGTCGTCTAGCCACTTGCAGCCGAACACCGCATGTCGCCGCGGCTCGATTTCTTTCCGACTGTGTCAGTTTCCCCACCGATTCCGCTCGGCACGCGCCTGAGCCTCCTTCACCCGGTCACCTGTGATGCCGTATTTCACTCCCCCAGCCACACAGTTGACGGCACCAAGGCCCATGGCCACCGCGCTCACGGCACGGCGCGCGGGCGTGTTGGTCCGCCGCGTCGACGTCCGCAGAGACGCAGGCGTCCAGGCGCGGCTCAGGAAGCCCGCGCCAGACGACCGCCGGCCCCGCAGCGACAGCAGAACGTACATTCCGCTCCAGGCAGCCGCCATACCCGCGGCGTCAATGGCGTAGCCGGCCACGTTGACATAGCTGGAGAACATCAAGGCGGGGGCAAACATGAGCGGGAACGGCTGGAGGGGCCGTGCATGCAGAGCAATGATCAGAGTCGCCAGGCCCATCGACGGGATCGACGACGCTGTCCCAAATGTCAGTTCAGATCCCAAACGGGGAACGGAAGAAAGGCAGACACGAAAAGGTACTTACATCCCCAGGCATCGAGCTTCTCGGTGAGTGAGCTCGACTTGACGGCTTCCACCGCTTTCTCGGCTTCTTGGATAACCGACCCGGAGTCTTTGGGAGCCATTCTGCCCCTTCTATACAATTTGTAACTTCGAGTTGAGAACCAATTGTGATGAGAAAGGTGCAATCGCGGTCTCGTGCGGCGGGAATCTTTGTATCTTGGAATGGACGGGGACGAGTGACGTCGGTTTCCAGAGAGGCACATGAAAATCCACGCTCCAGCTCGGCTGAGTAATCGGCCACTCTCAGAGTTGGTTGCACGGCTCGTCTCTATTGGCTACTCGGCCGTCCCAGGCCACAGCGCAAAGCCCACTGTAAGACATTCGGACGACAGGCGCATGTTTTGTCTGTGCAGGTCTTGTCTCTCAATTTGATTAAGATCATATTACGGACTAGAGACTCTGCGACTGCGAAGCCTTCGATATGATTTTCGAAGGGTTTACCAAGACAGTGCAGAGGATTTCAGGCCAGGGCCTGCCAAACAGGGCTGTATTTTAAGTCAAGCACAGGCCTATCTTTTCCGTCCAGGCCACTGGTCACTTCATTTCAGGGTCAGCGCAGCACGACTTATCGCTCCACTGTTCCGTTCACACGGGACTAGCTTGCATAATTAAAAATATTCGTAACTAAATTGGGAAAAAACTAGGATATGGCGAGCCGTGTCCTCTTCTGGCGCAACCAACCAAAAACACCAAACGCCTCTCAACCGACGGCCCTTTTCCGCGAAGCACTGAAGCCCAGGAGTCCAGGAGTCCAGGAGTCCAGGAGTCCAGGAGCCCAGACAGAGACGCAGCGGGATCGATTATCGCCTTTTTACCTACTCTGGCTGTCTTTTCACCTATCGGGTCCATTCATGCCGCATCACGACGACACGACAACGAACCGACGACAGCGAAACCCCTATTCCTATTTATGATCACCAAACGACGCCAGATAAACGAGCGACATACGACCCGGTGCCATCATCGTCGACGCGGATAGGGAGGCAAAGGCCGCAGGAACAAAGACCGGGCCCCTGTAACGCGCCGATCGCTACTTGGTATTCGCCGGCCCTTCCCGCTTTTCGTTCTCTCTCCCATCTCGTGTCACAACAGTCCTCGGCCAACAGACGGTTTACCTTCTTCCATTTCTCCCCCCCACCCCCCCCCTCAATCCTCCCGCTGCCATGCCCAGCGCATCAGCGTCCGGGGCGGACGCCTCCAACGGCGGCGAAAAGGCGCGCCACCGCGAACACAACCAGGGCAACCAGGAGCGCAAACACACACCTGAGCAGGCAGCCGCCGTCTTGCGCATCCGCCGCTGCCAGGCCACGGCCTTTTACGAGATCCTCGACATCCAAAAGACTGTCACCGACGGCGAGGTGAAGAAGGCCTACCGCAAGCAGAGTCTGCTCACCCACCCGGACAAAAACGGCCACCCAAACGCCGACGAGGCCTTCAAGATGGTCTCGCGCGCGTTCAGCGTGCTTGGCGACAAGGACAAGCGGGCCAAGTACGACCGGTTCGGCACGGACCCAGACTCGCGGTTTGGCGGCATGGGTGGCGGTGGTGGTGGCGGCGGCGGTGGTGCGGGCATGCAGAATCCGTTTGCGCGGGCTGGTGGTATGGGCGGCGGCATGGGCGGCATGGGTGGCGGCTGGGACGAGGAAATCAGCCCCGAGGAGATGTTCCGGCGGTTCTTTGGCGGCGGTGGCGGGTTCGGCGGCCCATTCGGAGGTAAGCCAGGCCACGGTTTCGGGACGTCTACGATGGCAAAGACATGTGGGCCAATGGGCCAGTCGTATGATTCTGCACAGCATGCTAACCAAACACAACACAGGTTTCGACACCGGCCCGCAGTTTGTCTTCAACATGGGCGGCGGCCCCGGCTTCCGCGTGCACCAGTTCGGCGGCGCACGGCCACGGACGCGGCCGCGGCAAGCCAACGGCCAGGCCGGCCAGGCCGGCCAGACGCAAGAACAGGACACTAACCTCTTCTCGACCCTCATGGGCATGCTGCCGATCCTGATTCTCTTCATCCTGCCGCTGCTGTCGTCGATTTTCACGGGCGACGGCACTGGCTCGCAGCCGACCATGCCACAAATGGTCTTTGACGCGCCCGAGCCGCCATGGACGCTGGGCCGTCGCACCAAGAGCAACGTCAAATACTTTGTCGACCCCAAGGACAAGGCGTTCGCGCCCTACAAAGACAATGCGCAGAAGTTGACGCAGCTCGACAACTACGCCGATGTGACGCTGGTACGCACCCTGCGGCAACAGTGCGAGAACGAGATGCGGCAGCGGCAGCGGCTGGTCGACGAGGCACAGGGCTGGCTGTTCCAGGACGCCGACAAGATGCAGATTGCCAATTCCTACGAGATGAAGTCGTGCCGGCGGCTGGAGAAGATGAATTATGTGGTGCGGTAGCGGTAGCAGAACAATGGCCTGAAAGGCTAGAGTGAGAGCGAGAGCGAGAGCGAGAGCGAGAGCCAGTACGGGCATTGTCGTCGTTTTGCAGGCATTTGGCGTTTTGTTTTGATTTTCCTTTCCCCGTTCCTCTTTGTTTCAAACGACATTTAAAACAACCTGTTGTAATTTCTTACCACATTCACGGGCTGTCTCCCCATGGCATCTGCAATTCTTCTTCCACCTCCCAAGGCCCTTGGCCTCTGCTTCTGTCTCCCACGAATACTGCTTTTCTTCCGTTGCCTTCTCGGACGGCGTTTGTGTATGCTCCTCTTGTCATTGCTAACTTTGTGTCCATTATGATCCTTAACCACTTAGCCTTGTCCTTTCGTATCGTTTACCGACTGCCATGGTTGACAGATATTCTTACGCTACGAGATATTAATAGACAACCGCATTTTCTCCACGTCTTTCGAGCAAACTGGTACTCTGTAGCCCAAACTCGCGGCGTGTGATAGGTAGCCATCTGGTCGGAACATGCAACCAAAAGAAATATCGTCTCCACGTCTCAGCACCTGTCAAGAAACTGACAGCAGGCATGCATGCCAGCAACACGGTTCCCAAAAATAGGCCCAACCTAAACCCAAACGATCCAGATACAATTTAACTCAAAATAAACCTCGCGGCTCTGATCGTACTCCGTATTCCGGGTAGGCCCCGTCTTACGTCGCCTTGTTTTTCCTATTTCGCCGTCCATATGCTCTGTGAGTTTTGAACCCGCACTAGCATGCGCTATTTGCACAGGCAATTGTGCGGTGGTGTGTATAAGTCACTATCGCGCCAGTATCCCCTTCTGTTTTGCTGCTGCCTAAAACGGAAGAAACGTCAGCCAACGAAACGTCGGCCACAAAGGCAGCAGCAATTCTGCAGTCCCGCAAGTTGAGACACTCGCACAATCATAAAACTGAAGCAGTGCCTCATTTCGTGCGTCGTTCAGCTTTGCGTCTCTCCCAATTGCCGATTTATCCTGTTCTGACCGACTGGGCACCCGGGCATCCCATCTCTGGGTTTATCCGCCACAGCCAGCTCCTGCCACTTCTATCTGCAGAGGATCGCTCTTTCCCCTGGCAAGGAGGGCGCCGAGAGGCAAATTCGCCCAAGCAACTGCCCAGCCTCGCGCCTTCCCGTTCCTAACCCAAAAATCGATCCCCATTGCAAGGCATTAAATACAGTGCACGAGACCTACTGGGAGCAGTTTGAGAAAACGCCTACTCGCCCGGAATTGTCACTCTCTGTGGCTTGTAATTGGGAGCAGTTTACACTATACGACGTACCTTCTTCCCCACAACCCACATTTTGTCGAGCTTCCGCCGCTAGTCGCAGCTGCCAAACCCGCGCCGCCAGCGGTAACTAACACTGTTTCGCGCTCCTGCCTCGAACCCTCCATTCCAAATATTCCTCGGCCTCCAGGAGTCTTCCCCTCTTCCTCACTTTCTTTCTTCACCTTCTCAACTTCTCGGCATTCGAACACCTTCAAGCTTCCACCCCGGCCTCCGTCTTGTTGCTTTGCGACGCAGCCGTGCGGGTCTTGCATCCAATCGTGCCGTCATACCGTATCAGCTGTACCCTGCACGCCATCCCCACTCACAGCCGCCAGCATTGGCTGCTTTGGCGGCGGTGACGCAATCAGGACGTCTTCCATTTGACGCTGTTTCGCGCTCTCGAAAGCCACTTCCAGGCAACCAGCACAGCCATATACGGCTCGGTCTCAGTCGCAGAGCGGCTACGTATCTGCCGTAGAACACTTCAGAGAGCTATTTTGGAAACAACGACGCATGCGACCGGGAACGTTTTTCGTCCGGCAAACACCACCACCCACTCTACAATCCCCTCTTCCTTCCGGCCATCCACACCCCTACAAATGCCCAACATGGTAGTCCGAAAGCCATTGCCGCAAACATATGATGGCACCGGCTCCGGCTCGCCTGGCGGTGTGAACAGCGACAGCGTGCCGGACATTCTGCGGCCTGGTCGGAATCCGCATCCCAACGCATACAGCCCAGCTCCGCCTAGTCCATACTCCAACTTTCAAACGGACGAACAGTCGGCCTGGGCTCAGCCGGCGCCGCCGGCAATGCCGCAGGGCATGACGAGCCAGGACGACAGCTCGCAGCAACCAACACAGCGGCAGCAGCCGCCGCCGGTTCCGACTGCGGTCCCAACGATTCTCTTGCAGAGCGCCACCGGCAGCAGCACGGCGTCCGGCTTCTCTGAAACGAACCCCTTTAAGCGGAAGGCGGTGATGTCCGCGGAAAGCCCAGTTCAAAGTCCTGCTGTCGCCGCGCCTCTATTGCCTTCCTCGCCTGCGCCGCCGCCCCCGCCAGCATCCCAACCTCTCCCGCCGACAACAGGCTTCTCTCAGTTAAGCATGGACGACCAAACCGGAAACCCGTGGCAACCCACGCCTATCGACGGCAGGCGCGGCTCCCAGGCCCCAATACCCGTGATCCCTGAAAACGAGGCCGTAGGGGGAGGCGAGAATGCGTGGGCATCACAGAATGCAACTGAGTCGCCATTCAGGCGACCGTCGCCAAATCCAGCAGCTTCGAACCGGGACTCGAATCTGATCAGCTTCCCTCCCGACGAAGACGCCGACATTGCTGGCTGGGACGAAGTGGCCTCACCAGTCGCAGCACCAGGAGCCGGTGCAGCAAGCATGCCTCCGCCCCGGCCACCATTTACGCCTCTGAATGGCAAAGAGGCCGCTAGCGACAGCAACCCTGTCTTCGAAGACAGAAATGCGTGGGACGACCTCGGTGCTGGGAGCGGCCAACCCCAGCCGTTGCCAACCAACCTCGTCACCGAGCCAGCCGGGGAAGGCTGGAACCTGGTCGACAACGAGCCGGTGCCTGGCCAGCTCTCCCGGCAGAGCACCTGGGAGAACTTTACGGATGATGAAGAGGACGTCGAACAGCCAAACAGCAGCCAAGCCAAGCCAGCCAACCCCCCCCTCAAGCCCAAGAACAAGAACAAGAACAAGCTCAAGGACAAGAATGTCGTCCCCTCAGTGCCAGTGGGTGCAGTAGACACCTCTGCGCCTCTGATCTCAATCGACTCACCACCACCAACAAGTAAACCGGACGAGCCAGCTGCCAGCCTGCAAGCAGTCTCCCAGGAAGCCGAAGAACCAGCTCCTCGTCTGCCTCCGAGGAGCATGCTGGATGTCGATGGCGATACACCGCCACGACAGCCGCCGCGTCCCTCGCAATCGGCAAAGGCCGAGACGTACCAGGTCAAAAATATTTCGTGGTACGACGTCCGTGCAGCCCAGAACCCCCGGGTATCGCCCATCCTCGTACAAAACGCCAATGGCCCTTGTCCATTGGTCGCCCTGGTCAACGCCCTCACTCTCACCACCCCCGCCGACATCTCCACGGCTCTCGTCGAGACATTACGGTCACGGGAGCAGGTCAGCCTGTCGTTTCTCCTTGATGCCGTGTTTGATGAGTTGATGTCGTCCCGGAGAAGCAGCCGCAACAGCGACCTTCCCGACGTTGATGAGCTCTACAAGTTCCTCAAGGGCCTCCATACGGGCATGAATGTGAACCCGCGCTTTATCCCGACACAACAAGTCATCACTGCTTTCCGCCGTACGTCTCTCACGCACCTGCACCCGACAGAGCGCGACGACATGATCCCTGGCACGTTTGAGGATACCCGCGAAATGCAACTGTACGCGACTTTCAGCATTCCGCTCATCCACGGCTGGCTCCCAAAAAAAGGAGACGGTGCCTATGAGGCGCTGAGTCGCCAGGCAGCGTCATATGAGGACGTCCAAAATCTGCTATTTCGCGAGGAGGAGCTGGAGCAAAAGCTCAGTAGCCCAAGCGGCGACGGCTTGACAGAGGACGAACAGCAAGTCTTCCAGGACATTCTGGAGATCAAGAATTTCTTGCACGGCTCCGCCACTCAGCTAACACCATTCGGTCTCGACATTGTTGCCAAGGCTATGCGCCCAGGCACATTTGCCATTCTTTTCCGGAACGACCATTTTTCAACGCTTTACCGCCACCCGCAGACGATGCAGCTTCTGTCGCTGGTGACCGATGCTGGCTATGCAAGCCACGACGAGGTCATCTGGGAGACGCTGGTCGACGTGAATGGGGAGCACGCCGAGTTCTACTCGGGCGACTTCCGTCTCGTGGGCAACAGTATGCAGCAAAATGCTTCATCTGGAACAGCAGGATCCGGCAGCCGACATGGTGGGAGTGCATCCAACATCCAAAACGGCTGGACAACGGTGCGCGGCCGTCGCCAGAACCAAAGCGAGCAACACGAGAGCCATTCTCCGCTGCTCTCCAACGATGAGCTGTCGAGACACGAGCAGGAAGATCGTGATCTTGCACTGGCGCTCCAGCTCCAGGAGGAGGAGGAGGAGCAACAGCGCGCTGATGAAGCACGCCGCAACAGTCGACTGTCCGAGCAGTTTATCGAACAGAATGCTCGGCCGGCCAACCAGTCGCGCCGTCCTAGCAACGCAGCGGGTGGCGGGCGGTACAACAGCTCACAACCCGTCCCGGTTTCGTCCCGGCGCAGCTCTGCTGGCTTCACCCCCGGCAACCTCCTTGACAGCAACCCCAACCACCGTCGCACTTCGTCGTCCTCCGCGTCCGGATCGGCACTCGGGTCCACCATGTCGAATGGCCAGCGGATCGGCCAGTACAGCAGTGGGCGCACGCCGTCACGATCCCCGTCCCATCAGCAAGTCGTCCGCCCACTTGTGCCTCCCACCTCCACGTCACGCGTGAACACACGCCCCGCGGTCAACCGCCCAGCCGACAACGACGAGAACGACGAAGCACCGCCATCATACGAGCAAGCTGCGAAGCTGGCTCCGTACCATCCGCCGCCCGGCGCTCCCGGCTCAGAATCTGCAGCGGGCGGCAGAAACAGCGCGGCTGGAAGCAGCAGCAATCTTGGCGGCAGCAGTGGCGCGTCCATCTCGACACCGTCGCCTCGGCCGCTTGGGGGCTATGCTACAACCTCGGGACGGCAGAGTTTCGCTCCAGGTACCTACAGTGCGTACCAGCAGCAGCAAGCTGCAAGAAGCGACCGCGACTGCACGATTATGTGATTTGCTACAATAGCCAATGACGAGCGTTCTTTTTTCTACATATACCTTTTTTTATTTTGTTTCATATGTTTTCCATTTTCCTTTTTGCATTGATGCCGTTGAGAACCCACTGACACTGCCATTCATCATTCATCAAGCTTTTTTGCATACTACAAAATACAATTCACCCATCTTGTCGTTATGAATTCACTTTTTTCGTGTCCAGAGATTTGACCAACATGACATGCGTGTTTTATTCCTCTTACCGTTTGCGTCATCTAAACCATAAAATACATGAAAGAAGTTGGGGCACGAAGAGAAAGATGAAAAACAGAACGCCAAAACCATCAGACGGAAAAAATCAAACCCGAAAACAGGCGCAGGGCGCAAAAGGTATGTTGGAACGTCCTGTTCAATGTTCGCCAAGATGAAAAGAAAGAAAGAAAAACGTCATAAAAAGGGTGTGAAGAAGTGAAAGTTTAGGATGACAAAAAGCATCAGTCCTTATTCATGATTGGCAACATACTACTCGGCGGTTCGCTGTCCGCGGCGGCGGAGCTTCCGCAGGTGCGCACGCGACGCGATGGACGGCGAGCTGGCGGCTTCAATCTCAAACTTGCCCTGAGTCCCGCTGTGGCACACGGTCCCGGGAGCCATAGCCTGGACAACACTCCACTGGCCCGAGGCGCAGCGCTGGAACGACCTGCCGTCATGGATGCACGCCCACTGGCCCTCTTCTGAGCAGGGTGTACCGGCAATGGTGGCACCATTTGTTGACGTCGACGATGACGGCGATGAAGACGAGCCATCGGCGACGGCGGCTGCGGCGGCTGCGGACGAACCAGCGTTGATAGCAGCAGCAGACGGCGACACAACCTCGCCAGCAATGGCCTGGGGAGAAGCCTTGGCGGCGGGCACGACGGCGGCCTGCGAAGTGGATGCAGGGGCTGGGGTGGCAGCAGCCGATGGAGGCACCGTGACGAACACACCATCCGAGTTTCTACAGGGTCAGCGGAGGTCCAAACACGGCATACATAAATATGCAGAAAAGGTGTGCGAGAAGTGTGCGACTCACTGTGGCTTGGAAGCTTGTGCGGCAGAAGGCACAACATAGCCCTGGTTGCCGGACAAGCCGCTCTCGGAGGCGCTGCTCTGGCAGCCGGCGCCCTTGGGGGGGATGACACCCTGGGTCGACCTCACGTCCAGGTCCGGACCGGGCTGCGGGAACTGCACGTCACGGCTGTCGACGGTGCTGCAGCCGTTGCCGACATTGGCGATGAACAGCTTCGGCCGGGAGCTCAAGGGAGCGTGTGCGCCGCGCTTCGGCTTGGCGGCGGCGCCTGCTGCGCCGGTAATCGTCACGGCAGCGCAGTTCATGTACATCTCGCGGTTGCCCAGGTTGTTGAACCACGTCCACGCCAGCAGCGCGTCGCCCTGCGGCGCGTCGTACGGGATGGCAAAATCCAGGGTCGTCGTCCCCGCGCTCGCAGGGCACCCGCCCTCGATGGACTGCACCACGGTAAAGGACTGTCCGCGGTCGTACGACACGCTGACCTGGCAGGACCCCCCTCCGTGCGGTGCGCCGCCGCCAATGGTGAGGTTGGCGCTCTGGCCGGCGACAAAGGTGGCCGTGGGACGGCCCTGCGGCGTGCCGAGGTCGGCCACCTGGTAGTGTTTGCACGGGTAGTTGGAGCCGTCGGCGAGCAGGGGCGCGGTCATGGTGTAGTCGATGGAGCCGGGGTTCGAGTAGGGGTTGTACTTGGAGCGGAGTGGCGGGGGCCAGGTCATCTCCATATGGGCGGCGGCGATGGAGGCCGAGGCCAGGACGACGGTCAACGAGGACAACATTTTTGCAGGCTGTTGAGAGGGACAGGACCGGACGGCGGTTTGTTTTTGTTTTGTTTTGTCTTGTTGTACAAAGCTGTGAAGAAAATCTTGGAAAGGGAGTGTGGATGTTCGCTGAGCCCGGCTCGGCGAGGTGAACAACGGTATTGAAGTGGACGTCTTTGTCGGCCTTGCTTCTTTTAAAGGAGTGAACGAAGAGTGCAGCTCGCCAAAATAGAGAGACGAAGAAGCAAAGGAGTGTGTGGTGGAAGCTGAAGAGCTAGAAGCAGTCTTGGGTCTACCAGGATCGATGCAAAGGACGCTTCAAGGGGGAAGAGAAGAAGACAAGAAAGAAGAAGAGAGGAGAAAGAGAAACCGGAAAGAGAAGGAAACCGGCGAGAATGGTGGAGAGGCACAGGATCAGGGCCTTTTTGTATCTCTGGGCATGGACTGGACAACAATCTCCCGAGCCTCTCTATAAGGACAGGACGGTGAGTTTGCTCGTTATTGCATCGGCATATATGCAGTTGTCTTGTACACCTTCTCCCCTCTCACTCTTTTTCTGACTTTATCTGCCCGGACCCGGGCCTTCTTCCACCTACGCTTTGAGCCCTCTCGCATGTTTCTACACCTGCCGTGCCTCAATTCCCCGATGGGAGAATGGGAGGTCAGGGGTCAGAGGGTGTCGGAAACAGGCGCGGGATACGTTCGTCGTATTCATTCATCGGCGATTGCGCCGCTCGTACCTGAAGGCGGCCTTTTATCCGGCCACGAGAGATGCGTAAAGTGGCAAACGCCAAAGCCTTCGGGAACAAAAATCACAGAAGACAATACACTACAGTCAGCTGGGTGGGCGGCATCGGGCGGTTGAGGTGGGCAATGAGGCAAATAATACAGCATCCCAATTAGTTGGTCAATGGGCGGAAAGATGGGACGGGAAGAAGGAGATCTGCAAGCTACCGGAAGATTGACGGCGATTAACAGGGGAGAGGGGCAAAGAAAAGAAAACACTTCTGCCTGCTCAATTGACTTCTGGTCGCGTCCCGAGAGGCCGTCTTTCCAGCTGTGCCCTGAGCCTCCATTTCGAAATTCATGCTTCGGGCCATTGTCCCACACAAGGACAAGGACATGCACGCGGTGCTTACACGGCACCTGGCACATAACACCGACAGTGTGGTGCTGCAAGAAGCAAATAAGAGTCAGAGACGCTCTCAAGAGATACAGCCGTGGTGTAGAAAGACATGCATGTTGTAACAAATGCAAATCTTCAGCTTGAATATGAGAGTGTTTTTTGTTAGGTTCGCGTTTTGGTTCTCGGTTTTGTTTTTTCTAAGAAAAGACGTACTCCAAAATTATGTGCGTGATGACAGTGAATAAATGGTCGAAAAGAAACGCGACAGTATGGAAACAAGGACAAGGAGACAGACATGCCGACAAACGCATGTGCTGGCATACCCCGTTTGTTTTGCTACGCTTCTCGAGCATATTATCGCCACCAGGAAACTCGCCTTTACCCGGGGGTGCGTGCGCGGGCGACGGGCGACGTCCTATCTACAGTCAGGGACGAAAACAGGCAAACGAAAGAGACGCATGTACGTCGAGCGGCTTGCCGACTTTCGTTTACGAGTTGTTGGCAGACGGCTCCTTGGAGGAGAGAAGCCGTTTGAGGTTCTGGCAGCCGGAAAAAAGGGATGCTGCCAGGACTGTGACTAGTGAGCCGACTCATTTTGGCTACGGGCTACGTGTACCTGACTAGACCTGTTCTTATCGCTTAATTATGTCTGTACCTTTTTGCTCTTCTCTATTTCATCGCCTTCTTTCATCTATTTTCGGAGACAAGGTGCATTCGGCCCAAGAGGACACGGCATCCGGATGAGCAGAACCAACACGACACTGTCGACAATCAAAAACGACACATAGAATCGAATGGACACGCGTCATCTTAGTACTGGCCTGGTAAGGAACGTTGTTCGGGACGAAATAGCCAAGACAAAAAGAAGCAAACAAGAAGCGTTGTCGAAGCTCCTTGTTGCAGCACTTCGTCGAGGCTCTTTCGACGCAAGGCTGCCCACGACAGCAAACAGGTTACAAGCTCCTGAGCCAAGTCCATCGTTCTAGGCCCAGACACACGCCCCGTGCCCGCGTCGGCTTGTCCTTAAGTGCTTGCAGAAGGACATCATACATCCATCCGAGAAAGTTGGCGGGATATATGAGGGAACGGGAGGCCTGGTCAGCGACCTTGCATCTGCATCCCGACCAACACGTCTAGGATAGACGAGACTCCTGCGGCACTGCAAAGAAAGTGTGTCTGTGTGGAGGCTGCTGTGCCTCTGTTTGGACAGCCGCGGCGATCTCAACCTGACAGCCCACTGCGACTTCAAGACACAGCGGCTGGGGGAGCACGGGCGACAGGTAATCTAAGTGTTGCAACTCCGGGGAGACGGCGCCTCGCCGGTTCGTGTTTTGGCTGTGTGAAGTGTGAGTATGTGAGGGTGTGTTCGTCGTCTCCAAACGCCATCACCATGTGGCAATGTCGTCAACTCCGGAGCAACATGAAACGAACTGTTTCTTTGTCGACTTTACATCCTGAAACTGTCATCCTTTGTCAGCCTCGCATAGGCAAAGCATCTTTCACAGGCGAAAAATACAATAGGATAAAAAGAGCAACGAAAAGAAAATTTAAATAAAAAATAAGCACAAAAATAAAAGCACAAAAAACGTACAGCAGCGGGTATTCGCTGGTCGTCACCGACCCAACTACTAATCCGCCGATTATTGGTTTGACTAGGGGAGAGCGGACGGGATCCCGTATTTTCCAATATCTATGGCCGTACGTGAAAGACGAAGCTTTGAATTGGGATTTTAAAGTGTCGTGATCGTTGAGTGAAAGGTTAGAACTGCGTAGGATCTGTCGTACAGCGAGTTTTGCTGATGTGGCGAAGGCCTTAAGTGTGTAGTTACTCGTAAAAGAGAGTCAAGCAGCAAAATAAAACGGCTCAGGCATCTCATGTTATTCTCTGGTTGCTTTCTCCATTCATTCATATTCCTCTTTCGACCACCTTGCCAAAGTTACGTATTTGGCACAAAACGAATAATATGGCCCGATCCTTCTCACACGCGACAAGTCGCTGCTCTGAGATTCCGGCTCTCAACAGCTCAGCTCAATGTGGCTGGTCCCTGAATCCTGGCACACGCGGCAGTATGGATGGTTCCCCGTTCTGTGCTAGTTCCCGCGGCCGGCGCCTGATCCGCCTTGCCCGTCTTCGCCCTTTGCCTATTGTGGCTGTCAGCGAGCATCTGCACCAAACGGCAGTTTCGTGACTTGGGATGAAGTGACGCGTCAGTTCGTTTGGAAGGTCTCCTCGGGCGTGTTTGATCGAGAACGGCCGCCTTCGACAGAAGGAGTAGTCTGCGAGAAATACGCGTTTTGGTGGCACCGCCCGTCAATCCCAACCGCACAGATCGACCGGATGTTTCACCGAAGCTGCGGATACGAATACCAGAGAACACTTCTCGGAACAAACTCAAACAAGTGGACCCAGGCAGCCTTTGCGCCCAGCGAGCGCGCCCTGTCGCGTTGAGGCTCACCAACACGCCCACTAGCTGCAAGCACTTTCAGGGCGAATGCCAGGGGGGCTTTGGCGTCTGTGTGTGCTGGCCTTTTCTTCGACCGTTTGGTGATTTTGACATGGGTTTGCGGCGGGTACATCGCAGCCCTGCAATTTCCTCAACGACAGAGTGGGATCGCCAGACACAACATATACCTGAGGCTCAACAGGCAGCAGCACAATGAGAGACCGGTGCGCAGCAAAGTCCTGTGTCCATGTTTTGAATAGGTGCTGGCGAGGCTGTCCGTGGCGAAATGAATATGCCACTGGTAGGCGGAGGACGGGAGACGGGAGGCGGGACACGGAAGGTGGAAGGCCACAAGCGTGAACAGCCACAGCTTTTCGGGCATGACCGACATGGAGTGAATGTGCACAAACATTATGTGCCTATCGAAAAGCGATGCCGTAGCTATTTGGTACGAGGCGAGTAAAGTGCAAAACCAATGCACTCCTACGGCTTGTGCCAGATCTTGGATAGGCACTTCTTTCCTCATCCAGGCTTTTGTCGTCGTGTCTGGTTACTGTATAGCTCCTTCCAGATTGGTGGGAAACTCACGGTCGCTCCTCTCGAATCTGGATTTCCTGCTAATTGCTGCCGTGCCCCAGATAAACGACAACCACACAGCTCTTGCCCTGCCGGAGGACCCCGAATTCTGCTTCTCCGCGTTTTGATCGCACCTTCCAACCCAAAATACCACGCGGGACGACGAACAAAGGGAGGCAAGAGGGACAACGGTCCTCCGTACGTCGTATAGAAATTCCATCTCCGTACACTGTTGATTGACTTGTACCTGCATTGCCTCGCACGCTGTACTTTTCCTTCACTTCTTTGTGTGCACAGCCCGTTGGGCTCCAACCCTTATTTTGACCATCTTGTACCGGGTTTCAGTGGTCTTGGATAGCTCTTCACACAAGCAGACCTCAACCGACCGACTAACCGTTCGACGAGCCCCGCGTTTTGCAAGTGACTGCCTTTTGTCTTGCTCTTTCCCTGTTGATGCGTTACTACTAACAGCAGGAACAACCGAGAAGCGAGTGTAGATGCAGGGAAGTAGCGAAAAAACAAGGGCCTACAAAATGAGGCCCGGCGAAATTGGAATCGGGAAAGAGCCAGATGGAGAAACAACGATCCGTGGCCCGCGCCAATTCCCAGGACAACGGTTGGTCGCACCTGCGTTTGCGTTCGTTCGAAGCGAATAGCTTCCCAGCGGGCAGGTACAGGTCTTTCCGTTGTAGGCTTTTTAGTGCACTTTCCTCGTTTTCAATGCTGGTTGCACCGTCTATCTGGACTGTAGCGCATTTCGTATGTTGAATGGTGATGCTCGTCCTCCCCGTCCCGTTGCTCTGCTTGTTGTTCGAAAGCCCCACTTTTTCCCTTGGTGAGACACGAGACTCTCTTTCCCGTTTGGCTCCCAA